AAGTTTCCCAAACGTCAGCAGATAATGACAGACGGGTTTAGTTAACATTTCCACTGGATCAATATGTGAAGCTGAGAAATATTTTAGTGATTCCATTACGACACCTCAAGTGACAGGTCACAGCCCATCAGTAGGGAGAAACATTCTGTTCCCATCAGCCCCTCTCCCCGTCTTCTACAGGGAACACCACACAAGATGAGAATCAGTCAATTACTTGCTCCTGTTCTTCAGAGATATACCTTTTATAATACGCGTCAACCAATTCTAAATATGAAGATGTTTCTGCTTCCCCTGTTACTGTTGTGTCTGTACTGTTGTTATCATTACTGTGTGTGACGGAAAATCTTTAAAACACACAAAAATATCCACACTGAGAGGGTAAAATTCTGGGTCACCAACACCTCAGAGTATATGATCTACGTGACCTCCACTATAAACATTAATCTGTATGTTCACTGTATGCTCACCTTTCTCTAATGAAAGCTTTTGTTAAACCACCAATGTATGTAATAAGTCATTTATGTCCAATGTATATTTTCAGCCTTCTGGCTGCAGAACCTTTTCAATAAACCGTTAATTATTATTATTATTATTATTATTATTTTGTACTGCACTTGTCTCTCATAACTGTGGTCGTAGGTTCAAATCCCCAAAGTAGGATGTGACGTTTTCTTCGGGTACTCCGGTTTCCTCTTGTAAACTATACTAACACTGGGCAAGGAAGGTCGTAATAAAGAACAGATTGATCGCCAGCATAGGCAGTAAGCTGATAAAAATATAAAAATAATTTGTTGACGCCGATCATTGGGGGGTTAAAACAAAAACTGTTCTGCGCTTTATGCTCGCCTACTAAACGTAGCGGTATTCTAAAAGGTTGATCTGTTGTTATGCCAGTGAATGAAGTGAGGCGAGAAAAGTTATAGTAAGGTTCTTGGAGCGGGTGTAGGGCTGCGAGAGTGATCATCAACTATGTTTCCTACCTTGGATAATAGAGTTAAACATTTGACTTTCTGCCTTGACATACAGACGGACGAACGGTAAGCTGTCTTACCGACTGTTCCTCTCACTTGTTGACCAATAAAGATATTCGTCAACATTGAAATAAAGACTCCTTGAATGAGCCACATATGCCCCTGGATAACCACATACTACTAACTGACGCTGATACACCACACTAAAGCTTGTTCGGGTACATTCTGAAGCTGAAAATATTCTGTAACTGATAAGGGTGAAAGTTCAAGAAAGGATACACCGTCTCAGCTGCGGGTGAGAGGGCAAGATAATAGTCGTGGAGGAAGAGAGAGGTGAGGCATGTGAGGAGGAGATAGTGGCCAGTGTGTGTCCACCATTATAAGCTGAGGTGACGGCCACTCCACCACACATGCACTCCACCCTAGCCTTCATCACCCCCCCCCCCTCCTCCCCCACACACACTTTCTGGCATTACCCAACCTCCTCCCCACACACACTTTCTGGCATTACCCACCCTCCTCCTCCACACACTTTCTGGCATTACCCACCCTCCTCCCCCACACACACATTTGATGAAACATAACAATAAACGCGTGAATGCAGTAAAAGAGGACGAATACTGTTGACATAGTCCCACATTAAGACAAGATGCTGGTAGACGTCGAGCTGAAACACACAAACACACACACACACTAGGAAAATACTGTAGTGAGTACTTGGTAATCCTTGAGTTTACTGCATTGTCTTGTTATCAATAGAAAACAATATCGCTAAATGATTTAAAGCGTAATAATTACTCCAAGCAGTAATTTAGAACAATTAGTTTGGTCCTACTAACAGCTAGTTAATCACTGTATTTGTTGTATTCTGGAATTAGTATTGTTTTTTATTTGTAGTAAATATATTACATTATTCTTCTATAGTTTAGTTCTGAACAATTCATTTGGGCGCTCTGTTTACTTTTGTTACTATGCACGATGTATTATCACCTGTGTGTGGCGAGTTATACATGAACACCTGTTGTGGGATGTACAGTATACCCGTGTGTGGCAACGACGAGGTACACGCACCCATTTTAATTGTGAATGAAAATTTTTAATTCAGGAGTCACCTTGGCAGCTGAGGCCTTCAATACCGGGGTAGTGAGGGGCTATCATGGTAATGCATAAATAAAAAAATGACTGTGATAACAGAACTGTTATACCAATGTTAAGTTCTTATGTTTATAGTTCTGTGTCGGGCTGTAAAGGGCCAATTGCAAGAATAGTCGTTGGGTGTACGACGCCATTCACGATGACCTTCTTGCCCTGGTCTTTTTTCAGCAATATCGCCTTTAACATATGGAATTCTGCACTTTTCGAAGCTTTGGAGGAGTCTCGAAACAAGTTTCCTGGTGGGAATTATTAGCTAGTGCTGTACTCAAAATATTGAAGCTTCGAGATCTCTCCTGAGCTTCAAAATGGTGGTATAACTGAAACAAGATCAGGGCAAGAAGGTCATCGTAAATGGCGTCGTACACCCAACGACTGTTCTTGCAATTGGCCCACAATGTGTGTAAGTCATGCACACAGATACAACACAGGGATGGTAAACACCATACCTGTACACACTTGCGTCAACGTTGACCTCACAAAGGCTTTTAACTCGATTTCCTTCCAGTTCACACTGGTGTTTGTGTGTGAGTAAGGACTGTGAACCCTTCGAATATCCTGCCGGAGGATGTTGTGAAGGCACCAAAATTGTCGCATGTTCAAATGGATTATATGGCCAGTGATACATGACCAGACGCCCGACTAGCAACAGCACCAACCAGAGTGCGTGTGTGTACACACATTAAAAGTAGAATTATTTTTCTTCAATACAGTTATACTGCCAGACTGGGGTCACTAAATCTAAGGGGATAACTTAACTCTAATCTTAATTTCTAAGGGTCGCTGCCACCAGACCCCCTCTGGTCAGTATGTAGCTCGTTAGGTAGCGGGCAGAGTGGACTAGGCATTGGGTTAGGTTTTCCATTGACCAGATCGATAAGGGTAAAGAAGGGTGAAACCATAACATGTCTTAATTGATTTATTCCTTATAAAACATACTGGTAAAAAAACATATACATGAATTGGCCTTCCTCAGAAGAACAACGGAATTTTGGTTACCCAGCTGGGCCCCAGACTCCTACATTACTGGCGGGTCATCCACCCACTTATTGCATAACAATCGGTGAACGCCGTATCTCGGTCGTTCCTTCTTACAATATCCCTTAACACATCAGACTGTTCCACTGGTGTGGATTGTAGCACCGTCGGTTATCATACATAGCAGCACCATCTCAACACACCTGTTAGACTCCATACCTGCAAGTATGTGACTCCTTGTGACTTTTAGGTATACACAACGGGCCCCTCGTTCGCACACCGCCCTCGGTGGGTAAAGACGAGGGCTTCACCTAGAGACATACCAGCACTATTTCTACGCCTGGTATTATAGGTCGCTCCAAGTGACGACCGCAGTTTCTCACGGTCTCCTTAGTTGTGACTATTCATGTGGAGTGGTGCGCTGGGAATCCACCGGTTCACAGTGGACTGGTATAGCGTGGAGTAATCCCCACCTGGTGTGACGCTCAAGTGGACAATGGCGGCCGGGCGGCAAGATACTCCGATCACATGGCACCTGTGGTGACGGCAGAACGGGAAGGTCTAAGGCCGGCGTGCCGCCGCTCCCCGTCACATAGGCCTACAGTTTCCAAGCCTTAAGTTTCCCTTTTGTTTCTCAGGGTTCTCACCTTAACACTTTTCGCTATATTGTCACTCATGTCTTATAAACACATATTTTAATCCTAAATTACACACTAAGGTAAGGTCTTGGTTTGCTAGTGCTTGGGTAAATGCCTGGGATTATAATATCAACGTGGCAACTGAGGCGGGTACATGACGCGCCTTAAAACAAAGGCTGAATGTTCATGGCGGGGGTGTATCAACTTCACTTAAAACTGTAATGAGAGATCCTCCTCTCACACATTGCACTATTTGAACACAGACATAAGATTCTCTGATCACTGTACCTGTCGTGGGTATATGTCACGTGAGGATACGAGGTGTATTAAGTTCATACCGAAGCATATAAGATATTTCCTTTCAAGTATAGTTTCTAGATCACTGTCAACACCTCACATAGTTCTGATACATTTATCCTTTTTCCAGATCATTGTTCTCATGTATTTTCATATGATATCTGTTGGAGTTATGTTCGCTACACGCTCACAGACGTAAATAGTAGGACCTTCAAACCCTGATCCACACTTAGTCTTACAGTACACTCGTCCGGCTCAACTGGACTTTAACATTCATCTTATGCCTACCCTGAGTGATCCTTAATGCTATGAATACATACACTTGATATGATATAACTATACCTGGGTACAATACAACACATGGTCTAGGAACCTTGAGTAGGTGAGTTGTCCTTTCTCAATGTTTCCCGTTTTCTGAGGTTCTACAAGCGCGGTGCATTTGAATGTTATGTAGCGTAATATGAATTAAATGGGATTTTTAGGGATGACAATGATGTGTGCAGTAAACAGTATACCACTTCCACACACATATACTAAGTCAAACACTTGAAATACCGAGCAAAGTGAGCATAAACAAGGTCGGTCTCTCTCTCTCTCTGGCTAGAAGTACAGTACACACTTGACGAAATATAGACTTAATACAGGTACTGTGGGTATATAAGTTTGTGTACTTACTCATAAGAGAATTAAAGGCCCCCTTTCCACACCCTGACTACTGTACAATATATGCAGGGTTACTTCTACAGCCTGAACAAACTCTTAAGAGAACCTCCTGAACACTGTACAAGCACCTTTTAAACTGTGTACCAGGCTCTAAGTCTGTTGAACATTTAGCATCTTGTAGACTAAAGAACAACTTGAGTCTCGACCCTTTACAGAATAAAGGGGTGTTACTTCATTAATTTGAACTTTTGGGTTGACAGATTTGTTAAAAACAAATAGTAACCATTACTTTACTTTACAGGCAGTGTGCGGAGTCAGCAGACAGAACCCAAGGTGACCTCTAGCCGGCCCTTGATTGCAAATGAGCCAGAGAGTCCCAAAATCCTAACCAACACCATCCCTGGGCCTGTTTCCATCCAGAAGCTCCACCAGCTCTCACAGATACAGGTGTGCAGGGGTAAGGGAGAGAAGGGGTAAGTGTGGGGGAGTGGTGGATGGGGGTTCAAAGTAAGGTTATGAGTTATGGGGTGTTGAGTGTAAAAGATGGATTGAGGTTAGGTAGAGAAAAAAGGAGGGTAGGGTGAAGTTAGAAATAGGGCAGGGACAAGACTGGTAATTTAATGAAGGCGTGATGATGTAGGTGGAAAAGTGTAAAGACGGGGATGGTGGTAAGACAGCGAATGAAGCATAGTACATGTGGGAGGACAGGGTATGGGTGGTGAGGTTAAGGATACAGGAGCAAATGAGGATGTGGGAAATTAAGAAGTTAGAGAAGAATTTACAAGGCATAAGACGTGGGATAAGAGGAGTGTTACACTGGCAACAGAACAAATACTTATAGTACAGTATGTGGCTCACACTGTCACATTTCCTGAATCTAGATTTCCTTCGTTATGACTTACAGCTCTTCAAAGTACTGTTGGCAGGCACTTAGAATTCAGTACTTCATTTTACCTTCTGCTTCTTATTGTTTATAATGTACTGTCTAATCAATTTAACTCCCAGACTCCCCTAGTTGGCCACTTGTTAATCCCTCTCCCCACACCTCCTCCCTGGCAACTCAGTCGCTGAATCCACCCTTACCACTAGACTGGAATTATTATTATAAAGTCATCTGACGATAATTTTTCTAACACTCAAACTTCCACTCAGGCATACTTAAAATATGGCTGTGAATATAACTAGAATTTGGTCAAACTCCAAAACAAAAACGAATAACTGATTGCTGGGAGAAACTAAACAGAGGCTCACAGATATCTTTAGTTATCTGGTGTCATTAATATAAGTATTTATCAATAAAAAGATGTATCACGATGTATCATCATGATAATGCCCTTCAGGCTAATCTTAATAGAATCTGGATATACTGTATCACAAAATTAATAAATACTGTACTGTAATTGCAATACAGTACAGTACTTCATAATCACCAAGAAGATTATTAGCTGCTGAAGCACATCTTATAGTCTAGTTCACATGGCTTCCTTGCACTATACAATAGCAGAGTTACCCAGGGCTTACTGATGTGTTATTCAGTGCAGCATTAAGGTTGTGGAGCCGGGGCCTGGCCACCAGCCCAGGCTTGACACGTCACGCTTCACTACTGACAGGAATCGGGAGCCGTTCAGCTGTTTGTGGACTATGATCGTAGTCTGGGCAACTATTTGGTGGATGTGGATGGCAACATTCTGCTTGATGTGTACACCCAAATCTCCTCACTGCCTCTTGGGTACAGCCACCCAGACCTTCTGAAGCTTCTTGACAATCCCCAAAACATTGTAAGTTCTGGTTATGTTTGTGATGTGCTGCTGTATTTAATTAGCTTGCAACCGCTCTCTTGGTTGGTGATTGGTACTGTACAGCAAATTCAATTAACAGCACTGCAGAATGATAACATTTAGCATCCCATTGTAAATTTCAGACCTGTGGATGTTTGTTACATTTAATTTAATACCCTGTATATAACTGTGTGCTGCATTTTATTCAGTAAAGTAGTATTGGAAATTTGTTAACCTGATTCCTTAAAAAAAAAAATTATGGCATACAGTACATACTTTTTATCTTAACATGACAATTAGTATACAGTATACAAAACAATACAATACAGTACAGTACAGTAATTCTGAGCTCCTTCATGGCTATGCTTGTTACTTATATTATGAGTCCGGTAAATTTCTTACTTTCAAAACTGTGCGCAATAAAGGGGGGAATATTTAAACTAAGTACAGTACTGTACTGTATAATATTCATGAGTACTTGTATTGTTTCTGAGAATATCTGATTAGTTGGACATGTAATGTACTTGTACTGTATCTTGATACTAACTTGCTGCAACACGTCAAGGAACACCCTTATACAGTACAGTATAGAACAGTAAAAGTGACTTTGATGATGAAATTGTTATTATCACAACTTTATTTCATAAATGATACCAATAATGGAGGAATCCAATCTTCTATCAGTACAGTACAGTATTGATCAGGCAACTTCTCACCGGCCCACTCAGTGTAAAGTTAAGGTGATCATTTGCTGGTCACTTTCACACTTCTTCATACGTACTGATCATATTAACACACGTTTATAGACAAGCATGCAGGACACCCCTATGCATACTGCTCATAGATAAACTGACTTGATCATTGTTGTTTGTCAGTATTGTACAGTACTGTGTAAAGAAACAAGCTGATACAGTACTGTACATGTAAACCGGTATATTTTAAATACTGTTTAAGCCAAAATTATAATTACAATGAACTTGCAAACATTATGCACATACAGTACAGTACAGTCAACCCTCACATTACGCGGTTAATGTAACCCGGAGGGTACCGCGGAAAGTGAGGAACGCGTAAAGTGAACAACATAACATATGGGATTAATTGAAATGGAGTCCAGGCCGATCCCCAAACTCCACTTTTTGACGACACATAACCATGTTGCAGTAAAAATTTTATCTTAACTTTATGATGGTATGAAAAAACAAGTAATATAGAAGAGGTTAGGTTAGGAAAGATAAAGGTTAACATAGGAAAAATAAAGGTAAGGTTAGAAAACTAAAAATTATGTGGAACACTTACGGTAGTAGAAGAGATGGGTCGGCATACGGGGATGGAGGCTGGTTCCGAGGCAGAGGGCAGATTACTGGCCCTCAGGTGAATCACCATTACTAGGTGAATCATCATCACTGTCACTTACAGTTGTCAGGGCTTCCCTGACAAATCCCTCAAAGTCAACTTCACTGTCACTATCACTGGCTTGGGCTGGCTGTGGTGGGTTGCGGGTGAAGAAATCTGTTATGCTTTGCTGACGGCTGGCGTTGATGTTGTCGTGATACACCTTGATGTACGGCTCCATAGCCTGCACCAGCCGGTTATGGAAGACTTCATAGCGGTCATCGTCATTGTCGCGGGAAAGGAAGGACTTCATCTTCTCTGCACACTCCATGGCACCCTTAATATCACTATGACTTAAATTGTGTTCTTCGGAGACTGCCGCACCTTCTTCCTCCTCTTCACTGACGTGTTCTTCTTCCAACATCTCGTCGGCAGTCACTTCAGGATTTCTGATCACCTCCAGGATGTCGTCGTTGGTGGTCTCGGAGAAGCCTGGAACTGTAACAGTCTGCGCAGCTTCTCTGGCAAGGTCCACTGCTACTGTAACATTCTGAACCTCACCAGTCACAGATTGACTCCTCCTCTCACCTGGTATTCCATGCAACACATGTCTCCATGCGTGACGAATTGTAGCAATAGACAGCTGATCCCATGACTCCACCAAGATGTCCACAGCTTTCTTGATGTTAAATACTCTCCAGAATTGTTTGAAAAGTATTTTTTGCTGTTCTAACTGTTGATCCTCATCTTCGTCGCTCTTGCTATCGGTGGTGGTGTCACTCAGGTTACGCAACTCTTCCCTGGTGTTGGTGTAGTCGTTCAGGAGCTGGAATTTTTTTGTTGAGAATGCAGCTTTCACATTGCAAATCAACTCCTGGTCCATGGGCTGTAATATAGACGTAGTGTTGGGAGGAAGGAAGACCACTTTTACGTTGGGGTGACGATCTAACAGTAGGGGCGAGTGTCCTGGTGCGTTGTCCAGCAGCAACAAAATATTAAATGGGACATTCTGTCGCTCACAGAATTTCTTTACATCGGGAACAAAACAGTCATCAAACCAGGAGAGGGACAGTGTAGAGAACATCCATGCCTTACGTGCTGTCAGCCAGTGGACATTTAGCTTGGTCATGTCCATGCTCTTGTAGGCGTGCGGCTTGCGGGCTGTGTGGATCACCGATAACTTGAGCTTACAGGTACCGGAGGCATTGGTGGTAAACAGGACGGTGATGCGTTCCTTCTGCATTTTCCGGCCCCGAATCCTGCTGGCATTCTTCACAACGAAGGACTTGGAAGGTAGTTTTTTCCAGAAAAGACCAGATTCGTCCATGTTAAACACCTGGTCGTCACTGTACTGTCCTTCCTCCATAATCTCACGTAAAAACGGAGGAAATTCCCGAGCCGCAGCACGATCAGCACTCGCTTCTTCACCACCAATGTTTATATTGGTGATCTTGTTCCGGATCTTAAACCTCTGTAACCACCCAGAGGAAGCATTAAAGGGTTTGGGCTCTGAAGTTCCCATCTTTCGTGCCACTGCCATGTACAGTTCACGTGCGTAGTCCTTCACAGAGCGCGTGTCGACCGCCATGTTCCGTCGCGCCTGACGCACCAAGTACCTCACAAGTAATTTTTCTGTCTTGAGAAGCACCTGGTTGTGAAAATACTTGATCATAGAAGCACCTGTAGACTTTGTGATCTTCATGTGCTCCTTTATCTTGGCTGAATCCTTCTTTATAGTCCGGATCGTAGATTCGTTCACGCCATGCTGGCGCGCCAAATCAACCTGCCTTGTTCCTTTCTCCAACTCTTGGATGATGCTATACTTCACCTCGTAGCTTAAGGAACGTCGTGTCTTCTTTGGTTTAGTGCCGCTGGGTCCAGGTAAGGAAAGGTTTCTCTCTGGGGGTGGTGGTCCGGCGGAAGCCATTTTACGGAACAATGGATGCGCGTTTACACGGAGTGGCCTGGAGGTATGAAACTGCCGTGGCTAGGTCAAGCGTCGTCTCTCCTCCCTCCCTCCCTCCCCCGGGTGGACACGTCATAATACTTTAAGCCAATTGCAGCTAGCAGCAGAGGGGGGGTAGGGATGCATGGCCAATCACAGGTCTGATACGTCATATGACGTCAGTGATAACGCAACAAAGACACACACTGCGCAACCTTACCGCGCCGCTTGCCCAAGCGGAGGGAGGAGGAGGGAGAGGCAGGCAGGCGGGCGGGTGGGTGGCGCGTGGGGCAAATCTAAAAATAGCGTCGCGCCGGACACTCTCCGCGTAATGTGAGCACGTGAGGTTCTGGCAAGGCACCGCGTTAACGGTGAACCGCGGAATGCGGGACCGCGTAATGTGAGGGTTGACTGTATATATATTTTGGGGTTTAATCTGAAGTTGTCTTTTATATTGACTTGATTTTCCATTACAGAAAGCCTTCATCAACCGTCCAGCTCTAGGCTCCTTCCCAGGCACAGATTGGATAAATCGTCTGAATAATTCCCTCATCCAGGTGAGCAAATTGTCATTCTCCCACTTTCTTATCAGTACAGGACAGTAGTACTCTTTGGTTCCACCATGTCGGAAGATGTACTGATAATTTCTGTTTAATCCTCGTTAACTACCAGGTAGCTATAATTTGCAATAATGAACTGTGCTGTCTCCTCAAAGATTATAAACTAATGTACTCAAAACTTATATGAAAATTTAACTACAGTACAGTAGATTAAAGCAAATATTAATTTAAACTTTGACACATTCAAATAATTGCGCTCTTCTATTAAAAAGTTTCAAAAGTACTGTATGAACGTAAATTTAAGTTTCTGACAGGGTCTGAGAAGCATGTTGCCTGTCAGAGACAAATGTATCAACTTATTGGCATAGCAATCCTAACAAGTCTGCTGGCACTTACAGATTCAGATATGTTTTCTTAAGATGGGAAGGTTCCCTAGCTTCTCTTTCTCTTGTCTTGTACAGTTAGGCTTCAATAAATACCCAGTATACAGTATATAAATGGACAGAATTTTACTAAGATACTGCATGTTAAAAATTTTCTTACCTCGATTCTAACCAAGCAGGTGACTGGGTTTACCTTTCATGGGGAAGAAGTAAGCCTCCAACCCACAATGTAAACAGAGTACAGTACATACAGTATTACTCATGTACGTATATCCTCAGATTTGTGATAGGGTTACATTCCTGAAAACCCTTGTATAAATCACGAGCCTTTTAACATGGGTTTCATGGGGATACATTCTTGGCCTGTCCAACACAGACATATAACGCAAAAAAAAAATGATCCTACACTAATTAAATAAATACAAAAAAATTAAACAAACCTCGCCACTTTAATAAAAAAAGCCTGGTCGTCATCACACATCCACTCTAAGGCTAAGGGATCTCTTGTTAATGGAGCAGTGACACCAATGGCTCCAACAGAAGGTTTGTTTTTTTCAAAGTTACAGAGTAACACTGATCACTTCACAGTCACCAAAATGGCAAAATCCAAACGATAAAGTTTTCCTCTCACCAATAACGGCAAAATATCACAGCGATCACAAGATTAAGCAATTTTTAATAACAATAATGTGTGTTACAAGAGCGAGGGCAGATGTGATCACTTTGAAACAAAGCAAGGGACTGTAGTTAGCAAGTAAAGGGAAATAGGCGCTTTCCCAATGTTTACATCAGGGGTTCTCAACCAGGGGGGAATTTCCCCCCTCAGGTTTTCAGGGGGGGGGGGGAAACTGATATTAATATGGAAAAAATAAAGGATTTTCAGTATTATATGCATATTATTTGTAATGCACTTTTTGAGGCAGACAATCTTGGAAAGGAGAGGGAGTGACATTCTGACATATGGTGAAAGGGGTGCATGGGGCAAACAAGGTTGAGAACCACTGGTTTACATTCTGTGTCAGCGAGGTCAGCCTACTATCGTTAATGTGGATTTTACCTAACGTATCGCAAGAGGGTGTTAAAACCTAATTACTTTTAACAAAGATTATCATAAAAAATACAAAAACTTGATTTTAACCTCCCACATGCACCCTTAATCATATTGGAACACTCACTATCTCTTAATGGCCTTCTAACTACAGTACAGTACAGTATTTGTAAGCACAGTAGTTATTGAATCTCACATTAGTCTACCAACTTAAGGATGAAAAAAATTGCTTAGAAGTTACATTGACAGGAAATTGTTTTACAGCAAAGGGGATTAGATGTATTGTACAGCATGCCCTTCAAATTCGCAGGGATTAGGTTCTCAAAATAGCCGTGAATCGCCAAACACATACAAATAAATAATAATGGGAAAATCCTCTCGCAAATAATCTTTAACAAATTTATTAAAAATGCGAGTCTACCCTCAAGTCTACTCCGTGCTTTATTAATAACAAAGCACGGTAGTAGACTTGAGGGCAGACTGTCACATTTTTAATAAATTTGTTTGATTGTATATACAATACAGGTAAAGGAAATTACTGTCTCTAGAACGAATGGCTCCCTGTCCTGACCTTGAAAATGCCAGCAACTTTAAAACTACCAGCAGACATTATTGGGTATATCCAGGGTGTCATCCGCGAATAATAGAGGACCACGAAATAAAAATCCGCGAATTATCCGGGCGTACTGTATCTCAATACTGTACCAGATTCTTGATATAAGAAAGAAAAAGAGGAGACCCTTTGTCTTACTTACTGTTTAGATGCTGGTGAACTGCAGATAGTCTGAAATTAAGAAAAAAAAATTTTTGGATTACTACATATATTTTTTTAAGCAAAAGTGATGCTGGGTGAAAAATAGATGTTTGTTGCAATCAGACACACGCACCAAGGTGCATACAGGATAAATAATTTTAAAACGTGTATCGCTGAACAAACCACAGAAAAGAGTTTGGATTTGTGCTTAATAATGTTCACACTATTAGACTGGATAGCAAGTATCTTGTGGGGTTCTGGTTGTTTGGTTCACACTCAGGATGGAATGGAGAAAGGAAACTCACAATGTGCTCTCTATATACATGTTGTATTGGATGTACAATGCAGCTTGGTGCTGGGAAGGCAGCATGGTTACAAGCGTGATGTAGAGAGAGCTGGTTGGTGAGGACGCTCAGAGAAGGACAGCTTGTGGGTCGCCATGCTCGCCAGCGGGAGAAAGGACCGCCAGGCAGGCGGAGGAGCGAGGGAAGGCCGCCAGGCAGCGGCGGAGGAGGAGGTGGTGTTGCTGGCTGCGGCTGTAGGTAGAAAGAGAGAGATCACCACGAGGACAGGTCTTAAATAGCGGGGGTAGGCGTGGCTTAGCAGTTGACCCCCGCTCCGTGATGTATGGCGGCGCTGGTTGACCTAGACCATGAGGCATACACTGGGGAATTGGTGGGGTCGGCTAGGCAGCGACAAACAGCGTTTGTAGGGGAGAATTCCACTACAATCTGCACCTCATATATGTACAGACATCTTGACTGTCTTGAAAGGAGTCATGCTTGTCTCCTAATACACATTAGACAGTAGGATTAGCATGAGGCCTAATAATAGTTACTGTACTTACAGTAACTGAAAACCAAAGACAAAACTAAACTTGCCCATAATTTCATGATATACAGTACAGTACTGTATTTCCATTCTAACAATGTGCTGTAATTGATTTCCTTTAGTCAGTTTTGTTTTTAATTAGATATGTGGCATTTTTGGTGTCTTCTTTAGTGCCTCACCACCATAAATACTGTAGTAAAAATTATAAGATTTCAGTAACAGATGCAAAATCATTTTCTTTCAAATTTAAACTACAGTACAGTATTAGTTTCCACTGTTCCACTTTCATTATATTTTCAGCTTAAGATGATACTTTAGTAAACAAGAACTTTTTTACTGTTATCAATTGAGTTTGTGTAAATGTGTTGCAGATAGCTCCAAAAGGTCTGAGCAATGTGTGCACCATGGCTTGTGGCTCCTGTAGCAACGAGAATGCCTACAAAGCCATCTATATATGGTACCGCAACAAAGAACGAGGCACCACTGACTTCACCCAGGAAGAATTAGACAGCTGCATGATAAATCAAGCACCAGGATGTCCCTCATACTCACTCTTGTCATTCCAAGGTAAGAAACATAACAATCACTTTGAACACTGTGGAAGATATAGAAGTTGTTATCACTTATTTTAAATTTTTCTAATAACAGAGGAGTACAGTAGACTAAGGAGCACAGTGGTCGAGTGGATACAGCACTTGCCTACGGTTCCAGGGTTTGGTGGTTCGATTTCTGGGTGCCCCCAGTTCACCCAGCTGTAAATGGGTACCTAAGTTTACAACTTGGGGAAGTGAAGGCGGTCGAATGCAGTACCGGCCATGCTGCTTCTTTGTGCACTGAAGGCTTAGTTTATAGTGTGCTGTATCCACACTGTACCCACTTTTACTTTCACAGTAGACTTCCCTAATATGTAAATCATTTGCAACATCACACAGCCATGCTGAAACATCAGAATTATTTCTAGTATGCATGTATTTCCATAACAGGAGCTTTCCATGGGAGAACAATGGGATGCCTAGCCACCACCCACTCCAAATCTATTCATAAGATTGACATTCCATCATTGGACTGGCCCTTTGCGAGGTTCCCCCAGTATCTGTACCCACTGGAGGAGCACCAGAGAGAGAACCAAGAGGAGGACAAGAAATGTCTCGAGGAAGTGAGTCCATTTGTCTAGTGCAACACTACCTCCTTTTACCTGTATATACGTACTTGATCAGCATCGTCACTGTTTTACAGCCATTTTCCATACTTTTCAGGGTTAGCATAATAACATCGGCACATTACACATTTGTACAAATTAAGTGTCATGTATCTCTAGTTTTTAGGTATTTAAAGATGTTACACTTTAAATTTTCCCAACTAGCTGAACACCTCGCCTAACCAAATACTTGCACAGTACTGCACCAAGTGAGTGCCTCCACTTATGCCTTTAAATGTTGTAATGCACCTCTCTCTCCTATTAAGTGTTTTTGTAATTGTCAAAATATTTGCCAATCATTTTCAAATGCTATTTTCTCTAAGAACTAATTTTATATATATTTCATCAAACTGTCAGATGCTTCAAACAAACAATATCTTATAACTCATGTGAGAGAAAGATGCCAAGAGAACAACAACATTTAAAATAATGAGTAAGTTGTGTTAATAAATCTTTAATAAAAATAATGCCATCTATTAAACCAGTATCATATTAACATCCATTTTAGGCTGAGGATCTTATCCACAAATACAATAAAATGGGAAAGCCAGTGGCAGGCATTGTGGTTGAACCCATCCAGGCCGAGGGTGGAGACAATCACGCCTCACCAGAGTTCTTCAGGGAGCTACAGCAAATTGCAAAGCGGGTATGTTAATGATATGGAGGTAGCACAAAGCTATATATTGTATAGCTGAACTAGTCAGTAGTGCATAGGTAGCCAGGAGGGCATGTAGTGGCAGGTGTGAGGGAAAAGTGCCTGGGCTAGTGGTAGCCACTAAACTGTAGTGTGTCCCCCCTCAGGTGGCCACTAAACTTTAGTATTCAGTGATTATTATATCATGAAATAAATATATTACCAGAATTAAGTAAGATAACTCAGGAAGCTTGAATTTATTTAAAATTTATACATGCAGTATCAGTGAAAGACCAGCAACAAAAATATTACAGTATGAGTAAATTCCCTTAACCCTTTAGAGAGCAAAGTATCCCTTATGTATTCTATTCTGGCTAATGCCAGATGATTTTATTCAGCTGAGGGGAGGCCCTGCCCACTAAAGGGTTAATACAGTAATTATGTAATATAGTACAGAAGACATGGTAAACACAAAAAAATAAGTTCCGTAAATTGCTTCAGTCTGACAAATGCAGAAATTCAAATATTGATGAAACAGGACCAATGTTTGTGAATTTTTGAACGACTGTATGCTTAACTACAGTTAGGATACTGAGTGCAATTTCTTCATTTTATAGACTGGTGCAGCACTACTCATAGATGAGGTTCAGACTGGTGGTGGCCCCACTGGCAAGATTTGGTGCCATGAACACTTTGACTTCCCAGAAGCTCCAGATATTGTCACTTTCAGTAAAAAGATGATGACAGGTGGATATTACCTCAAGGAAGAATTCAGGTAAAATTCTTAGAAGAGACAACTCCTTTCAGAAAATGGCAGAGAGAGAAAGAGAGAGACAGACAGATAGACTGTATACAGTATGTGGCAATATTTCTGCATAAAAAAAAATCCTCATCAGCAATAGTTATTGGTTATAAATAATTAAACACCCAAATGCTAACATAACCTAACTTAACCTAACCCTTCTAAATAGCATTAGGGTGTTCCTTCATCATGTTCAATCTTAACATGATCCTACCTTTTGTTAAAATTTCACTTAATTGGTACGGATGTTTGGAGTAAAAGAATATGGAGATGATGGCATGAGTAGGACTAGCCATAGAAGATGTAGAATAATGAGGGAATACATTGAACATGGGTATATCAAAGTAACCCACAACAACAATACACAAAAAAGTGGAAGAAAACACATTAGACTGATAAATCTACCGTAATGATATGAATACTGTACAGTGCAGTAATCATTTACAAAACTAAAATGTAGGGTGATGCTGTACATGTTAGGGAAAGATACTCCTAAGTACAATACTTTGAGAATGAAAAAAGTGAGTTGTAATAATAATCTATTTACTTCCTTCTCTTCCTTGTCAGGCCACGTCAAGCTTATCGCATTTACAATACTTGGATGGGTGATCCCTCCAAAATCATCATGCTTGAGGAAGTTATCCAGGTTATCAACCGTGACAGACTTTTGGAGAATGTAAAAGAAACAGGAGCAGTTCTCATGAAGGTGAGTAGCAAAAAATTAGTAAAAAGAGTGTACTGTATAAGTCAAAAGGTGTGAGAGAGAGAAAGAGGAACAAGATGAGAGTGGGATGGACATTCATAAAGCAGTGGTATTATGAATGATTAGAAAGCACAGTATTGAGTGGCTTTAGGGGATGTACTTGCTACTGATGGGTAATGTTGGGTTTTACTAAAACAATGAAGAGATAAACCAGATGGATATCTTAGGGCTTTTATGCTGCTCTTCCGAGAGGCATTTTGTTGAATGTCACCTCTTCTGCTTGAAGTCCAGTATGAGTGAATCACATTAGTCATGGGTGTAATTTCCATTTCTATTTTTCCTTACTTCAGGGTATCCAAGGACTAGAGCAGCGGTTCCCCGGACACATTAACTCAGTCCGTGGTCGAGGGACTTTCATTGCCTTCAATGGCTCAGATGCAGCCAAGCGTGATTCAATCATTAGTAAACTCAAGCTGCTAGGTAAGTAGGTGACGCTGTAGTTAACTAATTTGTGTAAAGAGACTTAAGTTATCTTATAATACAATACTAAATGTAGTGTTGCTCTTGAGTTTCCTAAATACTGTACCTACCTTGTGTGATTTATGGCTTGTAGTGTACTAGATATTTCATGAAATAAGTTAGTGAAGGGTTTAGGAATTACTGTACATCATTTCAGCGTCTCCTTAATTTTTGCCCTCTTGCAGGTATTCACGCAGGAGGTTGTGGGACCCAGACAGTCCGTATGCGTCCTGCACTTATCTTCCAACCTCATCATGCTCACATCTTCCTAGACAAGCTGGAGACCACCCTCTCTGGGATGTAAATATATTTTGTATATAAATTGATAAGATTATAAAATGGAACATTTGATTACAGACAATGTCCAGGGAGAGTAAGGATATCAAATATTTTAATAAGAATATCAAATCCTTCAATTCTTATTTTTATAAGATATTTTCATTAAGTTGTCTTATTAAGGTCAAAACATGGGTGAACATATGGTATTATTCTTTTCCACGAATGTACAAAGTTTTAGCTCCAGAAATTTCAGGCCAGGTCGTATTGGCCTATGGGCATTTTTTAATTACCTACATAATCTAAAATTACCTCAGCTTTGCCAGAGTAAACACCCCTATATTCGGGGCTAAAGCATTTGTCCATTGTTTAATGTACAACACAACATAAGAGGTTCAACTTCTATAAAGTCAAATAAAGTACACTAAAGCCCTACAAATGATATAGTCTCATTACCTTCTCTTATGTGGTCATATCCAGAGGACAAAGTTGGCAAGATACTGTTTTTGGAATGTGTGTACAGTGTATGTGTAAGTAAGACATTTATTGTGTGTTCATAAACCTATAAATCAGTGTTATGTTAACAATGAATCTCTGAACTGCCCCTTAAATACATGTACAGTACTAGTCTGGGGTTTAGAGATAGCATGACACTGATTTTCAGGTTCATACATACACCGTGAATGTCTTCTTTGTATAATGTACTGTACATACACACACAAGTTCCAAAAAAGTACTGTATTGTATTACAACAACTCTGAACCCCAGATAACCCCTTAACATGAGGACAAGAAACTGGAGAATTTAACGCTTAAAACAGTTCATATGACAATATGTGTACAGTACATGAAAAAAATTTTGAGGTACAGTATCTTCCAGCAGCTTTCATCTTTAATGTATCAATGTTACATTGTTTTAGAAGCATTATATCCTGTATAATGGACAAGTCAAAATGTACCAAGTGCCCTTGCTTTTTGTATCGTGCTTTTCTGCACTCTCTCTTCTTTCTGAACATCAGAAGACGATTCTAATTACCTAATTTACATTACTTAACAATTTAAGTAACACACACATAAGTACTTTACATATTTCTCATGCCGTCTCTTAAGTATGCACATTCTCCCATCAAAAGCATCTAAGACAAATTTTTAGAGTACTGTAAGTACCGGGTACTGTAATTTTTTTAGAATACCCCATATGTTGAAAGCTAAAATACATTTAATAATAAACACAAATGCTTAGTCTCACCTTTGGTGACCATTCACTCCATAGTGAGCTTATTAATGTTTAGCAAATGGAAAGTATAAGACTTAAGCTGCTGGAAAACATCCTCTTTGACTCATTTAAATTAGAAGTAACTACAGGTACCCTTTTATTATCTTTGTATAGTTTAAACAGCTGAGAGAAGATGTAAAGAATGTCATTATAAATTTATTTCAAGATTTTCTTATTTTTAATGATGTAACAGATATGCAACATCTGCTTCCAGTATTAACCAATAAATGTACGTAGAAAGTTTTATTCAGTATTGAGCACAAGCTTGATGCCCTCTGCTAGGCTGCTCCTGTTAATGCTTGGATTGCCATGGGGGTTAAGACAATCCCCTAAATGTCTACAAGGAATTGAACTTATGATCACCCACTCCTCCCTGTTGTTAATATCTTTAATAAAAGCTTCTTTAAGTCCAGTCTTGACAAACATTGGCTCATGCTCAGTTATTACCATGAGTCTGCGCATGTACAGTACAGTACAGCTACTGGATGGTTAGGATGTGAACTAATCAAAATCTGCTCAGACTAAACACATTCATTGTCCTAGAGCTCTGGATACCTTTGGCTGATTTTTTCCCTTAAGGTTTCAAGATAATACCAAAGAACTTTACGGTGCAGGAGAATTAATGGTTTCAGTCCATACCCTTCTTATGCAGATAGGAACATTTCTGTAGGGCAAATGAGTCCTTAGTCCTCAGAGTAATGATAGTACCACTCCCCCCTCACTTAATAGCTGGCTATTATTAACCGGAACCACCTGGCAAAGGCTATCAAGTTAGAAATGGAAAATTTACCCGAATATTCTATTTTCTAACTGTGCCCATAACAACTCAGTTTAGACACCCTTCTCCTGCCTAGGATCTGCGAGTAATCAATTGGCTAAGACACAACTGTCTTTTAAGCCTCCAAGACCTAGTTTTTTAAAGGATAAAATTTGCTTCCAATCTCCCCATTTAAGGGAGAATGTTCCAATGGGGTGGATGAGTGATTATAACATCAGCTTCTATGATTAACTCGGGGTGTAATAACAGGAACTGCCTGGCCACACACTTGGTAAGAAAATAGTATTTCAGGTTTTTCCTTCATTTCTTAGTACAGTCGTAAGACTGAATGGGTAGCATGTGAGACTCAGTCACAAGTACAGTACGGTATACAGTACTGTACATCCATACAGCTCACATCCTTTCTATTCATAGTTCATTCAGTGTACCAACTTTTTTTTCTCCATGTGGCAACTAGTTTATGTCCTGGACAATATCAATACCTGTATTATTACAATACATGATGGATGTTGTAACAAGTGTTATAAGGCTAAACATAAAACTTTGTTAAGAATCTTATTTTACAAATGATGTAAGATTTTTATGAAAGTGTGCGCTAGTAGGTGACTCGGCCAAACATGGTGGGGTGCAACGATACACTAGAGACAGTGTTGAAATTTGCCATATGGCAGTGTGTACAGTATTGTAGTACAGTACTGTGTTAGACCAAGTACAGTATATTAACCTTAAAATTCAGCAGCAAAATTACCATATGTAGTTAGCAGTTTATATATCACTTTAGCTCATCCTCTGGCCAGAACATAAAATTTTTACTACAGTTCACAAGGGAAGAGGCAATTCAATAAATTTATTATATACCTCATAACTCAAGTACAGTATATATAAATATCTGTACAGTACAGTATCTGGAGTAAGTGGATGATCACCCCACAGTAAGTCACAGCCTTAAGTTAAGAAGCTACCAGTGCATGTACAGTACAGAAAACTGTCAGAGCCAACTTCTTTGGATTATGAGTTGTGAACTCTTGGAATAATCTGACAGCAAATACAGTGGTCCCTCGGTTAACGAGCGCCTCGGTTAATGAGATTTTGGTTAACGATTTACCTTCCATAAGATTCTTAACTTCGGTTAACGAGCAATCCCTCGATTAACGAGTTTTTTACAAGCCGACTTCAACATGTTTTCGCTTGCATTTGGCGGTCCACCAGCTGTAGTATTAGTCCACCAATACAGTAATCGGTTTTAGGGCTTAATTTCCTTACTATTTTAGTAAATATCAAGAAGTTTATACTATTCAATAATTTTAAAAGTTTAATATTAACTTTTTTAGTCATTTTAACAATTATTGAACATAATTGAAGGTAAAGAAACTAGTTTCTGGCGTGCCATCCAGCCTGTTAACACACCAGACAAGCGTTAGTCTCTCTCTGTTTTCAGAGGAGGTAACATCTTGCTTGAGACTCTCCAACTAAACACTTTTTTTCTGTTTCCAAGAAAATTATTGGTCATTTTGAAATATATTTTACATATTGACAATATATAATGCAGTGCAGTGTTGATTTAAAGAAAATAATCTTGAATTACACCAAGAGAGCTAAAATTTTATGGGTGAAATGGCGCCATGGGGTGACTTCTCTTCCACCCCAATGCCTTCTCTTCTTCCTTCTCCTCCACCCCCATTCTAATTCCCATCATCATCATCCAGGAGCCTTCTACATACACACCTCAAAGTAGGTGTACTTTTCTACCTTTTTTGTTGAATTTAGGCAATTTTCAGTGAGCTGGAACCAATAACCCAAAAACCCATTGAAACAATGGTTTCGGTTAACGAGCAACCTGCTGGAACGGATTGTGCTCGTTAACCGAGGGACCACTGTTCTAAGGCGACTCCAGATGTCAGTTATTTTTAAGTCCAGGCTTAACAAATACTGAAACATATTAAGGTTCTGTACATTCAGGAACCCACACACAGTAACTACACTTGCCAAGTACAGTACAGTACATAACATAGAATTTATTGACAATCCATTATGGCAACAAGGTGAAGAGGATAAGGTAAAATTACAGGACTAAAGCATTTAAAATACTGACAATACAGAGAAGACATGATTTTGATGAAAAATGATACGTGTGCACCAACCAAATTATACTGTACTTTGTGTTGAACAACTAAAAATTTTGTTTTGTAATACTGGACAGTACTGTACATGTATGGCAACATTCCTTATGTTAAATTTGTAATATTGTTTAATATATTACTGTACTGTGCAGGTCAATGATTCATTATCTGAAAACCTTGAGGCCAATTACATCTTGGTTTTAAGATTTTTTTTTTTTTTTATATCAGAGGCTTGTGTATACAGGTACAGGCCTGAAATCTTCTTGCACCACTGCTTTCTGCCTCTTGAATATAACAGTACAGTACAGTACAGTACTGTAAACTTGACTTAACTTTGGTTATCTTCAATACTGTACAGCACTTTTGCTTTTGGTAGTGTTTGGTTTTATCTCCTTTTGTAGAACAGTAGACAAAACACTGAATAATTTTTTACTATGAGTCTTTCACCGGCCAACACCAATGCTTCTCACCGCATAAATTGTGTTCATATATTTTTAGATGCTTTTATAATAAACACAATTATATTTTTAAACTGCAGTTATAAACTTAGCTGTGAGAAGCATGAACAAAGAAGTTTGCTGGTACAGGTTGAGACACTGGAAGACAGTGACAGCCTGGTCAGTTGATTGGCCGAGCCAGCTACTTTACAGATGCAAGGTCCATTTATCTGTGCTAATGCAAAATGAGTGCAGCTGTCATGCTTTTCATTTTAGTCTTTGTTAAAGTTGTGGATTCAATATACTGTACTAGGGGTTTGGGTTGGGCTCATCGTGAGATCTAGCAACATTAAAAGTACGGTCAGGATCTTTCAGTTCGGGGGATTTCTGATAGAGAATATCAGCCTGTGCAGTTCATTTATTATTACAGTATACAGTACAGTACAGTACAGGTATATCGTGGCACCCATTTAGAAAAGTAAGAGAAATTGATGCTCATTATTGTTAGTCAGATATTATTACATAAATATCCTGTACTTCCATATTAATGGCAAAACTGTATCCTTCCTATTTAGAGGCATATACGTGTACAGCATTATAAACTATTAGTAATGAGCTTACTGTGTAGTTCTAATTTTTTTACTTAAGAGTGAAGAGGAAGCTTTATTTTTCTGATAATAGTTTAACAGTCAGCATTCAGCAAATAATTTCAATACTGTTAAGCCAAATTTTAATTCAATGAAAGGAAAGTATCCTTTATTAAATATTTTTTCATAAAAACAGTATTTTTGTTATCCAATTTTAGTAAGATCAGCATTTGATAAATTTTAGAAGGTAATAATATATTTTAATCAATTTAAATTTTGTGACAACTTACTTTTCTTTTTGCATTTATGAAAACACTGCAAACTGTAACATTATGCTTTGAGCATGTTGCCATCTTCACCAATTGCTGATGCACTAAATATTGCCTCTATGCCTTCTAACAGTGTTGAGATTTCAAAGCTTTGTGCCAATTTTTATGCACTGATTAATACTTTGCACCTTAATTATACAGTACTGTATATATAAGATTATATTAAACTCCAGAATGATTATTACAATTAAATATCAATTAAATTATGTGATATGTTTGCTAGTTTGCCTGGCCAAGTTACACTTGTAAAATTATTAGTGTATACTGTATTCCATTAGGATTATGGAGGGATTACTGTACAAGGTTATTTCTTCTGCTAAAGGTGCTCTAAAATTAAACACTAACAGTTTCGATTACAGGTATTAAAGTTACTGTATTCACAAATGCAAATGGTTCACAGTTAGCCAATAGATTTTACCATTATGTTGCAGGAACTTACTGTATGGCAAATGCATTTAACTTTTTTATTGTTCTCATATCCAATACTGTAATAATACAAACTAGCAATTTTTTTTTTTTTTTTTAATCCATGGAGTGATAAGTACTGTTACTGTTATGGGGATAAATAAAATTCTTTAATATTTATTAATTCCTACAATGTATTTTTACCCCAAATTTATCAAATATGAAAAAATTTTCCTTAATGTTACTGTACAAGGAGATGGTCAGCCCAGTACAGTAGTAGTACAGGGATCATGCCCAAGGATTGAAAGAGAATGGTTGAAGAAGGCATGGAAGGATGGAAAGGTGGTTACAAGCTCTGGAGTACAGTAGTTGCAGAGATGCTGTATCAGACAATGTAGGCATGTCAATGATCACCGAACTGAATAATGCAATCATGATGAAATGTATTGGTCCAGGAAACTGACGGTAGTACAGTATGATCATGAATACTGTACGTGTACTGTGCTTACCAAAAAGTTACTTTCCTGAGACATGTTTATAAGTCGACCTTCACTTTTGTAGAAACCTAACATATTGTAAAAAAATAAACAAATAAATTATGTACAGTACAGTTACACCTTACGTTAAAGCCTTAAAATATGACATACTTTTCTTCTCTTTGGCAATGTATGTTCTACCTGACATAATCTTCCAATACAATCTAGTCTCATCCACATTAAACACCCACTCTAGCAGGTAACCCTCCGGCTCAGTGACGATGTTCATATCACTGAATGCTTGTAAATTAAAGAGCACCTGTATTTACAAGGGTAAAAGTGATGCACTTTGTGAGAGGTTGGAGTCATAGACCACGTTCTTTATAGACTTTATTCTAACAGCGTCAGCTGGAGACTGGCAACCGGGCGCTGCCAAAGACAAGCCCCCATCTCAACATGGGAAAACATATCGTACGATGGTACAATCTTACACACTTGAATGTGGAAACTACAGGCAGTAGTGCCTCCCTATAAGATAGCTGCCTACTACCAGACTTAATATAACCCAATCTAACCTAAACAAACTAATCTAACCAAACATAACCTTAGCTAATTTAATCTACAACAATCTAACCTAACCTAATCACACCAAATCTAATCTAACCTAAGCTAACCTAACTTAACATCATGAAAAACTAGATGGTTAATATATAGGATTAACCAGCGAGCGAGTTATTTTTATTACTGTTTATTTTCTTACAATATTTTCATCAGTGAGTTCTGATACGATAAATCATTTATTGTGGAAATTGTTCCGTTTTATAGATAATTAGGCGCCTAGGCGAGCACTAGTTAATCTAGCGGGCGGTAATGGGGTCGTGCTCTGCTGATGGGCTTTTCCCGCGCCCGGGGCAGTTTGTTTTTCAACATGACGTGTGAAGGTTGTCGTCGATCTTACATGGACGTAATTTGTGAATTTAGGGGTAAAGACAACGAAACCCTTCAATTGTTTAAAGATCAAGATCACGGCATTGTTCCTTACATAGACTGTTTATTTTCTTACATTATTTTGAACAGTGAGTTCTGATATGATAATCATTTATTGTGGAACCCGGCAACACAGTAACTCACTCCGCCACCCAGGCTACATAGCGCCGATGCTGCCATATCATCTCAGGTCCAGAAAATGCCTCAAATTTGACCATATCATAGTAAGTTCTTTCTGTTTAATATACCAGGGGGTCCGGGAGGCAGAGCCCCCTGGTAAGGAACTAAGGTACGGTTAGGTAGGTTTGTTTGGTTAGGTCTGTTTTTCATACCCACAAATGTTAATAACGTTTATTTTTAAAACATCCATTTTTAAACATATTTTCACATTCTACAACAGTGTCCACTATAATATAACAGTGAAAATCCGGCGTTTTTATAATTGTTTTCAATCAATTTCGCTCACGGGTTGGTCCTATATAATTACCCAGTAATTAGCTGTAACTTACTTGTATACACTAAGATGTGATGCAGCTGACAGCAAAGACGCCAGCTTCACCCAGTGGTCCTGACATGACTTACCGACTCATTTTGTCATTTTCACCTTCACTTGTCACTGTCACCTTCACCTGTCAATGCCAGCTCTTTCTGTCAGTCAGAGGCGTTTGTGAGCTGTTATTTTCTCCTATCACTGTCATCTTGTGTTACTGTCACCTCCACCTGTCACTGCCAGCTACTCATGGCACTGTCACCTTCACATAATACTGTCAATAACTTCTGTCACTGTTAATTCATTGCTCCCGTCACCGTAAGTACCGCCACCAACTCCTCTCAACCCTCGAGAAATATGAACCCAACACCAGCCCCTTAACAAACGTAGTCATAGTTCTCAGTAATTAAATCTAATTTAGCTAATAATTTATGATAATTATATTAATATGAGTATACTTATCCACACGCAAGAAAGTGTACAATAATTCAGCTGAACTTGACAGATATTAGTACAGTAATTCTTGGGGAAATTAACGACCAATATCTGCCAAGTCCAGGCCAGTTGCTAAATATATATTTATAATAATGATTATAAATAATATAATTATATGAATAGTGACCTTAATCACCTTTGCTTCTCAGGGATCGCCTTATCAAACCTCAACTTTGGGAGAAATAGGCAAAATTAACCATCCTATGTAAGAATGAAAAAGTTAGCAAAAAATTAATATCTTTCTTCTGCCAACATTTTGACTCTTATTAAGCCATCTCCACTTGGAGAACTAGGAGTTTTACATAAAGTGATTTAGGATCAACAAACTTTTTTATTTGTCTTCCAAAGAAAATAATATGAACTCATATTGGATCACCTGAAGAATCATCGCCCCAGCTCATATTTTATCTTCATTTGAACTTTAAATCATCTCAAATTATTTATTAATACATATACTATCGTGAAAAGTAATATTATTTTAATCAAAACCTTACATTAAAGTTGAAGCTTCCCACAACCAAGAATATTTTTTTTTTTTTTAAATCCACCAGATGTCAGAACAAGACGGTCAAGTAAATTGGACGTGAGAGCACCACCCAAAACTTCTGTAATTTTATAACCATAACCACGAACATTACCAATGAACCAATAATTACTACTATGAATCGAAAATCTAAAATAAAATTCAACTAAAGTTAACTTAACAACAGCTACTAGTGTCGCCGCTCTGTCTCCTGTGACCCACGCTGATAATTTCCTTGGAAATACTTTTTCCTGCTATACAGCATTTCATTGTTTGGATTGTTGTTCCAATGGAGTTTAGTTACTGCCAGTGTTTGTTATGTTATGTTACATTCAAGCTTCTGCCGTACAGGATCTTAAAATGAGACCTCTTATCTATTTATCTCCATTTTGGATGTGTAGTGAGTGGCGAGTGAAAACGTGGAAAATAGTGAGTGAAAGTGAGGAGTGTGCTGGGTAGAGTATGGAATGATGAATGAAAGGTGTAGGGAATGGTGAGTGTGTTGGGAAAGAAGTGTTTGAAATTGTTATTTGGAAAAGTCACAGAAAAAGTAAATATTGACATAGCCACATATAACCCTTTGGCTGCTTGAGGTTTCCCAAACCTGAATAAAATCGTCTGGCCGTAGCCAAAGTAAAATTATAAAACGTGGAGATGGCAGTTTAAAGGTTAAATAGTCCTGTTAAAATTAGGTTACTAAGGGTTGTGACTCTTTTTCTCCTATATTTGTGGTGTCAGTTCCTTTGGTTAAGGATAAGTCAAAGTGGAGAGTGAATGAATAAAACTGTCGAGTTGGGATGAGGGGTGATAATGTGTGGCGATGAGTGAGTCTGATTACTCACTGATCAGTTATAACTTATAAGTGAATTGTAAGGTGTAGTGAGTGAAAGTCCTGGGTGTGTAAATGAAATAAAAAGGCAGACAAAAATTAATGGATAACAGACAAGGGTAAAAGGAACGATAATCTTTTTTTAAGGGGATTAGCCCACTCGAGCACAGGTCAATGACCCACATCAGGGCCTGGGGACGAAGATAAATAATAATAATAATAATAATAATAATAATAATAATAATAAAATGCAAGTTAAAAAAATAAAATATAATATTAATACAGTAATAATACTAATAATAACCATAAATGAAAAAATAATGAAAAAGAGATCAATAGTGAGAAACATAGATATTGAATTGAAACAGTTTATTTAAGTTGCGTTGTCAAAGTAAGAGAAACAATTGTATACTGCCAGACTGGGGTCACTAATCCTAAGGGGGAATACTTAAATCTAATCTTAATTTCTAAGGGTCGCTGCCACCAGACCCCCCTGGACAGCACGTAACTCGTTAAGTAGCGTGCAGAGTGGACTAGGCATTGGGTTAGGTTTTCATTGACCAGATCGATAAGGGTTAAGAAAGGTGAAACCACAACCTGTCTTAGTCCTTTCAAATGTGAAAGAGACCTAGGGGTCCTTACTCACAATACACTAATACTGATACAAACACCGACATGGGTCCACCACCCAACATGGGGTAATTATTAACAAACACATACAACTACACTGTGGACCATAACTCCAAGGCCTGCCCCAGGGTATAGCACTGGCGCCTCTTAACAACTACTGTTGTGGTCGGTTAAACTCCGACCCGAGGTGGGTCTGGGGTCCTCGGCCCACGAGGTAAAGTGGAGCTGATAAATCATGCCGAATCAGCACCATCACTCCTTTTTTTACCACTGCTGGGTATCCACCAGCTCCGAGCGACCGGTGGGTTTCAATTAAGCCCACCCTCGATCTGGGAACGAAGGTGAAAGATGATTTGGGAGGTTTTTTGGGGAAGCATGGTGGGTCACAAACAAATCTTCAGTCTCACCACGTCAGATATTTACGTTATATTACTTCGTACACTGGTTGAATGACAATTCCACTGTTAAAGCATGAACACTGATATTCACTACAATAGACTGAATCAAACTGAATGCATGATAAACACAGAACATACCTGGGAACGAAGGTGAAAGATGATATGGGAGGTTTATTCCTCCCGCCTCGCACTGGTTTATATATCCCTGAGTTGCCAGCGATCGCTACTCACGCAATGACAGAAATTACAAACAATATAAGTGCTACTCATTCAAGGATGACCCTCACTTGACAAAGATCTGGCGAATTACTAAAGTTGATTTACACAGACTAATTCAAGGTTGCGTTTGCCAGTAGAGAGTGCAATAAACGTAGTGACAATTGTGTTCGAAGGCGAGACTTACTGGGAGTGATCCTGAGGGTAAAACAGATGGGAAATACACGTCTCTCCTGAGATTCTACAAGCGCGGTGGATTTGAATGTTATGTAGCGTAATATGAATTAAAATGGGTTTTTAGGAATGACAATGATGTGCGCAGTACAATTGAGACCCTGCAATTGTGAAAATGAGGCAGAAAGTCAGATCAGCAACCTGGGACTTGGTAACAATTTTTGTGATGCCAAATGGCAGCAGGGTCTACCATTAGACAACACATTATGCTTCCAATATCTTCCCAGGCGGTAGTACCTCCCTGTGTTACAGAGGATACTAACCATCACTGTGCTATGTAGGATGTTGGCTATGACTTGCAAAAGGTTATGCAAGATATTGGTTATGAGGGTGGCTCTTCTTCTGTCCAACTGTTTGTTAAGGCCCGTCCACACGATCGAGCAGTGCCCGGCGGGCATGCGCTAAATGCCCGTTATCGGGCAAAATTGGGGGGTAAACCAGCGGATTGCCCGTGCCCATCGTTGAGCGAAATCATGGTCCGCCTGCCTGGTGGTTTGCTGCCGGATATGGAGCGACGACTCTGCCAGACAAACGATAAGACCGGAAAACCGACATTCCTATAATATTGTCATTAATATTCAACATTACACAAGCCTGCAATACAAGACACGTGTTATTATTGGAACCTCACGTGAATGTCAAAAACAGCTGATGACTACGCCACCGCTGACCTCGGGGGTCGGGGTCCTCAAGTCGGTGAGGTGTGAACAGAGATACTGACAGAACGTATGCTAGCACTTTGTAAAACCTGAGTTAAGTACTGCAAATGAGATACGTATATGTTCCCCGCTCGGTCCAGATGTCCAGTGTATAACCAAATAAGCTTATGCAATGTACATTATTGGAGTGACAATAAACGGGAGATTGTTTATGTACTGTATTATGCAATGAGGACATTCGTGTGTGTTCTTTGTTCCTGCCGCTCTCCTCACTCTAGTCCCATAGCTTCCTCTCTATGCAAATCATAATTCTAACATTATTCAATGAATTTTTATGTACTACAAATCTTACCTGCAAGTAATCTTCCTTGAGTACTTCACACATGGCTTGACAAGTTACAGGTATTATGCAAGACAAACTTCGTTTTGATATCCTCGTTCTATACTGAAGTGACGTGTAGGTGCACCCAGTTGAAAGATATACGAGCGTTGCCTCTAGACGAGCCTCTGCAGATATACTCTACCTCATATTGGTATCCTGTTTTTTTTCATATATGGTTCCACTTTCGCTAGAAGTTTGTAAAAGATGTTGGGGTCCATTCTCATGTAATTGGTGAAGTCCTGCTCATGCCCATCTTGCAGTTCACGTAAAATCGAGGCATGACTTCCCAATACTTTTCTTCGACCTAACCACTGTTAGCACCATTCCCTTTTCTGCATTTGGTTCTTATTTTTGCACATAACAGCAATTATTATAGTACACAACGCTATACTCTTCACTTTAACTGTCCGGCGATTATTCCTGCGACACACCATGGTGATCATACAGTACCCGCCACTGCCGACCACCTACGAGCTACAGGCGCCCGACTATGACTGCCGCCAAGCGCCAACCACTCCCGTGTGTACAACACAGGCCGCCGGGCACTGCTCGATCGTGTGGACGGGGCTTTAGATTGGGTGGAATCAAAGGTATTTGGTCATATTAACTCTCCACCTGTAGTTGATAATCTTTCTTCCCTTTGCCACAATATTACTTCTGTCTTTTACAGGTACTTTAACGTCAATGTTGGATGGTTTTGGCATCCTGTGCACAGCCAGCTCTTAACACATCTTGACGGCGGTGCCCACGGTTTCTCTGTGGATGTTGGTCACTAGAATAACGTGTTATAGTACGTCCTCCTTTCCTCACACAGCCACTGTGGAATGAATACTTTTTTTTTACTGCTATTCTTGGGATTGTAGAATTGCTTCAACAGAGGGAAATTTTCCCAATACATTACTTTTATAATAGGACAAAATAAGGTTGTGACGTGACCGTAACTTGATACGCTGTATAAACCAGTACAAGAATAAAAAAGTTAAGGCACAATGCGGTACTGCACTTGCCACCAAATACCATTAGTAATGTTAACCTTTCCGCATAATTGTAGCCTAGCAAGGTTTTTGCAGCAACATATGCTTTCAAGAAATTACTCCATGCTCTAATAGATTGGTTTATAAATTTGATTGGACAACCTTCTGTTCTAGCATGATCAGTGCATTTGCTTATATCCCTCACCTTTTCTAGAAGTTTAGCCATGAACTAATGAAATATCTAATATTCACTGGGAACTAGTCAATTCATTGCTTGTGTATATACAGGACACCTATATTGCTTTTGATTTCAATCATTAACCTACACTTGGGTTAACTATACTGCACCTAGTTTGCATTTATGTACACTTTTAGGGTCAACTGTAGTAATAGTATTCTTTTCCATGATTCATGAAGGATAGAAACTAGTCAATTTCGGATTGTGTTTATTGGAAATCACTCATTCAAACAATTATACCTTGTGCTGCCCATAGAAGAAAATCAAGTTTTAGGATAACAGCACTAACACATCTCTGGCTCGTACAAACATACAGGGTTGTGCTGCATACACTATGGCGATGATAATGATTCAGATGATTATGAAGCATGCAAACTTTACCCATTAGGGGGTAGTGTTACTTCGTCACTGAACCTTCAATAAGTAGCAGCTACTGGAATGTTATAGTTGTGCTGCTGAATTTTTGAAGGTCCCTTGACTGGATTCGACCGAAACCTGTGATCCTAACAGGAACGCATGATCATGGGTTTCAATCTGTACTTTTGATGTTCCAAGTACGAATTATGCTAATTTTAATTTTAACCGATTTAATGAATTTAATTTTACAGTTCATCGTGATCAATTTCGTTTTCTAGGTCATCTTCATCCTCGTCGTCAATATCTTCGTCGTCTTCATCATCATCTTTTTCTGCTTCTGCTGCCTTTGCTTCTTCCTCTGCTTTCTTTCGTTCTTCTTCATCCTGTTCATCCTTCATCTTTTTGGCACCATCTTTAGTAGCTCCCCAAGTTTCTTCGCCAATTCTCTTTGCCTCTTCAATGTCATTAGTGATGAGGAAGTTATCAAAGATGGTACCAGACTTAACTTGCCAGAGGTCAAGGCCAACAGCACAAATCTCATCATATTTGTAAAGCTCTGGGTCAGGAGTATATTCTGGATTGTCAATTTCAGGGTGGACCCATGGCCCCTTGTAGTCAGGGTTATCAATTTGCTTGGGCTTCCATTCACCTTTGTAGTCAGGGTTATCAATCATGGGTGGTTCCCACTCGCCATCCATCTCATCATCCCAGTCCTCAGGCTTTGTAGCGTCTGGGTCAGGAATGTGTTCTGGTTGGTCCCAATCTTCGGGCTTTGTGTCTTCAGGATCGGCAATAGTGGGACGGTCATCCCAATCGTCAGGCTTCTTTGCTTCGGGATCCTTAATCTTCTTGGGTGGAAGCATATCCCAGTCTTCCTCCAGTTCACCTGACTGTACTTTTTCATTATCAATCAAGACCTCATAAGTGTTATCTGGGTTAACAATCAGAGTGTAAAGGTGAGAGAATACATCATCTTTGCATCGGACTTCCTTTTTAATTAGGTGGTTCTTTCCTTTGTAGTTAAAGATGACATGAACCTTCTTTGTTCCTGGACCACATATGTCTGGACCTATAAGAAAAGAATTAAAAAATCAATGATAAATCTGAGGGAACAAACTTTAATATCAGTGATATATTAAGAAGCATATACACGATTAAAACAAATCTTTACAAAAAATTATGAACAAAATGAATGAAACTGAACTAACCCTTCATAATTTAAAGAAAACTTAATTATTCAGCAACTGAATTGTGAGAGCAAAGTTCTTAAACTTGCTTTAGTCAAGGTTTAATTCATACATATTTTCAACATTGAAGCTGTTTGACATTCAATATTCCCACTTCGGAACTACTGCACTGTGTTTATGATCAAATTAGCAAAATTAAATGTCCTGTAAATGAATTTTTAATTCTCTTTTGTGCTACAAATTCTAAAGGGGCACAGCACTGGACAATGTTGACCTAGTTGTGATTATCCATATGCAAATAGTTAAAAATCCACCATGGAGATATTGTGAGAACTCCTGCACAGGAAGGACAAAAGCATGACTAGTTCACTAGAGTTTAACAGGATTGTAAAAAAATTTTCATTGTTTCAGCAGAACACGAACAATTTTAAACCAATGACTACCTATAGCAATGAACAAAGACCTGACTAATGGACATGTGGCTCTTTACACGTTTGAAATGCAGACCTAGGATTGTTGACAGTTCTAAATTACAAGGGGTGGGTGAGGTATTAATATTTTTTTTTACACAATTCATGGTAATTGAAGTTAATCCTGGAATGGGTAACTCGGCACATTTGAAGAACCTACAGTAACAGTTAAACCACTAATATTGGCACACACTGAAACCCAGGGAGATTTGACCAATACCCTGTATGCTGGAACTACTGCACTTAAATACCCACGACATCCACAATATCAAAATTAAATTTCAATGCCATGGTAGCCAAAATACAATTGTGAAAATGTAAGCAATGCACAAAGACAAGGGAGATTCCAAATTCAAAGCAATCTGCCAAAGCACTCCTATACCCTGAAAAGACAATGTAGGCCATTATTGTTAATGCCAGTTCTGCGAGTGAACAAAGGCTAAAAAGCTTCTCTCAAATGTCCCTTAGAGATAATATTTTGCAGTATTACTTGATGCCATAGCATATTCAAATATGAAAACTGTAGTAGTCTGGACAATTTTTCAGTTACCTTTGAAGTCTTATCTGCAGGGTACAATTGGACAAATTAAGAAAATTAGGACTAAATATTACAATACTTTTAAGTATAGCCCATAAAAACCATGCATCGAGCCTAGCAATTTAAATTTACAATAATTTAAGAGGCACTGCCACGTTAAAAGCCGGTGAAAAGATTCCATTACACGTCACTTGCCAAATAAAATCAGGAGGCATCAGGGGCAAAAACTAGGGTTGTGTCACCCTGCTGTTAAAAGCAATAAGTACTGTACTCCCAAAATTTGAGTTCTGTTGGGTACTCCCAATTTGGGTACATGTACACAGTAGTGATGAAAATTACCATTCCATTTTTTCTCAAGTTGTGGGTAACATGTTAGTACATCCCCATTTCCAACCAAAAATGAAAAAATATCCAATTACAAGTTTTGTTTACTGCATGATGCCTTTTATCACTAGGCAGAAAAATTTTCCTTTATCAAGCCTAACCTGTGTTTTACCATCAACCAACCTTGCTAATTTCCTCAATTCACTTTGATAAAAAAAAGAGATTCTATAAATTTAAAGTATTCCTCTGCAATTTAATTAATAAAAGTCCTTTTCCGGTTTAACAACTTCAAACTTACCAAACATAATCAGATATGGGGACTCTCCATGCATGTCCTTTTGGTCAAGTGAACAGTCGAACACCTTCAGGTATCCACCACCACAGTCGATATTCTGCTCGTGCTTGACGGTGAACTGGATAACTAGCGGGGTTTCTTTATTGCCAAATGGTTCAAACTTGCTTGAGAGACCATAGAAACGTGCATCCTGAAATCAATTGGTACATGTAAACAAGGGAAATTTTTCATAAACATTTAATGCCACCCAAATAAATTATCACTAACAAAAAAATTAGGTTCCAATTGAAATTGGGGAACATGCCAACTAAACAGATGTATCTTTACCTGGCCAGTTTGAATTCCTTTATCTTTCTCAGGATCACCATAGAATTTTCCTGGAGTCAATTTAAAAGGACCAAACTCCTTTCCCTTGTGTTCAGACTGAACCCAGCGAGAATCCCAATCTGTAAGTAAAGAAATATTTTGTTAACATTCTGAAGTAAATCATTAACTTAGTTACGCTACATATGGATGAAGATACTTCATAACTAAACATTGTTGGTCAACTTTGAGCATATCCAAACTCAAACTCGTGCTGACAAATAACCTGTCTGATAACTCCCGCACATGTATGAAACTTATTTCCTTTACGTCTTTTACTATTTTTTTTGCACACTGCATTTAATGAGAAAAAAAAGCCATCTGAAATTACGAGTAGAAAAATTAACACGCCGAGTGGTAACTCTGGCTCCTCAGGTTCATGGAAACTGAAACCATTTTCCCCTACAAGTTATTAATACAGTATATACAATTGATAACCTTACGAGGTTTTTTTTTTAAGTCCCTAACTCCGCCCTATAATGGTTAACACCAGTACCAATGTCAGGTTACTAGTTTCTATCATATGCCAGTGTTTGGAGAAAAATTACACAGTAAACAAGTACAGTACTGTACAATGACAAGATTAAGTTACTGAAGTTTAGTTTTGTTTTTAATTCTATATATTCCCTCTGCTTCAAAACAGTGTCCACACACAAGGCAACAAGTATCGTAATTATTATGCATTTCCCAAAACAGAACAACCCTACCATAAATACAGGGACACCTGTACAAGTAGTTATTTATTCAAGCGGTAGAAAACTTGCAGCATCAGTGTTGCACACAATCTGTAATTTCCAACTTTAACAAACCTTTGTTGTCCTACCTCCTAGTGATAACAAAACAGGATTTTTATATATCAAGATCACCCAGTAAAACCTACACGTCCGAGGATGGAAGTATATTTTAAGTCGATTTAAGTTAGATTACATAATGTATGGAAATGTTGCCGTGAAGTTTGTCAAGCACAAACATGGCATCCTCACGTACTCGTTTACCATACAAAAACTTGCTCTCAAGTTGCAATTCCTCCACTTTTGATATTCTAGAAGCAAGATACGTTTGCTTCAAAAAAATTTCTTAAGAGTTACTGGCTAAATAAACTGTTAAGAGCATTATCCAGCAAGATATTCCTTGCAAAAAACTCCAATTATTTCTTTGCAATCAATAGTTGTAATTATTAAAGACCAGTGTTGTATGTTGACGGCGTTAATTTAACGCTTCAATGGAAGCGGTTACTTTTTGTTAACGTTGATGCCATCAATTTTTTTTTGGCAAGTGACTACAGGTGAAGCAGTCAACTTTTCACCCAAGCAGAGCGTCAATTTGTTCGTCAACTTTATTTGTATTTTTCCAAGTTCGATTTTCAATTATCTTGTTATAAAGACGACCGGGGGAAAAATTTTGCTGCGCCCGCTGCCCGTGCAGTTTTCTACAGATTTGAATTTTCAAGTCAGGAAAAAGGCCACCAACCAGCTGTCCAGGTTGGAGAAGTCCATGCACGAGACCGAGAGCAGCAGCAGTGAGGGAGACGATAAAGACCATGACGTGGAGGACGAATTGTTCCAGGCCGTGTACGAGACCCCCCGCAGGAATGAAAAAGACTGACCTTTTCAAGAGTTTCCTGGGGGAGAAACCTTCGACAAGGACACCTTCCCCAACAAGGTCACGAGGGAGTTCATCAAATACAACACCCCCATCCCCTCTAGTGCTGCCATGGAGCGCATGTTCTCCATGGGCAAGGACGTCTTGAGGCCCAAGTGCAGCAGAATGAGCGACAAGCATTTTGAGATGCTAGTTTTCTTTCGGGGAACAAAAGAAGAATTAAAATCTTAATATAAATCAGAATAAATGATAAAAAATGAATGAATATTTTTTTTGATTTTGCATGTCACTCACACAGGAGAAAACGCGCTTCAGGGCTGCATTTGTACGTCACTGAAAACTCGTTGACGCTAACGGCGTCAATTTATGAAAACGTTTACGCTGACACTGACGGCATCAAATTTCTCGGCTGCTTACGCTGACGGTGTCACTTTTTTTCGTTGACGCGTACAACACTTAAAGACATAACCCATCACCGATTTTTTTAAAGAAAATTTAAAACCTCGCAATTTCACCATTTTACATTGGACATGTAGCTTGGGCAAACGTGTTTATAAGGTGGTTATTTCTAAATTAAACCTAACTGACAAACAAAAGCGGCCGATGCATTGACAGAAGTTCGCACCAACATAACCAATAAACCAACTTAACCTTGCCTAACTTCCTTGCTGTGGGGCTCTACACCCAGCATATTAAGTAAGAACTTACTATGATATGGTGTAAGTGTGTGGACGTGAGAAATCCGCCCGGACAGAGCAGTTCATAAATACACCAAGCATTGATCGTGCCACCTTACCGATTTATTGCTACGAAAGAAAGTAATGCTGCTAGTATGAGCCTAGGGGCCTAATTATCTACCAAACTAAGCATTAGCCCAATAAATGAATATAACCAAACTCGGCGATGAATGTATAAGGAAAGACCCATCAAAACAAATTAGGCTGCAACGGATATCTTGTCAACATGAAACCAAGAGTCTTGGAATTGTCTAAACTATTGATTGCAATGATAAAATTTTCAGACTCCGTTACACACAGAGGAAGCATGGCCGGTACTGCACCTTACTGCCTTACACTTCCCCAAATTGTAAACTCAGGTACCCATTTACAGCTGGGTGAACTATGGGCGCCCAGGAATCTTACCACCGACCCCTGGAACAGGAGGCAAGCGCTTTATTCACTCAACCGCCATAAAGTGATGTACATACTGTACTTGCAAAGTAGCAAGGTTAACCTGTATGAATAGTAGCAATTACTGTAGAATATACAGGAAATTATCCCATATGCATTAGTATTTCACCAAGTACATACAAAGCCTAAACTACATATACCAGGTCATTAGTGCCCTTCAATCACAACAAAGAACAGTAAAAGGGCATTTATTAACGTTCACTTCCAGTCCGGTACACCCACAATAAGCCTATACCGTACAGAACACGCCCTTTTTACTGTACACCAATAATTAAGTTTGACTGCGAACACCAAGGTAAAAAAACACCCTATGTTAAGCATGTAGTATAGTTCAAGATAAATGTAATAATATTTGACAGTATGAACTGTGAAACCGCCGGTCACCCAACCGGGCTGTCCTCTTACCTACCGGAACCCGCCCAGTATTTAACAAATTTCTGAATGAAATACGAAGTTACACGCCTATTTACCTGCAGAAGAGAAGGTCTCCTCAAACATGACCTTTGCTTCGACAAAGGAAACCCCTAAAAGGGCAGCAAGTATCAAGATCTTCATAGCTCCGTCAATAGCGACTCCTCTCACTGGCCGCGGATCCTTCTCTCACTCCTCACAGACGGACGACTGCCGCAGATATTGCTCAGTAGCTGATACAAGTGGAGAACGCCTATTGGTCGGGAGAATATCGTATCATAAGTAAAAGACTATATAAGAAAGTAGTAAAATAGGGAGTATGAATCTAATAAAGAATAGCTTGAGTTCGACTTACCGATCCTCATTTGTTTTAGTTTCATCTCTTACTGAAGCAAACTAGCTTTCACTAAAAGTAATTTCCTGAAGGCATAAAACTAAACAATAATTAAGCCAACATTTGAGCCATTTAATATTTTTTAGACGTGCGGAACTTGATGTTATTTTCCGAATCCTTTATATAATGGGACTACAGAGTCTAACATCTATAGCGTAAACACACCAGTGTTGTTTCTAACTTGGAGGAACGTCATTGGTTGTTAAGCTTCACTTGGACGTCGCTGATTGGTTGTGCTTATGTCATGGAATGTGTTCATTGGTTGAAGGATTTGTTTTGGTCTGACGTCACAGCTAGGAGGGGGTACGAGAAAATGTGAAGTCGTATAAAATATTTATTTTTGCCACCCTATTAAACACAGTAACTCCTCTATACACGGTAAATTATACTGATTCATTATTTAAAACTACCAATCAAAATTACCATGCAACCAATTCCCCCCAGCCATACCAGGTGGACCCCAGTAGAATCTCTTGCAATGCTTTTACCGTATATATAAGGAAACAATAGTAATATTCAAATGCTGGGAAATTAGTTGAATTTGTAGCTTGGAAGTAGTAAATGGAAATAAACAAAATATTTAAAAAGTTTTGGTGGTATAATGTTTCGGTTATTATTTGTTTAATACCTATGTGTATGGTGAAAATAATCATTGTAAAGGTTAGGAAGAGACTCGTCTTTTTTAATTCAAGTAGATTTTGGGGTAAAACGGAACTAGAGTATCTCACATTAACCAGTATGAATTTTTTTCTATATTACATAAATGTTTATTTACTTAAAGAAAAACCCCAAAAGTTTGGAGGAGAAATTAAAAAAAAAAAAAAAATACTAGTCAATACTAACCTACAGTCACACAGTGTAATGCCATATCTTCACATTTTACATCAGGGACACTTCATTTAATCCCCAAGAATGATTTTAAAAACTTATAAATTACATCACTGTACTGCTAGATGAATAATCAGAGAGGAAATCAATCTACCTAACTATCCTTGGTTAGGTTAGTAAATTAGGAAATACTGGTTCATTTTATCTGATAAATCATATATTCAGCACTGTATATAATGTTGCAGTAGCTGGTAATTCATTCCTCTGTTCAAGAGTTTGTATCAATGAAATGTAATGGAAAAATTTTTCCTTGTATTTTCTAGACAAATTTTATGATAATCTTGGAGTAGATGAGTAACACTAGAATGCATTGTTCGACTTCATTAATTTTTTACACATGTTCTTTGGATGCTAGCAAGTAAAAAAAGAAAACACAACAATGCACAGAACATAATAGAACCTGACCTAATGTAACCTGACCATAGGAGACTGTTAGCACCAGAATCCGTTGCTAGATTTCATTCATTCTTTCCACTAATGTTCTGTAGATAATAATAAATAATAAAAACGGTATGACAATGCAAAGAACGCGAAGAAATTAAATATTTGCCATAAATATTCCTCCCAAAAATCTGGGGTGTCAGTGCATGTTGTTGTCCGCTCTTTGTTTGTTTCCGCCGTGCAACAACTGACCCACTCGGTGGGTGCATCTCAAATGGGAATAGTCTTTAAGCTGGTCCGAGTTAAACCAGTAAAGATCAGTGAAATTGTATGATGGGTTGTACCGAACATGATGGGCAAAATTATCACAGGAAAATGCTGTTTTAGTATCAGAGGAAACCAGAGCACTGTACCCAAAAGAAACCTGTGGTGTTTGGTGGGGTCACACTGGATAACATGCTTCCTACTTGTGTCCAGGCTAAGCAGGACTATAACCATACTTACACCATATTTTTAGGGTGTCATATTTATTGAAGTATTTAAAGTGTTTAAGGTAATTTATTATCACATTCCTTTTGTGAGGTACAGTACAGGGTATAACTGTTAATACATGCAACGGAGAATCCATACTAATGTTTTTTCTCCAATTTCAGGCAAACATGGCATTTGACAGTGATGTAGAGGTAAGAATTAATTACTCTACAGTATCAGAATAATGTACATCTAAATCTTAGATAAATGCACTTGAATAATTTAAGATATGTCACTAGGTTCCAGAATGATTTCACTTTGATATCCTTTTGATGCTTTGTGAATAACATGTTGCATAAGCATGTACAGTAACTCAAAAGTCAGAAAGGGAATGTTTTATGTCTAGGCGGGTAAATTAAATGATTCCTGATATAAGGTTCAAAATGACTACTACACATTAGGTGAGATAGTGTTTGAAAAAGGGCCTATAGTAGTCACTTTGATTGACCTGAAGAATGCCTATTAGCATGTAACTATTCATGAATACTTTAGGCAACTCACTAGGATTTGAAGATAGATTTTACATCCAATATAAAGTCTTCCCTTTGGCTAGCTTTGGTATCCACAAGTCATTTTAGACAGACTTTGGTTAGAATGTGGGATTGATCCTGAAAATCTTAGTTTGAAATGAACCCTTGTTAGAATTATTGTACTTGTACTCGGTTCCAAGATTCCTCCCTCAGGTAATACTGTACATTAGGGTTGGTTAGTAGTGTGAGCCATCCACGCCACCTACTAAGTGTTTACCATCTGTCATTTGATTGTTCGCTTCCCGTGCTTCGCTGATATACCTGCGTACAGCATTGCGGTGATCACTGTTATCGATATGACTTTTATGTGTTATTCAGTTCTGTATGAATTTTTTTTATATTGTGATATGGTGTAAAGTGAGTGAATTTTAAATAATGTCAGGCAAGCGTGCTGCTGTTTCACCTCCCTCATCAGGCAAGGCCAAGCTTCCATGCTAAGTCCTTGAGCTTTGAGACGAAGCTTGACATTATGCTGTACTGCGTCACAAGAGTGGTGAAGGGGCTAGCTCCATTGTGAGAGTATTTGGCCTAGTGCATTCAGCAGTGTTGACTATAATTAAAGAGGCACCTTTACTGAAATTTGCTGCTAAGCACGTGGGCATGGCCAGTGCTGCTAGGATCACTAGAGTATGTGATTCAGTAATGGAAAACATGGAGCAACTTCTACAACTGTGGATTGAGGAATGCCAAATGTCTCTCTTAAACATCACCATCATGGCTCCAGCATTGAAGTTGTGGAAGGTTTTGAAGAAAATCGCAACCCCGGGGAGTACTACTGTCCAGACATTCAAGACCAGTGTAGAATGGTTTGAGCAGTTCAAGGTGAGAGCTTATCTCCATAATATACGCCTGATAGGTAAGGCAACAAGAACTGACGAGGTGAGTGCTCGGGCCTTTGTAGAACTCCTTAAGACAAAGATTGAGGAGAATGGGGCTGTTCTGGAAAAAAAATGCCCTCCAGGGTTAAAGGCATCCAAGGACTGTCTCATTTTGTTGCCAGGAGCTAACGCTGAGGGCGACTTGAAGCTCAAGCCAATGCTCATCTACTATGCCAAGAACCCCAGAGCACTGGAGGGTTACATTAATTAGCATCTAACTCTAAGGCACAGGTGACCATTGTGCTGTGCCAAATCTATGTGGTTGGGTACCTCTCCGAGCGGCTCAAGGAGTATGCCAACAAGAAAAACATTGCGAACAAATTTCTCCTGATCCTGAATAATGCATACCTTGCCAGCAAGGAAGATTGAGCTGACAACATTGAGGTGATGTTTCTCCTGCCCAACACCACCTCAGTCCTCCAACCCATGGATCAGGGTGCCATCACCACTTTATCTGCGATGTGTGATCCAATAATTAATCACAGAAACAGTCAGAGGAGACAAGCAAATCATCAAGAAGTTTTGGCACAATTATAACATTAAGAAGGCAATCAACAACATTGGTGCATTGTGGGATGAGGTGAAAGCATCAACACTGAATGGTGTGTGGCCTGAATGTTTACCGGGTTCGAGAAGGTGGAGGAGATTCAGCGCAACATTGTGACCCTGTCGCACCGGGCTGGGTTCGATTAGGTCGACCAGGAAAACGTGACTGAACTTCTTAACAGCCACACTGAGGAGATAAGGGACGAGGACCTCATCAACCTGGAACAGCAGCGAATAGTGAAAGAGGAGGAAGCTGAGTCAGAGGAACCTGTCAAGTTCCTCAGTACAGTATTGACCTATTGCATCAAAACCTCTCCATAAATGATGACATCCTTGCTAGATTTGCCGAAAATGACCCAAACCCGAACCAGAGTGCTGAGGTGAAACATTTGGTGGGGAAAGACATTCAGTACTTCCAAGACCTCTACACTGAAAAGCAGCAGAAGGCAAGTCAGTTATCCATCATCAGCTTCTTGAAGCTGAAACAAGAGCCAATGGCATCACTGTCATCACTCTTGGACCCAACACCTTCCACCTAGGCATCACCTGTTTCAGTCTAAAAGCTCTCACCCTGCCAACTACCCAAGACAGTGAAGACTCTTCAACTTTATTTTCTGACACAGAGAGCGAGTGACATGCTTGCCCAGGCAACAGTAGTCCTCCAGCCTCAGAGAACATGCACCTTGCTTCTGACATGGACTTAGGTGAGTGTTATTTTAGTGTAGTTAACTGTAGTGTATTATTATGGCAAATTATCGTTAAATACAGTGTATGTATTTAGGTGAAAAAATTCCCCGTCAACCAATTTTCCATGTTATCCCTCGTTTAGTGATAATTCAACTTAATTATGAATTTTCGGGAACACAATCCCATCATTAAATGAGGGATAATTATACTTTACAGGGTACAGGATTTTGCATATTTTCTTAGTACAGGTACTGTATATTTTATAATTTTGTACAGGTATTGAAGAAGGCTTAGGTTGTCATAATAAAGCACATTTTGTACTACAGTATATTTCAGTCATTACAGATTAGGTTGGGGATTTTTATTTGTTATTTATTTATTAATTTTTTTTATTGCACGAGTATTAACATACTTTCTATTTGTTTCTTAAATAGGCCTACTTGAACCAACTGAGTAAAAAGACTTACAGCTTGAAACAGGATGCTCAGACTTCGGGACACTCCTTTTCTCGTCGAACAAGTACAGCAGACAAGTGCTCTGATAGTGAATTGAATTTATCTGATGAAAATGGTTCTCCCATCAGAACAGATAAATTATCAAGTCTTACACAGAGAAAGGAAGTGGGTTCTGTCTCGGATATAACAGCACTTAGTGAAAAATACAGGGAAAGTAGGCACAAGAAACCACATTCACATGATAAATTAAGTTCTTTAGAGCAAAAATACTTGAAAAAGCATAAGTCCATTAAAGATATTATAGTGTCAGAGAGTTCAGATGACCCTGATTACAATAAAGCATCTCTCCAAAAGAGTGCTGATCTTAAACTGAAGAATAAGAGTAATTCTATTAAAAAAACACCAAATTCTACCATGCAACAAAAAAGTATTGATTTCAGACATGATAATGTTAGTAGGACTCATCTAATGAGTCCGGATTCTTCAGTTGACGAGGAGTTGGCTCAGTATTTGAAGGAAACATCTTTAACTGATAACCAAAATGATGGATTTCTTAAAGGTTCTGCAGTTACTAGAAGCTACTCAGTTACTGAAGACAGTGATGGAAGCATGGACGAAGTAATTAAACTTGATAATATTTTGACTGTTGATGATATTCTGGGTCAAATGACAGATGATGAAAGTAAAGCTGCTCCCAAACATGCAATTAATAAATGTGAAAGTGACCATTCTAGTGAGTCCCAAATATCCACACTGACTGACAATTTGAAAACAGTTCACGACAATGTTTACCCTACACACAAAGGTAACAACAACATGAAAAATAAAAGTGCAGTCTCAGGTTCAACTGCTATAAAGGATAAATCATCATTAAACACTCTTAACAATGACAAGGAGGGAAGCTTGTTGGTAAAGTCTACGGAAGGTTGTTTTTACTCAAAGTCTCATCACGTTGATAAAGACTTTAGTAAACCTGTGGGAATGCTTTTAGCACAAACTTCAAACGATGTCTTTCACTCAACTCGGAGAAAATCTTTGATTGAATTTAATACAGAGGGTATAGTAAAACCCATACTATCAAAATCCAGTATCAAAAATACAAATAAGAAGGTGAAGCCAAAGTTGTATTCAGAGGATAGTGTTGTAGAGAGTATTGCTTCTTCCATTGAGAGCAGTTTAGCAACATCTGTAGTGGAAGAAAATAGTAGTGTCTGTGCTAGTGTGGGTCAATCTGTAGAAGAAAATTTGGTTAAGGAAGCATTTGATAGTCCGGTAGAAAGACCACCAACTGATGCATCAGAAAATAGTTCAGAAACTGATGAAAGTATTTCTTTAAAAATGGCTTCCCAAAATACCAGTACAAGAAAAAATTCACAAGATAAGATTTTGGAAGTAAAAAATCCCACAAAACATTCTACAAGAAAACATAAAGAATTAGATTTATCCTGTAAAAGCAACAGTCAGAAACAGACCATTATTTCAGATCAAGAAGAAAGTATGGGAAATAGAAAATTAAGTAGAAAGTCAAAAAAGACCAAGAAGTATTCTCAAAAACAATCTAAAAGTAAAAAGAAGCACAGATCGTCCTCTTCTGAGTCACCAAGCAGCAGTGAGACAGTTTCTGACTCACAAGTTGAGCGACATCACAGACATTATTCACGCAGTCATAGACATAAATGGAACTCCGATTTTAATCCGTGGGTATGTATTTTAATATTTTTTATTTCTTGTCTTTGTACTGTACCTAAGATTTTAATTGTGATACATGGTGAGTTGCCTCTAATTAATTGAAATGTTGAAACTATATTATTTTCACACAATATACTTTTCATGAACCCTTGTATGTATATTTGAAATACTGTACAGACATACTGCACAGTTCTGTATACTGTATACTTTATATTATACAGTACAGTACAGTATAGTACCTGAGTCATCATTTGTTACATCTTCAGGGACTACTGCACTCCCTCCTTATAATCTACCTGCCCCTGTCTGTCTCTCAAACACACCACCTATTTTCTGTATCATAATGTCATTCCTCACCCATGGTTCCTTAGTGTTCCTCTCCCCCCCCAACACCCATTATTCCCCTCACCTCATCATTCTCTTTTTTAATTTTTCACTTCAATTCATTTCTTACCAGATAGTGAAGAGGCATTGTGTTAATTTATCAACAGATTAGTTGAAAAAGGTAAAAAATATGAACTAAGACTTTAATAATGAATTGGATGAGATATTCCAAACAGTTCTATAGCATTTAATGATAACCATATACAGAGTATAAGACATTATAGAATTCAGAACTATTGTGTGTGTATGAATAATTATCACACTGAGAAGCTATAATTAATCATGTAATTTTTCTTCTTCAGTTTGGACCACCTTACATACAACCATGGCCTCCCCACTACCACCAACATACATACCCAACACCAGCAGGGATTTACAATCATTATCCCAGCCCTACTCTAGTTGAAGGTTAGTGAAATACATTAGATTCCTACTTGGCATTTGTGTTTGCATTCATCAGTAAAAATTGCAAAAAATATTATGTGCTTGCTTCAAAAATGCATTTATTTTATGACCATAATATTGAAAATATAGACCCTTTTATATCATGTGGGCCTTTGTTCAGACCCACAAGAGACTTAATTCTCTCTTTTGGTTAAAACTACATCGGAGTACTGTACTGTATAATATTAAGAGTTGTCAACAAACCAAACTCTTATGTCATAGTTCATGGCCTTATTAAAGGGATTGTCAGATGATTGACTGGGAGAATAAATAAACCCTGGCCTGTAAAGTACACTTCAAGTATTTTATTGCATTCAGAAACTTTAGATTTGAGAACCAGTTTCTCATCCTTGTACCTTGCAGGTGTATAATATTGCTCTATGATTTTGTGAGGTACTGCAGTATTAGTTGATAAAAGTAAATATTTAAATACAATTTTGTAAGATTTTTCATGTCTTCTATATATGGTATATATTTTTAAAACTAAATTATAATTTAATTTAAAATTTTAAATGATGTTTCAGGGTTATTGGGACAAGGTGGTGTAGGAGTAAAAGAACTGATGCATCAGCAGGTAGCCTTAACAAGACAGTTCCTGGACAGTCAACGGGCACTGTATCATGCCTACACTGCCACTCTCACTTCCTCCCATCACTACACATCTCTCAACAACACAGAAAAGGTATAACTAAATGTATCCTATACTGATAAAGTGTATACTGTACAGTTTTGTGAAATTTTTGTACAGTATAGCTCATGTAGCCTAACCTATGTAGCTGATTCAACTTTATGCAAGTGATTTAATGCTAATTGAATATGGAAGCATTTATAATTTTATATACAATACTGTACATACAGTACAGTATATGCTTTAACTGTACAATGAGAAATAAAATTAAATCAAACATTGATTATGCAGTCACTTGCAGTGACTATCTTCTTGGTGCCATGTAGTCTGGAAATCCTGGAAGTTAGATTAACCTGTAATATGATGTAACAGTAATGAACCAAAATGAAGGATTGATGCTGAAATCCAATTTTGTGGTTGATCTCAAAACTACCAGGTCGATGGTTCGTATAATATGCTCATGATGCTGTTGTTGTAGGCCGGGACTAATCTTATGATAAATAACTCCTTTTCTACTTCAATTGTCGCCCAGAAAGGGAAGCTAGACTCAAAGGTTTTCCTTATAGTTAACCAGAGGGAAAAGACCTGATGGGTTTGTGACAGATCAGCCAGTACAGTACGAGGGACAGACTATGCTCTTCTTCTCAGGTTTGCCACAAATGGTTTCCATGTGTCAACCAATTTATTCCTGACCATATCCACACACTTAGCAAGTGGTTCCTTTACTTGCTTTCAAGTTATGCTGATAAAGTATTCTGTCTATCATTATTCATACACATATTAGGATGTTTAACTAACACAAACAGTCCTGTACTGTACTACAGTATATATAGAGGATATATATTTACTGTGCAGTACTTTCATGCTACAAGCATTAATTTAGGTATGTTTTAGTCCAGTTTGGATTAAACATCTCACACTGTATCAAGGTGTCATTCAATTTCCCACAGTAAATGACCAGGGGTTAGGAGGAAAATCTCTGTTGTGAACTGAAATAGAGTTTTTATAGTTTCTGTATTAGTGACCCTATGAGGTTTATGGAATTTAACATTTTGGAGTCATCAAATTTGTACATAATTCAGGGTAATTTATTGGAAAGGATGTTCAGTGCTCTTCTTTGTTTTACTTAAAAACTTATATTAACCACTCAAGGGATCTGAAAGCTGGTTACTGTCAGTGGATTATTCAATAGGAGAAATTAAGTAATTTAACCTATTTCCTGGGTCAGGGATTATGACTGTAGATATGCCTCAATAAAATGGAACTCCCATACAACCTAGGTCCTAGACCTTGATTCCAGGTCTTGCACACACATAGGGAAACTCTTAGGTAGCAATTATACCGAGCAAAATAAATACTGTATATGCAGTTAAATTCTATAAACTATAATTGAAGCTCTAAAAGAGGAATGTTTTTGAAGATGATAGAACTGTGAACTTGCTTTTGAATAATAAGTGTAAGCCTGCCATAGTATTCATTATTCAAGCTAATTTAAGGAGACGTTTATTGAGACAAATTGTATTGCCTTGTTATTAGTTTTAGTCTTGCTACATTGGAGTTTTTCTTCCTACAGTATATAAAGAAGAGGAAACCTCCTCTAACATTCAGTGAAGCTTACAAGATTGTCCAAGAAGAAATGAAGGCATCAGAATAATGGTTCTTTTCAATACTGCACTGTACATAAATTAATGTTCAGTCAATCGAAGTACTGTACCGTCCACATATCTGAGGGTTGGTGACCACAGTCCTCCACTCAAAACGTTCTCAGGCTGTTTTTACCAATCTTCTAAGGTTTTGTATCTCTCTAGGGAACCAGTTTTTCATTTCATTCATCATACACTCCTGCCTCATCCCTAATTATATGACCAAAGTATCTCACTTTTCTCTTTCTCTACATTTCAACACGAAAATTAATGTTACTGTATATTGAAAAGTTATTAAATATACTATTTTCCACAGTCTTTTACTCTTCACTTAGGTGCCAATAATATTTTACAATGTTTCTATAGTGTATTTCTTTCCTTACCATAAAATACTGTAAAGGTTAAAACATAATTCTTTGATTCTGAAATTTGATAAACACTTAAATTGTTTTTAGTAGATAAAAGGTTACCGGTATTGGGTCCAAAGGCTTCTTGGTGTTTGTGGACTTTGCTTTTAACTTGCTGCACTTTGTAGATGAAGGGAATACAAATTTGGGAAGTGAATTACATTTAAGAACTTTAAATGGAAAGGAATGACGTATGTTTGTATATTAAAAATTTTTGAGACAATGTAAGTATGTACAGTACAGTAAAAGAAACCCCTTCTTAATAAAAGTTCATTCTGTACAATTCTAAGGTACTGTATGTAATGCAAAAATGAAGATACAGTCTGGTATAAATTTCACTCATGGCACCACACATACAACTTGGAGTTCTGAAATTTTTAATACAGTATAAATATTTTTACTTAGATATAATTTATTTGTCATTTTGTTTCATAGGGGGAAGGAGGAGATAGAGATGATTGGGGCTCCAGAAAATATTACATGTAGCTTACAGAGTTCCTTGGTCAAAGGTTAGGAACCACTATTATAAGGTGATGTGAATAGATTCCAAGCTCTTTAAGTCCTTCTATTCATTCATTGGTGAATAACAGAGGCACTCATGAAGTTGGATTACCCCAAAGGTATAATAATAAAACTCAAGAACAAGGCAAAGCAATCATTAACAGAAGTATTTTAACAGCATCAAAAACATCAATGGAAGAAGGTATGTGGTTGTCTCCCAACTCCAGGCAAAATGCCAATAATTGACATTTTTTTCATATTTTTGGTAATATCACACGGCACTTACACGCAATATTGATATGACACGAGGACACAACTTCAAGCTGACAAAGGTGTCTTACAGGATGAATACAGGGTAGTACACCTATGGAACAACCTACCATCTCAAGCTAAGGAAGTGAGAATTAGTAATGGGGTTGGCTTCAAAAGAGCCCTTGACAAGTCTATGAAGAACAATGGAAGGATTCTACACAGGCCACTGGCCTTCTTCAGTTACTTTTTACTTTTACTTTTATCCTCTTCACCACTGATCAGCTCGTTAGCTGCTTGGGCGATCAGTCACATCTATGTCACTCACTGTTGGCAAGTACTGGGCATGCACCGGCTCCTGAATGTACCTGAACCTGCTCCAGTGTTGGTCAAGTCTGGTCTTGAAAGAGCTCACACTCAGTGCCATCACAACACTTTCTGGCAGATTGTTTCAAGAGTTCACAACTCTCACTCCGAAAAAGTTTGCCCTCAAATTTTTTTGGACCTGCGGTTTCTTCAATCTTGAGCTGTGACCCCTTGTGGGGCGAGCGTCCGCCAGCTCCAGGTAAGGACACTCAACTGAGTAGTGCCCCTTGAGATGCTTATACAGGTACACCTCAATTAGGTCGCCTCTTGCCTGTCTGTAGTATAAGCTAGGCAAGTTCAGGCGCTCCAATCTCTCAGGGTAGTTGAGGTGCCGAAGTGCAGGCACCAGTCTGGTTGCCTTCCTTTGAACATTTTCAACCAACTGACAGTCCCTAGCATATCTCGGGGACCAGACGGGGTGACAGTACTACAGATGGGGAAGCACTTCACTCTTGAAGATCGTTACGAAGGACGGACCGTCTAGATATCTGAACGACCTTCTTATAAGACCTAATAATTTATTTGCCTGATTTACCCTCTTCTCGCAATGGCCCGAGAACTTCAGCTCATTGTCAACATACAAACCTAGGTTCTTCTCACATTGTCTCAAATAGTGTAGTTTCTTCATCCCGTTGAGACATATGATACGCCTCCTTACCGTTGGTGGGGTGCATCCTCTTACACTTTGTGACATTGAATCTCAGCAGTCATTTCTTTGACCATTCTTGGAGCTCACAGAAATCCTTCTGCAGCTCTTCACAATCGCAATGTCATTTATGAAAGAAACAAACAACAGCGGCTCCAATACACTGCCCCGTGGTACCCCGCTTGTGACAGGTACAGATGATGATTTCGTGCCATTAATTACCACACACTGCTTGTGGTCATGTAGAAAGTCTTCTATCCATGCTAGGACATATCCCCGTATTCCATACCCGTCCAGTTTGATTTTCAGCCTTTCATGGGGTACACTGTCGAAAGCCTTGGCAAAATCCAGGTTTTATATTGTCGATATTACCACCCCGTTCCAGAATATGGGTCCAAATATCCAATACCTTGAGCAATTGTGTTAAGCAGGAGTGCCCCGGCATAAAACCGTGTTGACTATCCTTTACAAGGTTGTTTCGTAGTAGATGTTCCATCACGGCATCTCTGATAATACTCTCAAGTACTTTACATACTATGCTGGTCAGGCTCACTGGTCTATAGTTGTTCGTGGAATGACAATCGCCCTTCTTGAAGATAGGACTCACATAAGCCATTTTCCAATCACTGGGGACCTTTTGCTCACCCAGGCATTTACAGAACAGGATCTTCAGGGGCTCGGCAAGCTCGTTGCACAACTCTCTTAGCACTCTGGGATGCACCATGTCAGGGCCGGGACTCTTATGGACCTTTAGCTTTGACAGTTTATTTCTTATACCCTCTCCTGTGAACACAATGTGGGTCAGTGCTGTGTCGAACCGTCTGTCCTTAAACGCAGGAAGGTTAATCGCATCCTGTCTTGTGAACACCGAGGAAAAGAAGCTGTTCAATTCCTCAGCTTTATCCTGGTCAGAATCTGCGTAACTACCATCTTCAAGCCTTAGGTCTGATATTCCTACTCGCGTTTTTAATTTTGACTTTGTATAGCGGTAAAATGCCTTTAGGTTTGACTTGACCTCACTTGCAACCAGCCACTGGAACTTCTTGTCAGCCCTTCTACACTCTGCATTTACTTGGTTTCTGGCTTCCTCCTGTCCTGCTCATCGTTTCATCTAATCAAATGGGTCACTTTACTAGTTATGATATTCAGCAGTGTCTGCATTCTTGTGCCTCAGTGAGTCAGGCCAGTGGATACCCCTCATTTCTTCTCTCATCCTGTCATAATTTCCCTTGTAATATTTGCACCTTGGCCTGGCTTTATCATGAACTAGGTAACAATTAAATCTGAATGACAACATTACATGATGACTGGTGCCAACTGGGGCTAGATGTTCCAGTTTAGCCACCATAACCCTCCTGTTTGTTATGATGAGGTCTAGTGGCTTAGGTGTTTGCTCCCCTCTGTAATGTGTCAGGTCTTTTAACATGTTGGAACAGAAAATTATATCTCGGAGTTTCGACAAAAAGAGTAACAGAGTTGTTCAAGTCATTTGGGGTGAACTCGTTTCTCCAGTCGATGTCGCCATAGTTGAAGTCCCCCCATGATAAAGAGGTGGCTAGGGTTGAGCATCGCTGTATTGTCTATTTAGGCTCTTAAGTTCCTTTGATTTGGTGGGCTACAGTTTTGGAATCTGTAGATACACCCGACAATAAGTAATTCCCCTTCCTTTAATTTAATTTTACACCACCTGGACTCTTCAAAAACATCCTCTCCCTGTACCCTCGCCTGGCTGGCTCTAAGGTCTTGCCTAGCATAGATAACCACACCACCTCTAGTTTAGGCAGCCATTAGGTAAATGAGAAGAATGGGATCTTAAATATATTGTATTGTGCAGCTCACTAGCCTTTTGCCCCTATAACTATATAGGTTAAGTTAGGTATCTAGGTAGATGTTTCTCCTGGCTAAATTATGACGATTCAACCATGGCAAATAATTTTTATCACGTATGCAGTGATAAAAAAAAGAAGTTAGATATAAATAATAAAAAGTTGATTAAAATATCACAGTACTAAAATTTTTCCAGTGGCAGAATTTTATAATTGGTGAATTACGCAGAGAGAAGGTTGTGAGGTGAGGGAGGTTTGGTAACAGTTGACTCACTACTGAACCCTAACACCCCGAACTCTGAACCTTTTACCTAAGAAATAACTAAGTCATATCTTAAAGTATTGAAATACAATAATTCTATTGTTTCTAGTTTATATTCTTTAAAAATTTATTACCCATATATAAACGACTGGAAAAAACGTAGATTGAGGTTTCTCGACTCCAATTTGTTTTGTTTTCTGTGTGTAAATCTTTTTATTCTAATAAAGTATAATTATTATAAGTTAACAGAAAAATCAGGTTGCCACACCTTTATAAATTATTTATTAGTTTCTTGGTAAAAGATTCTGGGTACGAGAGTTCATCTGAGGTGTCGAAACTGTCGACTGAGAGCCTGAGGTCTGGCATCATTGTCTGGCATCATGGCGGGCGATGGAGCTGTTGATCCTCAGGTTGTGAGGGAAAGAGCCAGCCTCAGAGCTGCGCTTAAAAGAGAATATCAGAAACAAATCCACAATCCTCATCGCCATGGGTCTGCAGAAGGAGGTTTCTTGGTAAGTTTGAGTTCTTGCTTAGTCACTGCAAATTGGCCATTAAACTTCGGACGGTTGAATCAGTTTACAATTATTCCTCTCGTTAAATATACTCCACCAGGTTTGTATTAGGGAATAATTCTAGAAAAAACAATGTCGGCATGTTATATATTCACAATCATGGACCTTACTCAGGGCCGTATTCAGGATTCCCCCAGAAGAATAAAGAACTAATTAACCATGTAGCCTAACAGTACAGTAAAGTGGCGGTCCGACTAATTACCCAAATGTAGCCGCAATGAAGTCAAATAATGGTCCTACATGAATAAATCGGACTGCTAATCACTTCTCGACTAGTATTTGGTGTCACGAAGTCACAAAAAACTGGTAAACTTAATTTAATCTTGAGTTAATAGATCGAGTGCGTGTACCTAACCTAACCTAACAAAACTCAGATTAAATTAAGTTTACTAATTTTTTGTGACTTTGACACCAAATAATAATCGAGAAGTGATTCACAGCCCGATTTATTCATGTAGGACCATTATTTGACTTCATTGCGGCTACATTTGGGTAATTAGTCGGACCGGTTTGTACAGTTATATGACTTATGTACAGTAATACTGTATCGTTCTATAGATGGACAGACCCCTAGCAGCCATGCTATTAGCATTTTGTGCAACACTGACCCCCCCCATTTTCTCATGTTCTAGATACAGCCCATTTTACTTAATTCCACTATTTGTCCAGCATTAATTCTGATTACTCCAAAGCTGGTGACTCTGATCCTATATTACTGAATTTGGTCACTTGTAAACCTAACAACCATGTTGTAAGGGATCAAATTGTGTAATCTATATCAGCGTCAATAAACTATAAAGAATGCCGGACAAATAGTAAAAGTAAGTAAAGGTCCATGCTGGATAAAGAACCATTTCACGTTATTAAAATTTTAAGAAACAAAGTTATTCAGAACTTAAGAAAAAAAAATCGAAAATATTGATAATACTAAACTAAAGTTTTGCAGGTTAACCAGTAACTTAAGGAAGTTACTGTACTGTATTCTGTAACAAACTAAATTATATAAATACAGCCAGAGGATTTAGGCATGAAAAATGACATATTATTGCAGTTTTTCATGTTGAATACATAGTTGTTAATGAAGGTTTTGGGAAATGCAAATAATATTTTATAACCCTCTCTACCTTATCTTTCCTGACTCCACCAGGGCCTCGAGACAGAGAGAAAATGTGGAACTAAAAACATAATTAAAAGAACCTAACCTAGTCATTAGGGAATTATTCCACAAACATTATCCTAACATATAGGCTCGTTTACCGAATATTAACCCAAGTAAATGCTTTCTTACCACAAGAAATGCTCAAAAGGTTATGAGAATTTGCGTGTACAATAAAGATACAGTACTGGTAATAAATTGATGAATGCATAAAAGAATTGTGCAAGTAATTTATTGAGAAGTGCATGTTTTCTCTTCTCATGGCTGTCAGATTATTCTTTTGTACATCTAGACGGTCTTCACATGTGGTTTGAACATTTTATTAGAGTAGCATTATGAAAAAATTCAACACAGCAATAATAAAATATTTTGGACAAAATTAAATTACGTTATGCAGGTTTGGAAGAAAAGAAGACTACTGTACAGTACTGTACTTGTATTGCAAAGTATTTTTAATGTGCAATACGTGTATCCAATAAAGTGTTTAACTGTAAATCTGTAAAAAAAATAATAATAAAATAAATAAATAAATAAATATTGTTTGCACTCAGCTGATTACCAGGTAGTATGGGTGGTGTACTCTCTTAGTGAACAATACAATGTGTTGCCTCCGTAATGATAATAACATAACATGAAGTTTTGTTTCGATATAATTTGATAACTATTTGAACTTTCCAGTTTGATCCAGCTGTACAGCGTTTCATGTCAATGCGAGCCACACAAGCCGAGTTCTTCAAACCTACCTCTCGAGCATCATTGTTGGGCTTGGCAATTTTTGCTCCTATTGTAGCTTATGGCTGGTGGATGAAGACAGCCCGGGTGAGTTCTGTTGTTTTGATTACTTTAGTTATTAACTTTTTTTGTTAACCGTTAAACTATGAAATCCTCTGTATGAGACACCTGGATAAAGTGACAAAGATACATACAGGGAGTTCTGCTATAACGCGTGTTTTGATAACGCGAATTTGCTCTAACGCGATTTATGAATTCGGAACAATATTTGTATAACGCGAACGCTTGTTTGCTATAACGCGATTTTTGCTTACTATTTCTCCAATTTTGTGGTATTAACTATGAATATGGTAAAGAAGAATATCTCCAAAAAGCGCTCTGATGATAGAATTCCCGGTGATTATCGTAAAAGAAAGGATATAACACTTGAAGAGAAGCTCAATGTTATCAACCTCAAAATCACCCTTCTCCCCCATCAAGTTACATTCATATTTTTTCAAGGTAAAGTGTTAAATTTACTGTATGATTTCATTATTAGATATGAATGTAACATTTATTTAGACTGTGCTATCCTTTGTGTTAGGCTAAATACTAAATTTTTTCGATTTCGAGTAATCTGCACCTAACCCTATTTTCTCCATAAGCCCTGTTATTTCTATTACGCGATTTTCTATAACACGATATTTTACAAGAACACAATTATCGCGTTATAGCAGAACTACCTGTATATAAACTTAGTTTTGAGAAAACATATTCAGAGTCTTTAACTTGAAATCATCATAATTTTAGTTAAGATTAAGCTAGCTTCATAGAGTTGGTGTCTCTGAAGGGGGAATTTAATGTAGTGTGGAATACATGTATTTTTGCTGTAATTGTTATCTGTAAATTGTAATAAATTGATAACTGGCTGGATATACCCAGGAGAGGTATAAAATATTTACAGTACGTACAGTATTATTATGTATTGATTGCCTTTTATTTCATAAAAGTAAAATTCACAACATCCCCAAACACGAATACAAAATGAAACATCCACGCACACCCTCAGTAACATAACACAGCCTAATTTGTATTGTGCTCACTGGAGTACCGGGGACAGCTATCAACACATGGTGGCCACTGTTTGGCCTTGTACAGTCACCTGACTCTAGATGGGATGCCAAGTGGCTGAACAGTGTGTGTGTCTTCATTGCTTTACTCCCTGTATTTTGCCTGAATTTTTATTCGACTGTGTGCGTTCATACACCTATAAACAAACCGGATCTTGGGTGGAAAAGTGATGAAGTCAGACAATGGAAACTCAGCGAGATTCTGATACGATAGAAAGGGGAATTTTGGAGGTGGTTCACTTTAGTCACTTTACTACTGGACACCTCATATGAGGTGATGTCCCTACTATGAGAACAGCCATTATTTTAAACCACTAATTTTATGCACTGTTGGCATGTACTGGCTCCATATATCTGTACAGTATCTGCACCAGACTTGATCAACACTGGTGTAGGTACAGATATATTCTGAAGCTAGTACATGCCCAGTATTTGCCAACAGTACATAACAAAAATGTGACTGACTACCCAAGCGGTGAACAGGATAAAGTATATAGGGCTTTCACTCGTCTTTGTCATTGAGGGAGATACATGTTTGTCGACAACAGTAGCAGTCTGCCCCTGCCATCCCCCACATAATAATGCATCAGGGGTTTCAATTCTCTTCCTGTTTAAGTACCTGTGCAGGCATAAAATTATTACGGTACTGTAGTGTATGTATTTCAATTATTATGCCTATATTTGGCTTTTAATCACAGCTATTGCAATTTACTAAAATATTAAAATACAGTATAACTTTGGTACATTACCTTATGGGAGGACAGTCTAGGTTCACCACAAGCAGATGAGAGGTGGGCTGAGTAAGGTTCTTACTCAGCAAGATGAGGAGGGCTGTCCACCTTATCACTGCTGTCTGTCAAGGACACCACAGTCGTACCAGCATGTTTGTAGATGGTAGCTACAGTAGAAACAGCCAAACCAAGATGTTTCCCAATCGTTATAGGACCCTCACCATGTTCATGACGTTAAATTATTTCCAGCTTGGTCTCGAGTCACAGCCTTTCGTATTTTCTTCGGTGTAGTACAGGTAGCTGAAGCCTTGGCAAAACACTTGGATGCCAAAACAAAAGGATGGCACTAATACACACGGATAAAGAGAGATCACTTCATCCACATAATAAAAGGTAGAAGACACAGGCTTGTGGGGGAAGGGGTGTTATGATCAGTGAGCAAGAATATGTCTCTGTGCATCTCTTAAAGAGGCTACCCCAGCTGACTCCAGGGGTCGTGCGATTTGAATTTTTGCAGGGACCCAAATTCATATAAGCTTTCATAACACGAAAAAGAGGTGTTGCTTTATGATATTTGTATATGCGAATTTAAGTATATTGAATGTTTGTATAGTGATGGATGCCTGTACGGTATTTACAGAAATATTTTTCTTTTCTGTTCCATTAATGTTTACGTCCATTATAATAAAAGTACTGTACTGTTTGTAATTCCTTGGGAGCAGACATATACAACTGGTTAGGTTCTGGATGGCGTGTTCATAGCATCGAAGTGCCACAACCTAAATGTTCATTAACCAGGGTGTTCTTATACAGACATTATTTTAAGCTGAAGCTTAGATGTTAATCCCCTAACAACTACAGTACAATAAACAATGGGGCCCCCACATGGTGCTAACTCATCAGTCAATGTGGAGCATGGCCTGTTTTTTCTTTCAAATTGCATGCAGGTCTTCATTTTGCCACCAAGACAAAGCTTTATGGGTACTAATTGAGAAGAAACTGACATGGCAACTATAGGCTGCCCATCTCCCATCCAACACCTACCCCTGTACAGTATAAGAATTTTTCTTGCATTTCTACACTGGGTGATTTATGTATTAAGGGGTTAATGACCGATATTTGTGACCCTTCCCTTTCTTAAATTTTAGAAGATGGCTACTGCATATATTAATATTAACTCAGGCATATTTTTGTTACAGTTTTGTAATAAAAAAATTTTCTTACAGGAAGATTTTGAGAACAAATGCCGCACCGGTCAGGTATCATATGCATCCCGGGAATTCAAGTTTTGTTAACTGGGACAAGAATTTAATTTGTTTCCAGTTCTGTCAACCCTGCAAATTATCTGTAGCTACAGTGCTATGTGTATATTTACTCTACAGTACTTTACCTCTGAAAATAGTTATTTAATGTGTACAGTCTATGTATTATAAATTAAATAGTTTTATCCTCATGGTATTTTTATTGTGTTGCCTGCTAATGAATGAAAAGTTTTGTAAACTTTTCATATATAGTATTGATGAAGTTGTACTAGAAAAAATACCAGGTTATTGTTTTTATAAAGCATTTGAAGGTTTAGGAGAAAAATTACTTTAAGAAAGAAAATGTACAGTACTGTACTGTATTACACAAAGTTCCATTACTTTGAAAAAAGAGCAGCCGTATCAGATCTTTTTTATGAATGAATTTTCTTTGGAAGAGATAGAATTTTTAATTGTAACGCCTGTAGATAAAAATCATTTAAATTTATCAGAACCATACTACAGACAGGTCATGAAGTTGTTTGAAATATCCAATGATTTTATTAATGAGATTACAGTAAATTTCATTAAACCAAGCATAAAGTCTAATCCTTAAATGCTGGTGGAAATATTACTGTAGAAGTACTGCAGTTTGACAGCTAGACTTTTTTAATTTGTCTTTTCCACCACTTGTCAGCTTATTAGTCATTCAAGTGGTCAGTCTTTCTAAGGACCTTCATTATCCAGTGCTAGCATGGGAGGAAACCTGCGATGGTTGGTGGGGTCTCGCTGAATAACACCCATCTTACATCTGACCTAGGGATTGAACCCACGATGTACCGGTAGTATAGGAAGCACATTCCTGCTGTTGGTATTGTGTGTGTAAAGGTTAGAGGGTTAGTAGTATACTGTACATCTAACACTAACATCAGTTAATTTCTTTCACACAAGTGCCACAAACGTGGCTTTATGTTGAGCAGATGTAATGTTTGTGCTTGTACTGTATCTGGCAAGTCTCTGAACTTGAGGATATTCCACACTGCTCTTCATATACTGTTCAGTAAACTGTAAAAATCATCACCATTATTGAGTTGATCATCATGTTGTGAAACTGTCCACAGTAAATACTGTAAGTCATTACAGGTAACTGTTTGTGCTGTACATGATAATACAGTATAGATTTTATTCTGGTCTGATACCCATACATCTATGGGTACCAATTAAAACTGATTTTGATCAACTTCTAGTGGTTCTTGATAGCTACTGTACTAGGTTTATCAGCCCCTGGGTGCAATACAGTATTATGAACAAGGTAAAAAACGGAATTACAAAAGAATTTTAAAATATTATCACGATCTGACCACATTATAAAGCTACATTTTCATTTCTGTAGCTTCTTGATTAACATTCCAAGATAATGTTAATGAAAAAGAAGGGGAAAAAGAGGACCACTTCTAGTTATTGTACAACCCAGTATAGTAGTACAGGACAAAGTGGCTTTACTCTTGAAGAAAATACACAAGACACTGGCTTCCTTGTCATGGCAAACAGATAAATTAAGAGAAAACCAAAGGGAATGAGTGGATGTTGGCATGTGAGTTCCATCTTGTGATGCAAAAACCTATGGTGTTATCATAGCTACTAGCTGAAAAGTGGAACATGCAAGAAACATAATTACATAGTACCAGTGCAGAAAACATTGTGTGACCCCAGGCAATGCCAATATAAGTTGACTACTATATTTATAGCTATCAGTTATAACTAACTGGTCTCCTCTATTAGAATAGGAAGAAATGGCAATATTCAGTAGGAGGGTTACACTGTACAACTCTCCATTCCTACATTTGATCCTACTGGGTATTAAAAAGGTCACAATGGTGAGTTAATGCATTCACTAATGGACCTCACTTATTTGGTGAGTGCCACATGATTTTATTCTGCACAGAGACCCCTCCTGACCAAGGAGTTGAGACTGTTTCAGCTGTACCACGATCCCATTGAATGTACAGTACAGTCTGAAATATCTATATATCATTGAAATTACCTTTATGTGAGTATGTATGGCATAGGTAATTAATAACTGGTAACTGCTTTACCATCTAGCTTGGCTGGATCACACTTGTTTCACTCTCCCTTTCCCTACTATGTTTGTGAAGTTGGCCCAATCATATTTGTAGCACCAAACCCAAAGACTACTGTTATTTTCACACTGACACTTCAGTGTAACCACACAAAATCACCTTTAGACCATTGGCACAAGCCCTGGAATATCACATAAAAGCCACCTGCATTGATTTGGTGTCATCCAAGGAAGGAAGTCTCAAATGCAGCAGGTGGTTATTATTCCATAAGCAACGGACACTGTTGCCTCCACTCTTATGTACCGTTATAAGACAGCCAGAAAAAGAGAGTGAAGTAGAGCTTGAATTTGTCAAGTAAAAATATCTACAATGAAAATATTGTCAACAACGAGCAATACCACCAAGTATATCAAGAAAGGGTACACCCATCACCCAAACATCAGTACCAGTGAATGAACACATGCTGTCGTCCTAATATCAGCGCCGGTGCAGGTGGGTGACCTGAAGCCAATACCCAACATCAGGCCAGATGGGAGAATAGCCACCATCTGTCACCTAAAAATCACTGCAGGTGGTTGAAGTGAACACCGTCACCCACGTCCTTAACACCAGCAGTCCCATACCTGTCACCAAGACTTAAGTTGCACCTCAAATGTAACAATGCAGTTAAAAAGACAACCCTGTGTTAATTCTAGAATTGGAGTGATTTACGTGAAGAATATGTTTATAAATAATTAATGTACTGTACTCACCCTCTGGGTGAGCTACCACTCACTCACAGGGTCCAGGCCAAAGTCTATAAAATGATTATTTGTTATTCTTATTAAAGCATTTAATTGCATGTTCAGAAATACATCCTACAACTAAATGCCTAAGCTTGTAAACTAATAATCATAGCCTCTATACAGTGTACACTACTGTAGTGGGCGTTGTCATGGGTATTGACCGCATAGTGAGAGTAAAAGTGTGTAGTAGCTGGTGTAATGGGCAAAGAAAAGGGTGTAGTGGGCGTAACAGTGGGTGTAGCAGCGTGTAATAGACTTAGCAATAGGTGAATGGGTGTAGTGGGAGCATAGAACGTGGCAGTTGACAAAGAATGAACTGTGATAGTGATACAACCACTGAACGTGAGCTGTCAAATGGTGGATAGATAAGATTCTCCCTCCCTTACTCTTCTCAACACACGGCCCCGGGCTAGAGCGGTTAAAAAAAATGTATACTTAGTACCCGCTGTTCCTTCCATTATTACTGGGTCTTAAAGTTACCAACAACACCGAAAAGTTAAACTGAGCATAAAATATGTTGAGATTATAATTATGAAAGCAAACTCCGCAATTTCGGGGATGACACAACAATTGGTGTTTTGTTAGAAATGGCGTTTCAGGTGGAAATTCAGATAAAATGCAAAAATAATTGGTACTCGCAAAACAGCTTCGATGTTTTCCACTGCAACGTTATCATAAATTCTATAGTAACTGTGTTAATTAAATCTGGTCCGCGAAAGTTGAGGGAGAGGGTTTATCGTCGTCACCTGATGGCCAGGAACTGTTGAGGCAGTACTATACTTGGTGGCCTTAATGAATACTTCTTCCAGATTCATCTGCCACTGTAACACAGGTTTTTCTCTGTGTAGTCCGTATTTAAAGGTAAAATTGCAATTTCGCCCAATATGCCCTAAAGTAGTTTAGAAATTAGCTTATCCTGTGTATTTTGGTGTGATTTAATTGAATTTAACCTTTATTTCTGGGGAAAATATCTGTTTTAGAGCCCCCCCCCCAAAAAAAAAATAATAATAAAAAAATAAAATAAATAAATAAAACTAAAAAATATGGCAAAATTTACAATTAATTTCTGATGTTATTATTCTTTTGCCCCCCTGGTTAAAACGGGGTTAGATATACTCCAAATAAAGAGATCTAAAGGTTGGGGATGGTTAAAACAGTCGGCCGTGTATTGGCCGAAACTGCAATAATACCGTCTTCTTAATTTCATACATTTGACATAATACTGATAAATTCACGTTGTTCAAGCACACCTATTAACACGACACACATTTTAACAATATCGTCTAAGTATGGGCACTCTTTCTGTCATCTTCGTCATGACTGTTACCCATAAGTATATTTGCTGCTCCTTTTGATATTTTCACGATAAAAGAAGACCAAAAGCACGAGATAAACACAAATATCAAGAGTAAGACCAGCACGTCAATTGTAAACAAACAACTAAGTTCCCCCAACTTTCCCGGGCAAACGGAAGCAGGCTCAGCTCGGCTCAGCTCGGGTCAGCTCTGTAGCCTTTGTGACCAACGTCACCTGGGGAAAAATTTACCTGCGCCTTGTAGAATTGTCTTCGATTTTCGGAGGTTTTCTGTAAATGTAATAATAACATCTAAAACTAAGGTAGCCATAATTTCCATCTTAGAATCACAGTTGCAAACTGTTGGCAAGTGCTGGGCAAGAACAACCTCTTGAATATTTTGTACCAGAATATGTTGCACTGTTGGAAATGAAGGCTCTCACACTTGGTGCTGTCACAATAGTAGCTATCAGGCTATTCCATGAGTTCACGGCGTTTTCTACACTGACATATCTTCTTTAACTTGAGGCTGTGACTCTAATAGACTGCCTAGTAATTTCAGATACGTACGTACTGTACGGTACGTGTGACTGCATTGTCCTTTGAAGTGGTAACCTCAATTTACAGAAAGGTTACGTCCCTGAAAAGGTATCAGTAGTATATCGAAGTAGATCATCTTATGGTTTCATGAAAAATGAAAGTGGTTTACAACGTGTTAGGTACAGTGCGAACACAGTATATTAAATACAAGAAAAAGGATAAAAGAAAAAAATACATAAGGCAGACGAGCAGTGTGGCATATACTCTCCACCACTTTTACTTACTTCCATACCTGAACAGTAATGTTAGGTGCCCATTGACAGCTGGGTACACTAGAGGTGTCCTGGGTGTGTATCAGCAACCCTTGGAGAGGCAGCGAGTAGTGTATCACACTGACTGTAAAGGGATGGTAATTAATTATCAGCGTTCACCGAGAGTGGGGTAAAGGTAGGTAGGTTCGCCGTACAATGTTCAACACGATGGTCACTACAGGTACAACAAGTCTTCAGTTTCTATACGTCACGTAAACCTTAAGCATCCAGGTTGTGTGAGGCTTAGGCTTCAGGCAGGTAGCAGGTTAGATAAGGATACTGTATTGGTAGTGTACTGTACTCACTTGAACTCAACCTCATCTCTCCTATATATATATATATATATATATATATATATATATATATATATATATATATATATATATATATATATATATATATATATATATATACTGTAGAATCTACAGTATATTGTATACAGTACATCTACACTGTAGATGTACGAGATAACTGGGGCATTATTGAATACTGTCCAGTTTCTAGAGTGAAGCTTGTGTTAAAAGTTTGTTGGAAAGAGAAATTAGTTCCCAGTGAGAGAAGGATTATATGAAGAATGTTTTTTCTTTTAAATATTTATAGCAAGATATGTAGAAACGTTAACAATGTGTAGTGTAGTATGTGTTTTAACAGTAATATTAGTTACAATAAGGATTGATGACGTTTAAACATTGTAGAGATACCTGTGAGTTGTTTACACAAAAGAAAAAGCTGAAAATGTTGGGAGCCTCAGGCTAGTGACTGGGAGCTAGGGATGCGGTCCATGTCTAGGAAGCTGAAGCCTTTAGACGAGATGCCCGTACGCGCCACGGGAAGAATGAGCACGTAGAGGTGGTCCATGTCTCCCACCCGCACACAGGAGAACTCGCCCATGTACACCTTAGGGGCCCAGTTGTTGGCGGCGTCTTTTGGGATGAGAGATTTTAGCTCGAGGGCAGTAGTGGACCTGTGCCACGAAGTGACATTGATCCCCCCTTTGAGCCACATCCCGCCCTTCACCTCCACATAGTAGAGTTCATGGGATCCCTTAGCTATGGACTGGATGGTCAAGTTGGTGAGGGCCATCCTCCAGTTGCTGGTCCAGTGGCCCACCAAGGGACACCATCTAACGAAGTTGGAGCCGTGGTTTTCGTACCGTGTCTTCAGCCAGTTCCTGTATATCTTGCCCAGCACCTCACCTTCTGCACCACACACCAGACTCACCACCACTGCCAGCAACACTAAGTAATTCATCAAAACGGTCCGTCTCGTTAGAATTTTTAATTTAGTTTTGCTAATTTGAATCTGATACAAGTTATTTGTACTGAGTTACAGGATGTATAAATTGCGATGGAGACCCACACGAAAATGAACGGGACCACTGACAAGTTTAATCTTGAGTAACGTAACGGTGAGCACTGCTCTGTTAGGCCACAATCATCTGCGTGAAGTAGTTCTTTTTTCCACAGCCAAACTCTGGTGGCGACCATCTGGGACGTTAGCTAAAAACAAAAGCATTTCCATAAGCGGGTAAGCTTTGATGGCCTCAGGGAGTAGTGACCCTGCACTGCCAGGCAACTCCTACATATCATGCTTAGTTTCCACTCCGTAAAACTGAATATTATCACCGTGATAGGAAGGGAATCCAGCAGTAAAATTTGCTTCAAATTTACCTAATGGCAACCGGGATACTATTCCATCAGGTAATCACGGCTAACCCACGAAAGTGTTGAAATAAAGCGTAAAGCGGTGACGATAATGTGTCCACTCAAGGCAGTGTGATACACCTCAACTTGGTCAGTGTCCTGAGCTATAATAAAATCTGTCCTTAGTCTTCTATACTCAGGTTAGAGAGTCCTCGTTTAATGATTAGCTGTATTGTAACATCTTTAAGTCGTGTTGCACCGTAGATGACCTTTTGTATACCTGTGTCAGCCATCGCCCTCTAGCAGCACACGTTATGATACGGGGAAGAGATGAGGCAACTCTCGCTGTTGATGACGTATACACATTTTCCCCTTAACTTGGTCAGTCACGAGACTTGTGAAACTCAGGAGGAGAAAATCAATACCCTTCAGGTCGAGTGATGCAAGACGACTCTGCTGCTGCTGCGTCAATAACCTTTAGAAGTCCCTCAAGTGCAGTACCCAAGCCTGTCTATGGAGAAACACGACACACAGGTCAACATGACACTAACTGACACTTAGCAACGCCATCACTGCTACAGGATCATAAGCATTACACAATTATCCTTTTACCTTTACAAGAGAATTTAGCCCTAGACACATGAGCTACATTACGTGTTCCATTCTCCAGGGTTTGTTAAGACTGCTGGAGCTGACGAAATATGGGTCACTATAGTGGATATCCCATTTCCACTCACCTTAACCTGTTAAGTGAGTCCGCGGAGGGATTTTCCAGGTAATTGGATGTAACTTTTGGGTTTCGTTATGTGATCATTCATTACTGAGCGAGATGTTCGAGTTACTTGTAAGTGGCCAAATACCAGCCCACTCTTGAATTGGTCCCGTGTGGAATAGAAGGTTCATCCGGGATGTTATACGGGAATGTATCTTAAGATTGTCTCACAGTCTGTTATGTCTCTGATGGTGCTTGACGTGTTTCAGCCTTTGAGAGACAGCGTTCAGTGTCACATCTTAGGTGATCTCGAGAGTTAATAAGAGTTAATACTTCCATCCTCAAACTTAACTCGATTCGACACTTTACCTTCCAAGATTTTCCGAATATAAATTACACAAAAACGTCTACGTCTTCTCTGGGGGAGATTATAGCTTTAATACTTGTAGTCTTTCCCAATAATGAAATCTTTAAGAGTGACCAACGTCCTCGTCAACCCCTGTATTTGTTTGAGTTCTTCCATGTCTCCTAATTTGTGTGGAGTCCAGAGTTGGGAGAGATATTCCAGCTTTAATAATACAAGAGCTGTTCATATCGGCAGCAGAGGACCTGATATACGTGACGTCATAACCACCCTACCCCCGCCTTACTTGTCCCTTGTATATGTTACTTGACGGTGCCACTATCATTAGACATAAATGTTCCCTTATATGGCCAGTAAACTGATTAAAAGTGAGGTGAGGAGGGGGAGGGGGGGACTTCCAGAAAATAGTAATGTGCGTAAATGATCGAAAATATAGTGACGTCAGGTAGTGAAAGAAGAATGACACGGTGGAACGCATCTGTAGTCAGAGTAACTGAATGGTGTAAAAGGTTATTATTATTATTATTATTATTATTATTATTATTATTACTTCTATTCATAACTGAATTCCATAAATAGAGCAATTCAAAACCTTTACAGTACATAACTCTTCCAAATATATAACTTTACTTGGGTATTAACGTGCGCAGGAAACTACCAGCTAACGACTACAGCCCCTGAAGTCACACTGAGCTCAAGTAAACACTCATACAGTAATTGGAGTCGACATAATGCGTTGACTTAATACTCATAGGGATAGAGGGATGAGGGGAGCATTAAGGGGTTGAGGTGGGGGGTGAGGGGAGCATTAAGGGGTTGAGGTGGAGGGTGAGGAAGGGTTTGGAGGGGTGAAAAAGGTTTGGGGGGTAAGAAAAGGTTTGAGGAATGGATGGGGTAATAGGAATGAAGAAAGACTTGGATGGAGGCAGAAAAGGGATGAATGATTTAGGAGAAGAAGGAATGGAAGATAAGGGTAGAGGTTAAGGAAGGATAGATATTGGGATGAGAGAAATAGAGAGAAAGTTGAAGAATGAATAAGAGATAGGAAGGGAGATATTTGGTTTGGAATAGAAGGATAGATAGGGATAGGAGGGTGGTTGATGGAAGAAGACTGGAGAATGGACGGTAAATGGTAAAAGAAGATTAGATAACAAGAAGGTAAGGAGGGGGAGGTAGGGAACTTTTCCATATATGACCACAGGAATAGTGTCTCCCCCTACTACCCCCCGCCTTTTATTCTACCCCCTCCTTCTCCTCCTCCTCCCTACCCCACCTTCTCCTCCTACCCGTCTCACCCACCTCTCCCCTCCTTAACCTCACCCCACCTCTCCTTCCCTCCTAACCTCACCCCACCTCACCCCACCTCTCCTTCCCTCCTTAACCTCACCCCACCTCTCCTTCCCTCCTTAACCCCACCCCACCTCTCCTTCCCTCCCTCCCTTCACCCACAACATCATCAGTGGAGCGTACAGTACTACTCCTCTCGATCTTGCTGTCATATACATTACTGGAGGCAGTTCAGAGGCTTTTTGGGTTCAGTAGATTTTAAACGAGATTTTATTGTAAAGTGTAATGTTGATACAAGAGTTCAGATGAAAATTATATCCACAACAACGTATAGAATGTGACGTATTGCCTGAGGTGGGAGGTGACGTGTTGCCTGAGGTGGGAGGTGACGTGTTGCCTGAGGTGGAGGTGACGTTGCCTGAGGTGGGAGGTGACGTGTTGCCTGAGGAGGGAGGTGACGTGTTGCCTGAGGTGGGAGGTGACGTGTTGCCTGAGGAGGAAGTTGACGTGTTGCCTGAGGAGGAAGGTGACGTGTTGCCTGAGGAGGAAGGTGACGTGTTGCCTGAGGTGGGAGGTGACGTGTTGCCTGAGGAGGAATGTGACGTGTTGCCTGAGGAGGAATGTGACGTGTTGCCTGAGGAGGAATGTGACGTGTTGCCTGAGGAGGAAGTTGGATCATTTGTCAACTTCTGTAAATGTGACGATAAATTTATCAAAATAATATCAGAGAACTAGTGACTAGCAACAGATAGTTTTGTTTCGTCACTGAGTCGCTGGGTCTCCTGGTGTGTCATGGTGTATTATTGGGTGAGAGACTCTGCCTTATCTGGAGATGTGAGGACGCGCAGGTGGGTGGTCGTGGAGCTAAAGGCCCCTCCCTATATGGCTTCTCGTTGTGTAAACTCTGACATCCTATTAGCGACGTCATTCGATCACGCCACCCAACCCTCGGTTATAAGGGATGACCTTCACCACCATCACACATTTCTGACACACTCACTGCAGGAGTCGGCCGCAGAGTTGGCTGAAACTGTAGACGATCGCTTCGAGACGCACTGTACGTGAATTGTGGTTTCCAGGGAGTGATACAGAAAGATGCTCGAAGACAGCAGCGACATGGTGATCGGTACCCTGGACAGCGGGATGGGTGAGGTGCTGGCTGGGTCCTTGGGGCGGCTCTTACTCAACAACAACAACGAGGAGGCCATAAACGACAAGCTGGACGAGATGAAGAACTTAACAAATGAGAAGAAAAATCCTGCCCACGCCACCATCGCCTCAAATAATTTTAAGCGCGGGATGTCCGTGAGCTCTGAGGATACGTTGCCATTGGGAGCAGAGGAACGCGAGGGAAGAGAGAGCACGAACCTCGCCAGAAGCGAACGTGTTGCCATCATCAAGGAGCTGTTGGAGACGTACCTCAGCGATAATTACCTTACCCGAGACATCTTCTTGCTGAAACATTTCCGTAAGAGTAAAGAAGGTTGGATTTCCCTCAAGTTTATGTCCTCGTACAAGAGGATCAAGAGGACGAGAGTGGACATAGGGGAGGTGGAGGAGGCAGTGCGAGAGTCTTCTATGTTACAGATGAACGTCGAAGGCAACAAGGTCCGTCGTCTAGAGCCTCTTCCAGCATGTATCGAAAATTACATTCCCTCCCGCATGACCCTCGTGGGAGAAATACCGGAAACCCTCAGAAACCTGGTAACCTTGTCGGCGTATTTTGGTAAGTACGGCACCATCGCCTCGATACAGCTACTACGCCCGGGCTCTAATATGCCCGATATACTGCGGGAATCTGCCCAAAACTTCCCCAAGATCCGCGACCAGTGGAGCGCTCTGGTGGAGTTCGACGAGATATCTGCGGCGGGACAGCTGACGGAGACGATCAACAATGGCAGTGATGAGGCGGGTCCTTCCTGGGCTCTAGAGCTAGTGATGCCTTGGCACCCAGACACGCCTAAAAACCGATGCAGATCCTGTCCTTCTTCAGGATACTCGTCCCCGTGCCTCACCCCGGATCAGTCCCCGCAGGTGACCACCCCCAGCCGTAATATCCGAGGACTCACCAAGCGGGAACGCCTCTTGCTGAACCGCTCCCGCCAGAACAATTGTTGCCAATCATACGCTTGTCAACATCAGTGTAGTCCTCACTTCAGCCCTTCCGGACGCAGGTATAACTACCGGGAGCCCCACACACGTGTCGACAGTGGCTCCACCTCCCCTCGACACTACAAGACCCAGCTGACGGCCATGACTTGTGACAACTGGAGAGCTGCGTCTTCCCCTCATTAAATGTACATGCTATCAGTTGGGAGAACACATGGATACATGTAAAGGTCCTAGACGGCTGGTTTTTGTGCAAGAGCTTTCAGAACTTGAGCACTTGTACAAAAACTGCCCAAAGTTCAGTATTTAATCAAAAGCTTCAAAAAACTTAGTTAAAGTTGGTTATGTAATCATTCAAAAACTGTCAAAAATCATTCTGCGAAAAAGCTTCCATAAGTTCGATTAAAGCTTTGACCTATAAAACGCAACATTCTGGTGTGATAGTCGTTCGTGAGGGCGACAGGTAACGCAACAACATAGCTATTAAGTTATATCTCACATCCTTTTATATGATAACCAGTGTTATTGACCGACCTCTTGTTGTTTACTTGTTGATTTTTAATCAAGTAGTAAAATTCAAGTTCTTTAAATGTCATCAACAAGTATTGTCCAAATTTATTCTAATGTAATAACCACAGAACCCTATAATATCTTTGAAATATCTGTAATATAACGCACAGGTCTTAGTAATACCATTTTCTAAATTGTGCATTTATTCCTCTATATTAGTTTTGCTTCCTTAAATTTATTAAAAAAAGATACAGTATGGTTCATTGAATATTTTTCAAAATAAATATTAACATTCACACACACACACTCACACACACATGACATGATAAAGAATGTACTGTAGTAGTGAGCCAATAAATTATAATACAGAAACTTGTGCTATATATTGTATCCGTCCATATTGTTTATGAAAACTTAACAGAGAACGCTATAAACAGATCACAATGCTTGTGTTACTGTAATTATACCATTATTAATGCAACTTTTCACGCTGCTCGTATTACTTACTACTTACAGCTCGGGCGGTTGGTCTGTTCTTCGATGAATATTCTTCGTAGTAATGTACCTAACTGGTTGATTAATTAAATCACAAGAAAATCTAAATACAGCATCAAATTTTTACCGAAACTCTACCTTAATTAGATATGTTGACTTTGTACCATTTAGGGAAGCACGTACAGAATCTTTGAAATGATTCCATATGTCAGTTCGGGTAAAGTCTCTGCTAAGCTAGAAGTTGGCTGTTTTCCCTGAGACACGTTCCCTTCCGTTCCCTATCCAGTGGTCAGTGTTTGGTGTCGATTCCCGATACTATCTCCTAGCTACAGAAGCTTCTAGTACTACTGCAGAGTTATTATTGTCTAGGTGGTGGTTCCTAGTGAGTTGTTCCTGGTACCTTGTTCCTGATGTCATATTCCTGTTTCCTAGTTTCTGGTGCCTATATTCAGAGTTCCTGGTATGCTGTGGAAACATTAATACATGCATGATGTGCAGAAGCAGTTGCACCTCACAGGCTCTCCTCGCCTTACACTCGGGTTGAGTGACCGAACGGGAATGTTAAGTCCCGTATCATAAAAATGTCTGGCATTCCCTTCTTCGTCCAGCGGGCCCCCTGCAGTATTATGGTTTCTAGATCTGTAGACCTGGCTCAGTTCTACTTTTTAAACCCAGTTAAAAGTGCTATAACCTACACACTGAACCTGCAGGATCGATCTTACGGTTGATGAAGCGAATTGGCAACATCAAGTCCCGCCTACCTCTTCATATTGCTTGAGGTGAGAAGCAGTCAGCGACAACCTGCTAGTTGCTTGTGGTATTCCTTCAGACTTACATATCTACCATGGTGAGCTTTGTGCAGTAATATTATCAATATTAATCTGCATTCCACGTTGAGTGTTTTATTCTATCATCAGTAATACTATTCCATTACTTCAATCCCCGGCCAGGGGCAGATGTGACTCACAGTTATTCCCTGCACCCACCTACCCCATTCCCTCTGCCGCTTGCAGGTGTTCCTCAATTGCTACTCCGTGTTTGTTTGTTTTCTTGTTTTCCGAGCCATATCTTAAGCAATTTTTGAGCCAAGAAACTGAAATTTGGATACCATAGTGACCAAGTGATTTGACAAAAAGCTATCGTGAGTTTTTTCTAACGTATTGTACACCGCCCCTCCCTCCCCTATTCCATGCGGGGCCGTGTACATTGAACTTACCACTACTTGCCCAGCATTATGATCTGTATGTCTTCTCTTTATTTCCCGCTCGCAAAGAGTCATAGATAGGAAAATAGAGATAATAGATAGACTGGGAAGTAGACATATTTAGTAAATCATCATACAAGTTGACATTGATTCAGATTGTACAGTACACAGGCAGTGAAGATGAACAGTGTATCCACAGTGCAGGTAAACAAACCTCAATACTAACAAGATCGTTCCTCATTCCAACAGTACCCACGCAGACTACCTAACCTGCATACACCGTAGCAATTCTATCCAATCGGGGGAGCATTCAAATAATTCATAACAGACATTTCAGTTCATTTATTTATTGTTTTAGTTTTTACGCTAGACAACAGCACAGCGTCCAGGAGGTTTTTTGTGTAAGTTTAGGTGGTGAGGGTGAGAGAACTTAAGATGTGGCTGCTTGGTATTCGCCTCTTGATCAAACAGAACTCTTCGGTGTTTACGCATCATCATTGGGTATGACTTTGCTTGGGAGATTGGTATCCCCGCATCCCCTGAGCAACGCTCTTGTGCATTATGCAGAAGACCCGACAGCCGCACCCTTATCCACTACCTCCTAAGATGTCCCCACACACAACGCTTCCGTGACGCCTGCTGGACCACCACTCCACGACCCCCTGACGGAGACACAATGATCCTCCCCATACTGGCCAGATATTTTGTAAATAACATTGATTATGTGTTAAAGGAATATCCTTCCTTCCTTAGGCTTTAGTAAGCCCCTTTATAATATTTATACTGTATATACTTGTGACACTTGCCAGATGCTTCTGGTGTCATTGTACAGGGGTACCTAGTGACAGCACTAGGATCCCGCTTCCTCTATCATGGAATAAACAACTGAAATTGAAATTGAATTCGGTGTTGACATATTCAATAGGCCCTTTTATTTACCAGAATATATCGTTTTATTCTGGATTCACGGGATATGACCATTGATGATACTTAAGGCATTATGATGATATATCACCAGACAATATCACATCACTTCTTTATGATGCCATTCCAATAATCATACAGTATAATATTACAAATTTAGGGAAGAGGAGGTTGGATAATGCTTTACGATTTGTATCAATGTTAATTCTAAAGTCCCTTGATAGCCTCCTTTGACCCTATTCCCACTTGCCCTTAGGACCATTCATTGGGCATTTATTAATTATTTTTTGAACAGTCAGCTTTAGGAATACATTCTACTTGGGAAGTTTGTTTTGTCATGGAAACTATTTTATATATTTTGTTTCAGTGTAACGCTATATCCCAGCCTAACAATATCTCTCACTGAACAGAAGGTGGTGTTAGTGTGGCTGGTGGTGGTGGTGGGTGTAGCATCAGGAGTGCCCCTGGACTCGAATAATGCATGTAATCGTTTATGTATGGCCACCGTCGGTACTCTCATCTGCTGCTCCAGGACCAGTAACAGTAAAACTACCACAGCTTCTCCTCCACGTGAGTCTTCTTCCTACTTGACAACTTGATCAGTGAATACGGTACAGTATAGATAAATTGACAGATCAGTAGGTAAATACATAAACAGATATGATTTGATATATAATTTGAGATTTAGGCGTTCTGTAAACTGATATACTAATAATATGTTTTCCGTGACTTACAGTACGATGTCCTGTGTTCAGGTGCACACCGCTACTTCCTCCAACCCTCTTGGTAAGTGACTGTCTGCTGGTATTGTTTGGGTTTGTACTTACCTCACTAGCGTTTGGTTATACAGAAAGCGGGAACAACAAAGTGAATGATGGGATGAAAGGTTGGCATTGATCTTTAGCAGAAGGCATATCAATGACATTTGCAAGGAACTGATAATGATAAAAGGGGGAATTGAAGGAGATTCGAAAGATAGTATGGAGCACAGTGATAATATGCAAAAGAATACCAGTTGAAAGATTGAGAAAATTTGTCAAGGTTCTAAAGAGCACAAGAAGCTAAGATAACCAAGAGAATGCAGTAAATAAAACTTAAGGCAGTTAATGATTGTATTATAAGAAGTAAAAGATACGTATAGGGAAATTTTTGAACAAGTACTAAATAGGATAGATTAGAAAGACAGAATTCTCATATTTAGACTTGGTGACTTGAAGAACAGAAGAATAAAAGGTAAGGAAAGAGGAGATGAAGCTGTTTGTAAGTCAAGTTTATGTGTAGTAAGAAACCATTGTTCAAATGTTAAGGATGGGTTGGTGAAAAGGGAAAAATAGATGATAAAAGTGAACAGGCTATGTGTGGCAGATCTGAAGGTACCACAGCAGCTTGGAAACAACCTTAAAGGGATGATGATGGGTGAAAACGAATGAATGGCAACGGATGTGTGTTCGTGTATCTGGTACAACAATATTTCTGTTCATTATTATATTAATTTTACTCATTAATACTATTATCATCACCTTCCAGATATATTCTGTTACCTCTGAGGAAAACATCAGCTCCTACTGTTGCTACGTGGACTGTGATGGGGAGAAGAAATGTATCTCCAAAGTCCCATTACACTCGAAGTAGGTTTTCCCTCCCATCCAACCTCCATGTACTTGTTATTGTTAACCCTGGTTGTTGAACTTTATCATAAGTGTTTTAATATTTTATTGTTGAATATTGCTTGTTGAAATTATTAATAAATTGTTAAATATTATGAATGCTAACTTTCCTGACAACATGTCGTCACCAACTGGGTTTACCATGACACTTTTTTTTTGCAATGGGTGAACACCCATCTATGCCGTTCAGTTTTGTATTATAAAGGTTTTGTACCGAGTCAGTTGATTTCAATATTGTAATAGCTCATTATTTCTTACTCGTTATTATCATGAAATAAAATAACAATAAAAATTGTCATGTTTTATTTTATCAACTGTTCCTGGGTCAGTGGCAAGAACAACACCTGTCATCATTTAGATAAAATATGAGTATGAAACAACAAAGTTTAAGAAAACTAAAAAAATATATAACGAAGTACAGTATTGCAGTAAAATATATTAGCTAAAATATGCAAAAATATCCGAAAATATATAAAATATTTTAGACGATGGATCTCTAGTCTTTGAATACAATTATATATATCCAGATGACGTAGAAGATAAAGTTTTGGTAATATATTTACGTATATATTGCATTTAGAGGATAAATTAAGCCCGCAAAAATTACTTTTATCGTTTTTTATATATTTTGTGAAAAAAAGTCATAAATATACAATTTCTCCGCATTGAGCACAACAACTTAAGCCTTCTTTATGTGTTGTTGGGAGTGTTTACTAGTGTTGGCGGGCCGAGTGAGGTGAGGCTGTGTGGCTCCTGTCAACACAAGGACTGTCTCTCAACACTGTATGTACAAACGGTCTTCATACTTGACTAATGGTATTATAACAGTAAAAATCATTAGTTATTCGGAAGTCATGTATGATGAAGAACCAAGAACGGGTGTAATTTGTGTTAGGGAAGTGTTTGTGTTTGAACTAAAGTGTTGTAACCGAGACTTAGTGCACACAAGTGTATATATATATATACACTTTCCTAGATTTTTTGTATTTTGTATTTAAATAATTGTTACTGGAGTTGAATTTGACTGGCAGAGTAATAACATTGAGAAGGGTCGTAGTTAAGCTAGCCATAGTATATCTTTAGCATTGAGGAAAACTGCTCTTTCATTTGGAGAATAATATAAATATAAGATAATGTATGGGAACACTGCTACCACCAGGAGGAGTTGTTTGATTTCTTTATTTTTTGTTCACATGTTCTTATCACTACTTTTAAAAGAGGCGACTCATACTTGAACCTAATAGAACCTGACTAAACCTATCCAATGTTACCTAACTTCCTATCTGGGGGGTTTTGTCCCCGAATGCCCTGCCATACTTACTTTGATATCTGGTACCAGTGGAAGTAACTTTGTTGAAGCATCATTGTGTAATTTTATGTTTTTTATGGGCGTGAGAGTATGCTCGGACCAAGTGGGTCAGTTGTAAAACAAACGGTAAATGACAATAATCGACGACAACGGCAGATTTTTTAAGGAGTATTTATGGTTAATTTCTTCACATATAAAGCACGTAGAGACATCATTTTAGTGTCATGTGATAATTTCTTCACCGTGTTTTATCCCATATTTTCCCTCATCCTTCCTGTCCTGTCCACTACAGGTGATTTGTGATTGTAGATAGAGAAAAACTAAAAAAAATAAATGCTCATAATTAAAATAAGTTGTCATCTCTTTAAAAATACTTGCTATAATGATAACGTGTGTGAAAAAAATGAATGAAATCGAACAACTCCTTCTGATGGTAGCAATTACCTCATTAATTACCAAATGCAGTTTAGGTGTCAACATTTTTTTCTCAGATTCTTATTTGGTGCTGAACAAGTCACTGATACTGGTCTTACTCACAGATACTGACCTGTACAGTAAAGATGCCCCCTCAACACACTCCTCTCTCTGCCAAGAAGGACATGGGGCAGATACTTTTCTCATCTTTGCTGCTCCTGGGCATGGATGCTGTTGGTCTGGAGCACAACCTGGGCACACCAGTAAACCAGGTGAAGATACTATATTTTTTAAGGTTTATTTTCTTAAAAGTTTGTATTTGCCACATACAACTGTTGTAATCGTAAGAACAGTTCGTGCAGTAACCCTCTTTGATATACATGATTCCAAATTTTACATGCCTGTACCCATCCAAACTACTTCTTGAACATCTTTATCAAACTGTATTTGTGTAGCTGCAAGAAATAGCATGGACTGGTATGACCTTTATTTATATTCCCAACTGAGATTGGGAAAGGATACAATACTTTGCTCTTTATATAAGTCTTATGTTTGATGTTTTCCTAGAGGGAGGATAGTTAATTCCCAACCAAAGACATGAGTTTTAATATAAAGGGTCACGAGAATTGTTTGATATGTTTGCTTGGAGCCAAAAATGATCTAAGTTCCAAAACATCAATATGTGCATTAAATATTTTTTTTTTTAGCCAGACTAGTATCTACCAAAGTAAATTTATTGATTTATATGACAGAAGCACCTTTTGTATCAACTGTTCAGCAGAATATCATGACTGTACTGTACAGTATATTAGAGGTTAACCAAACTTTGTGGATGACAGCCACCACAATGACAAGGACACCATTAAGTATCCACTCTGATGCATCCCTGCCCTCCTAATGCAATATTGTAATATATTTCAGAAAATGTTTGTGCGAATGAATAAGAAGCTTGGAGAAATACTGCTCCATTTTTTATTTGTGTGTATTGATCAAGAAAAGGCAGCAAAGGTGTTCCGTGATTGTTGGCCGTTGATAGATAGGAAGCAGGAGTCCCAGTTTCACAAAGCAACATTTGAGTGGTACAAGAGCCTTCAGCAGGTAAGTTGTATACATTTTGTTAATGTTTATATTTATGGCTTAAATCACGGCTCATTTTGACCTCAAGCAGTATATATTGTAGAATTTCTACCATTTAACTGTACAGGGAATATTTAAAAAAATGGCTGGCTAGCTAATTCTTCAGATGATAATCTTCAGGTCCTCATTAGTTTGAGACATGAGCATCAATTTTGCAACAAGGGGTCTGGGCATTAACTAAACCCTTTGTTATCAGGGACCTCCTAAAGGACCCATTTCTAATAGTGTGTACAGGACTAGGTAGTTATAACACTATTCTTGCAGGCCTTTCCTTACCTTCTCTAGCTGTCTAGCTGGTTTTGGATACACAAGCCAGATGACTGTAGAGCATCAAGTTTAAAGTGATTTACTGTACAGTATATATGTGTGTGTGTGTTGAAATCTCATACTGTATTTGAAATGGGTAGTGACAAATCAGCTGGAACAAAGGGATTTTGCATAAAATCCATTGTGACTGTTTCCAAGAACAGCTGAATGATGATGTGTGTAGCAACAGTTCAGCAGCTGCTAACTTTGTAAAGAAACTCTTGTTTCTAATCTTCATTTTTAAGGACAGTTAAGGCATTTTTGATGCATGGATTACCTAACACGTTCGCTATTCTGCATGCGCAGACGCTGCTTTTGACGTGTGTGCATAACACTTTCAGAGGGAAAAGCTAACACCTCGACTGGACGTTAGCCTTCTGCAGTGCCCAAGTGGCCCAAATAGCTAACAACCAATCAGCAATTTCTCCCACGGAAAATACGCGGATCATGGCCGCTTATTGAGAATATTTTGATTAAGACTGAAGAGTTGGGGGGCATGTAAGGCAATAAAAAACTGTGATATAATAATAAAAATAATTCTATATACGGTAGTACAGGTATATTGAATAGGATCTAAAACAAAGCGTATGGCGTGGAAAAATTGGAAAGTATTGCGCCTAGTTGAAACCAGTTTTGGCTCCGCCCATTTTTAAGCGAGTGCTGTCCGATTTCATTAGCCGTTGGTGACTTTGGTGTAACAATATTGATAATTACTCAAAGATGATTGAAACATTAATATCATTACAGTACTCATAAGATACTTTTAATAAGGGTGAACAAGTTGATAACAGTTTTGTAAGTGCAAAAATTAAGACTTAAACGAACCTGAAATTCATTGAATTGCGTGTGTAAGTATGCGAACACAGCCACTACAGAAGAAGCGTACAGCTCTTCTGTTGGATGTTACGTGTGGTTTCATAGTCCGGGAGAAATTACCTTTACAACGGGCCCGATATTTTGTCTTATTCTTATTTATTATTGACTGATTGACTTTTTTCCTTTTTGTCTTTCTTTCCTTAATTTTCTATATACAGTATTTTCTTCACTATTTCTTTCCATATTGTGTCCAAATAGCAGTTCTCCTAATTTTATTGTTTTCTGAAAACTTTGTACAACATTTATTTCCAAGACCCGGTACAATGCCGTATTTTTTAATGACAGTCTGGAAAGCTAACGCGTTAGCTATTCCGTGCATTGTAAAACACCTTACAATAAATGCCTTTAGTTATAATGGAAGGCATTCAAAGGGATACAAATTCGTTAGACTAGTTATCCAGCCACCAATGGTAAGGGTTGTATGGGTCCAGACTTGAAGGCTTTGGGAATATAATACTGTACAAGTCACCTGGCTGTGAACTCACTTGTCAAATGAGATTTCAGGATCACTCTACCATTTTTCAGTCTTGGTTTATTTACCTTACTCCTGAATAATAGCTGTGTGTTATATGAGGAAGGAAAGGCAAGTAGGGTTGAAGATATGTTGTGAAAGAGACAACTGGTTTTGTTAGTGAAATAAGCTCCATTGTTTAATTGCTTATTGATCGATTCTTGTCTCCTAATGTTTATAAATTTCCTAATTTTTTATCAGAGTAATGGGCAACCAGTGCCAGCTGTTGTGGCCAAAACTTTCATGGTTCCTGGTGGCCCCAAGTTCACCTCAACATTGATTACACTCACCCGCTTAGCTTTACACTCCTCAGTTGCCAGGAAAGGTAAGGGGATAATTTCTTGTTTAATTACCGACTAGTTTAAATCTGTTTTAATGAAGTACAGTAGAACCTCTCATTGTCAGACTTATTGGGGGAAGGCCAGTCCAATAAAGAGATGTTTCCAATAAACCAGATACTTGATCTTTTACTAGAGGTATTGGAAGTACTGTATTGTAGTCCAGAATATCAAATGGTAGTACAAATGAGACATCTGCTCTGAGAACCAAGAATAGGTGATAATTTCCATTACTGTATATGTCTTTCTTTTGTGTAAAAACTTATGTTTTTTTGTTTTGTTTTCAAAAGTTATTTATCAATTTCATTTTATCCGTATTTGTTATTTGTACAGCTCCTGGCTGCACCCTTCTTCACTTTCCGTCTCACAGTCGCAGTTCAATGTTAAATGCGGAAACATTGCTCCTGCTTAAGGCATCAAAACATGCTCACCATCGAAACTTTATTGCTAAACAGAAGATTCGTCAAGAAGTCTTGAAAAGTCTCCAGGACAAGGCTAAGTGAGGACTATAGTAGTATTTGTTTTTAACATTCTTTTGTGATGATTTTGATACAACTGTACCTGGCGGTGTTTCACATCTTATAGATCTTTCCTGTTGTATAGCTGAATAATGTAAAAAAAATGGTTCCATGCACCAATATCCTTGCACATTGTAGTTTGTTCTTTCAGTGATACCTACGCTTCACTTCTCAAACATATTTGGGTTGTCTTCACTAAACCTACCAGGTTTTGTATTTCTGGGGACTAACTTTTAGTTTGATTCATCTATCCTAGTCTCTGCCTCCTGACACTCTTACCCTAAAGTTTACCCAATAATATGTCTATTATTATTCTCTTAGCCCTGATTATATGGCCAAGGTATCTCATTTTTTTTCTTTTGTTAATTTCCAATGTTTTTCTTGTTTTTCTAGCCAATCTTAGTACTTTGTTTTATTATCAATAGAACTAATCTTATCATACAGGTACTTCTTTCGTACCACATTTCAGAGGCACATAAAAGGCCTGCTAAAAGTGTCCATATGTCAATACTGTATATTTATATACTGTACAGTATTACTATTTTCAATACAAACCCACCAGATATTAAGAAATTTTAAATATACAGGACTGTATATTTATACACTCCATGGTAAGTGCAGTGATTTTGTCATCTTAGACTTGTATTGTGTACTGTAGTTCTGCCAGAGCTTATGTCAGGTGAAGAAAAATATTTTCTCCAGCCCATTTTATAAAAAAAAATATTTCAGTTTTAAGTACAGTATAAACCCATGAGATATTGTTTGAAGGTATCGTATATATATAAATCTATGGAATATTTAGCCATGTACTGGTTAAGTGCTCTGTGGCTTGGAGCTATAACGGGTTGTTTTGAAAATATAATTCTCTGATGTCTTACTCACTGCACAGGGGCCTCTAGCATCATGATTAACGAGAAGGATCAAGCCAGGCCCCTAATTTCACCTCAAAGTCAGAGCCCTTAGTGTATGTAATGACATAACCACTCAATAAAGGCATCTTTTGATTCCTAGCTTTCCCATTGTCCACTTTAGTACAGTACAGTACTTCATGTGGTACCATGTCAGATGCCTTCTCTGTGTCTGCAAATATGAAATACTACTTTCTCTCCTTCCCTAGATATTTCTCTTGTAGTTGCCTGGCTGTGAGTATATTGCCTCTTTAGTCCCCTGACCTGGACTGAATCCAAACCCTTAATTAATTAATATCAGCTCTCTCTCCCTTATCAATTCATTGACCATTCTTTCCACAATATTTACAACCTGATTTAACATTTGTTTTCATTTCAGGGAATTGTCCAAGACATATCGTCAACAATGTTCTGAGAGTGAGAAGACTATGCAAGAGCACCAAAAGGCACTCATGAATAATGAGAGGCTCACCCAACACCAGAAAGATATTTTCTCCACTGCTTCTTTGTCTGTACTAAAAAAAGGTGAGTCTTTCATGGTGCCATCTTCAATACTGTATTTTACTTCTTTCATTAAAAACAATAATAGAACAAACAACTGAAGTATTACTTGCATTTCTTCCATCCTCAGTCATCTCACATCTACCAAGCACATCACTGCTGCTTATTTCTAACCATCTGCTAAGACTACAAACATCCCTCACACAGTTACTATCAGCACCCATAATTCTTCCATTGCCTGCTCCATTCTGTGTGTACATCTCATTCCTGTAGATCTGGGCTTTAAGAACTCTACTGTTTCTCTGTTCTTTCTTTATATCAAAGATTATTATTTTTGTTTCTTCCTTAAACCTCTCTCTTTATTTCTTCTTCCAATGTTCCACTTTACACAACTGAATAAAAATGCATTAATCCTTGAATTGAACCCAAGATTCGGAAAAAAGTGCACCAGTTCAATTCACAGGATGGAAATTAATGTATGGGAAAAAGTGTGATAAGAGAGTTCACATATTTTTCATATACAGTATACAGTACAGTACCTCCCAAAAACTGCCTGTACCAATATTTATGGGTTTGGCTTTTACTGTACCTTTGCACATACAGTACAGTAAACCTCAACTTGACTCGACCAATTGGGGGAAGGGGGTCTTGATTTTGTGAATTTTTGGAACATGAAATCATACCTTTCATGGCCCAAACATTTCAGTACAGTAAACCCTTATTAATAAGACTGGATACAACACACTTGATATCTAAGCAACAAAGAAAGATATTACTCTTTTTATTTTTATACAGCCATTCTACATCGTCTTCCACGCCAAATATTCATATTTACACTCATGAGCCAAAATCCCACCATCATAGCATTGGCAGACCTTACATAAAGTTTGATGGACTGGGAATAACTTGGGATTGAACCAACAACTTTTATGATATAATAGATATTGTACAGTATTTTTACAAATAAATATATTTTTGAAATAGTGTACTGTACAGGAGGATATTTTTAAAAACGACGACTCAATTATGTAATACAGTAAGTCCTCGTTTAATGTTGCCCCCGATAACGTTGTTTCGTTAGAACGTTGCTATTCTTTAGATATCCATGATTCGGATAACGTCCTGCTGATTCAGTATAACGTCGTCACGGACTACTTTGTACAGCGCATCACCCTCTCTCATCTTGGCGCGCCACGCTCTCACTAGCGGAGCATCACAACGTCCCCAAGCGTCACCAGCCTTTGTTAGGCTTCCACAGCGTTTGTGCATGTTTAAGTGTTTTTGCTCTTAATACTGTACTCTAACTATTCAAAATGGCATCCAAGCTCCCATCAAGTGCTACTGATGCTAGTGTTGTGAAGAAGCAACATAAGACTAATTAGCCTTGCTATGAAAGTGGAGGTCTTAAACCGTTCTGAGAGGGGTGAATGTGTGGTGGACATTGCTGCTGCTGGGTCTCAGTGACTCTCCACCCTCCTCCTCTCCTCCTCCGCTCCACTGCCCACCACACACTTGCTTCACCATCTCCGCCCATCAGTGAGTACAATACAATATGATTTAGTTTATTCATATATACTGTATACTATTTTCTATAAAAATGACATTGAATTTCTGTATATGTAATGTATTTTATGGGTCATAGGGAGGCTGGGGAACGTAACTCCCGTATTTTATCTTTTTCTTATGGGGAAAATTGACTCCGTTAACATTGTTTCCTTTAACTTTGCGGTTTTCAGGAATGAAACCACGACGTTAAGCGAGGACTTACTGTACTGTATAGTATGATGCAATAGTTAGGTCTGCCAATGCTCGAATTTGGCAATATAAATGTAAAGTTTGGTTAAGACTTAGCAGCATGTACTGAACTACTGTACCAGACTTGAGTATGGGAAGAGAAGCAAGTGTGATATTGACAGACTTTAATAAACATCTACTGCCTCTTGTTAACATATATTATGTTTTATCAGTTATATTCTTATAATTAGAAGTGTTTTTGTGATAATTGGTTTATGTTGTTCGACAGAGATTCTGGACGATATATCAAAAATGAACAGTGAAGCGAGCAAATTATGGGCACGAGCAGAAAAATTTCGAGAGATTGAAGAGTCGTCCTGGAAGATTTTATCCCCCTTATTAGATGGGACAACTTCTCTTTCACATATAGATGGCTCAGCATATGCTCCACAGGTCCCTGAAATGGTTTACAAGGCTCATGCTAACACAATAAACAAGGTATGAAATAATTGCCAGTACATTACATCTGTAGGACTCTGGTCACAGGCGTACAAGCTACATATTTAGAGTTGGTGACTTGAAAGAAAATATAAAGATACTGCAAAAATGAATAGGGTTAGAAATGTATGTCTAAAGTGAATGTAAAGAAAGCAAAGTGATGAAAGCACTGTAAGTAGAGAAAGGAGACAGAAATAAGTGCATGTGTTTATCACCTGCACTCTATAATCTCTCCCTACAGGGGAAGACTTTGTTACCCACTGCTTCTTATAGGGGAACAACTGGTTAAGTATTTAGAAGTTAGAGATCTTTTTTAATTTTCAGTTGCCCTTTGTTTTACGCATCAAGTTTGCAGCATCTGGATATTTTTACACTTTCTATTAGTATTAACTCTATCACTCACTTTTGATTACAGGTGGGGTTACATGGTCTCTACCACAATGATAAATTAGACCTATTGAGTCTGATGCAATACTCCAACTTGGCTCTGAGTTCTCTGCTTGACACAGTTCGTACTACTCACTGCCAGGCAAAGCCAGGTTAGTTGTACTTGTTGGGCAATTGGTTCTAGCCACTTGAAAAACTTGTTAGCTAGATTATAATTTGAATGCAGTCAAAAGTTTCTAACCAAGACAAAGGTGAATTTTCTCACCATTTTGGTCATCAGTGAACTGAGGCAAATTGAATTAGAAAAATGTTCCTATTAACCAAATCAGTTGTGAAGACACCCACATATTTTATTGTTTTTTGAAAGCCCAGAACTTCTTTCACAATATGAGAAGTGACCCTCTCATATATAAGTCTTCAACGATTAGTTGAATGTACTTACACCATTAGTAAGCAATTAATATTTATGCGAATGTTCTCAATTTTGCAGAGTCCACAGAAGAGCTAGATGTTCAGACTGGCCGTGTGACAAGTATGAGCGAGACTGTTAATAAATTAAGCAATCAACTGAATACCCTGTTACCTTCACTTATGGAAACTGTTACCACTCATCGCCATCAAATTGCATCAACTTTATCATCTTCAGAGGCAGTTCATTTAGGTGAGTGTGGAATGAAAGAACTCTTTTCTTCTTCTTTCTCATGGTACAGTAGTTGTAACCATCATCATAAGCACATACGTCTAGTAGAGTGTAAAGGGGAAATGGGAATATCCTGCAGAAGTTTTCACGGATAGAATTTAAACTTTTCTTCTTAGACCTTTTAAAGTCAGATGGCTTTTATAATAGCATTTGTTTTGTTTGGGTTGTCAAGGTCCTTGGCCTAACCCTCATCTTATGTTCTAATAATTTTTATTGCTTTTTTATTCAGAAGGAAAACCTCATCTGTGGCCACCAACACCTCCACTTACTTTAGTAGATACTCCAGTGGCCATCAGGGGTGGGAGCAAGATTGTCCCACTGCAGCTCACTCCGGGTAAGTAAACGATGTCATTATTTTCTGTTAAGTGAGCTAGAAAAAATAAAACAGTAAATGAGGGAGAGTCTGCTGTTTTATTGAGTCTAGCTTGTAAGAATGGAAGAATGTACTTTGAAATGTGGTTAGTTTGGGTACAGTATTTATAATCTATAGTACAGTATAGGTGTTTAATTTTTGTCATATTTTTTTCCATTGATATAGGATAGATTTCTGTTACAGCTTTACAGGCATTTATAGTTGCAATGGACTGGATGCAGTGCTCACCCCTAAATGAATTGTTGTTCATCCCTGGGGCACCCTAGTTCACCTAGCTTTAATTGGTACAGTACCTAATTTTAAATTTGGGGAAGAAAGTGTGGTCGGGTGTAGTACTGGCTATGTTGCTTCCTTGGGCACTAAGGGCTTAGTAGACATTGTGCTGTATCCAGATATAAATTAATATTTATGGCCTAAGTACCTTTGATAATGACTTGTACTTTATTGTGAAAAATTTTAAAGTTAGGAGATATTCAACTTTTTTACAAAATTATTCTGGTTTTTAAGGCATTTCATGTCAGTATGACATGGTCTATCAGACTACTGTACTCACAAATGTTGGAAAATACTAGAATATATTACTGATTAGAGCATACAATAGTCCAGGCTACTAGGTCAACATTTGTGATCATAAAATTTTCACATGGCTTGCCTTGGGGATGCCACATGCCCAGTCCTACAGTACAGTATCTTTACTAGTGTTCCATGAAGTTACCTGTAGGGACAACAGCCACTGCTAGTAGATGTTTTATGTCCCATGCATTCCAGTTTTGTGTATGTGGGTTTGGATCAGGTAATCCTTATCTACTGTTTAAGGGTTAAGCTTCGGGAGTTGGATATGATTTTGTGGTACAGTGCTCTTCTCCAACAGTTGGAGAGTAATTAAGGAAATTAAAAATACAGTTTTGATGAGTAAGTTTTAAATATGAATAAATTGCTATCTTATTTGTTTTAATGGTAAAAATCTTCTTATCTCAACAGGTATAAATCATTCCAGGGCTGGTTTCTTTGAAAATAGTTTAAATGTCACACCAAGCAAGCTGCTCTCTAATTCTGGCATCACTCAGGCAGCCAAGAGATCACCTAAAGCTAATGTTGTCTACTCTCCTGCCACACACAGAGATGATTCTATCAAGGTGAGCTTTAACATTTGTTTTTATCTTTGATATTTAAATAAACAGTATTAGGATCTCAAACTAGAAAGAAAATTTAAGAGCTCTCACACATTTTGGTGAAGATAGTGCAGAATTTACTCTACAACCGTATGTCAGAATTAAACAATGTGCAGTATAGCCAGTATGTCAAGGGGTCCTGGGACCCAGTTTGTGATTGAGATCTAAAAACTGCATAGTCCAGGCATTATGGAAGGGATGTGTTCTTGAAAAATTTTCCATATTTAGAATGGGATAGAAGGATTTGAATTACAGATAGTTTTGTCCAGTGAGAAGGGAAGTAGTTTGAGGAAAGTACAGTATGTGCATAATGCGTATAGAACAAGAAGTACTGTACACTATACTGTACAGAATACAATGGTGAATACCTGTACAGTACAGTACACTATTCTGTTTGTATTATATTATTTCAAAGCTCATTAATTAACACTAATTACTCAAATTTTGAAATTCTGAACCCAGATTGTAAACCAGCATTTAAAGTATTTTCTTTGAATTTTGACCAAAAATTCAAGTTTAGTCCTCATGGCAAAACTATGGGTAATAGTTCAGTTTTCATTTTACGATAAAACGCCTTTTCTCTAGAAACTGAAAAGTAATGTGTTTAAAGCGTAAAGATAGTCTGTATTAGTGTACTGAGAAATGTATATAAGAGTGATTTAAAACTTACGGGCACAACATAATTGACATATTAAATAGTGTAGACATTAAAATTAGATAGAGGAGATCAATGGTTGTGAGACTGAATGCTTGGTAGGAGAATGTATTAATATGCAGTGTAATCAGGAATGTATGTATGAGATTATGTACAGACGATGTGTGAGAATTATATCTATGTTTCTTTGTAGTATATTCAGCTGTAATAAGATGGATGAGTTTAGTATCTCTGTCAAATCATTAGAATATTTCCACCATAATTATAGATAGTAGTGGGGGAGAACACGAAGAGATTAGTCACTGAGGCTGGATTGACTATGGATATGTTGACGGTGGACTGTCGTGGACGTTACCTAAAGAAGAGAGAGCACGAACAAGAGTTACTGCAGGCCAGCTGTAATCCACCTTCTAAAAATAAAGGTACAATATTAACATTACCATATGATATGTTTAAGCTATTTTCTGTTCAAAGGTGATATATATATATATATATATATATATATATATATATATATATATATATATATATATATATATATATATATATATATATATATATATATATATATATATATAATTTATTTTTTCTTTAAACCTCAGGGAATCCAATTGAGAGGAGGTTGAGGAAGTATCATTTATCATTTTTGAGAATATTAAAAAGATGTAAAGAAAACAAGAATTTAATCTCTAACATTAGAAATTTTTAAAAACAGTCATATACCAATGGTACAGTAATTGTAAAACTGTAAGATGTGGCTGCTGGTGGCTCCCTATCCAAATAAATATTCTGGGGTCAAATTGTTTAAAGGTTGAGCTCATCTCTTTTGGTAAGAGTGTGATTGAATGATGCAGAATGAAGAAAGAATCCATGTTTTCTCTTGATTCTGGCCATCTTGCAGTGTAGCAAGAAGAGACTTACCAGAGTGACAAAATGAAATATTTATAACAAAAAAGTAAGTTAGGTTTGATTCCAAGAGGAAGTTGAGGGCTACATGTTCACCATCTACCACAGTACCTGTAGTGTCCTTTGGGTGGTGATAGCTGAATAGAGCCAACTGATCTTTAGTTAAACGAGATATGGCTGATTTTAATCTTAGATACAGTATTATACAAACTTTTCATGTTTTCTCTTGCAGGATATAAATCTTCCATACCTAAGAGATGTCGAATCCCAAAGAGTTTGATGAATCATTCTGTGGCCAGTACCAACACAGCCCCTGTAGTTGGAGTGGCTGAATCTGGTGTTCAAAAAGTCACCAATGTAAATTCTGATGAAGAAAGCTGTGATGTAACCAAGTGCAATAATAAGACTGAGAAAGAAGACTTCAATAATTCCTTAATTGATAGAGTAAGTACAGTAGTACTATTAACAGCTAGTACCCTCACAGTGGCCAAATCATTTCCATCTTATCTTGGTCTTCTCTCCCTCTTGGTACTTCTTTTTCACTTCCCATTCACAGAAAATGCATACAACTATGAAACTGGTCACTGCCTTGACCAACACTTTCATCTTCATGTCACCTCCCTGTGGACAACTAAGTGTTGTCTTGGATTGTCTGTACTCTGAGCATTGTGTATTTTGTAGACTTGTGTTGGACTTAATTAAATGTGTCAGAAGGGAAATTATAGTGCTAGTTATGCAAGAAGTGAAAGAAAGTCAGAAAAGTGTGCTTTGAGTGACATTGTGGACATGTTAGATAGGGTGACAAAATGGACGTGTTAGATAAGGTGACAAAGTGGGCATGTTAGATAGGTGACAAAGTGGGCATGTTAGATAAGGTGACAAAGTGGGCGTGTTAGATAAGGTGACAAAGTGGGCATGTTAGATAGGTGACAAAGTGGACATGTTAGATAAGGTGACAAAGTGGGCATGTTAGATAAGGTGACAAAGTGGGCATGTTAGATAAGGTGACAAAGTGGACATGTTAGATAAGGTTTAAGGTGGTAAACAAATCTTAGGTGTTAATGAATCAATGATTAGAACTGTTAAAAAAGTCAGGGGAGAAAAGAAGAGCTTGTGTTGCACACCTTTTAATACAGGGTTGACTGTTTTGGGGAGGGAACCTACAATGGAAAAGATGGAGGTCATGTTATATGACTTATGAAAATGTTTAGTTGTGGGAACAAGTTGGAATGGATCCCACTATTTCCCACAAGGTTAATCATCTACCTTAGTCTTTTTCTGGAGCATGTTCCTCTTTTAAAGTGAGGAACTACTGTATATGACTCGTCCAATCCTCTGCACCAGTTATAAGAGGTCAAAAAATTTTGGCGCTCAAACTGACCACCCCTGGTTGATGTGCATGGAGTCTTAAAGGGTTAACCCAAAAAATTTTACTGTAAGAGGTAAAACTTAGACCTGCAGGATATAGCTGACTGATTTATGTGTAAACATAAATACTGGAGGACCAATAATTAGTTTTTTGTGGAATGGTACAGAACAGGGAAGTGATCTCTTTATATAGTCTTCATGGATTGTCAACTGGAGGTGTAGTGGTCTCTCTCGACCTGGCTTCATTCATATTGATACAGCGCACCAACTCGTTGGTGGATTCAAACTGGTTTGTTACCAGAATTAACAGTACTGTACTTGCAATAGGAAGTAAATCAAGGCAGTGTCTTCTTTTCCATAAACCTCCACTTTGCTTTTCCTATAGGAGACAGTGTATCAAGACCAAGCTGTCTTCAGTGTGGTGTGAGGTGGCTGTAACTGACAGGTTTATCCTATAACATGTGACAGCATGACTCATTAGCCTTTGGCCCTTTTAAATAGTTTTAGTGTCAATGAAAAGTATTACTAATCAGTAGATTAGTCCCAACCTCATTATGTAATAGTTACCTGGATTTTGCCCACTTAGTGGGATAATATTCAGTTAGCTCTGGTCAGATGCAAAATCGTATTATTTGTTTGTACTCCTGTGTATAAATTCATTGAAATGACAGTGTGTTGATTTACTGCTATCTTTTTCTCTGTTAGCTGGCAGATATAATTGTTAATGAGGGTGATGATAGTGGTGCTGCAGAGCTCCTTGATGCCCCACTCTTGGAGGAGGTTACCCGAAATGGATCCACAATTGACTCTGGTAAGTATATGGTCAGCAGGTCATCATTCTCTTTAATGCTTATTACAATTCGGTCAGTGAGTCGGATTGAGATCAATTCCTGATCTATCTGAGATTTCACTTAATAGTTTGAGACAACCACTGGATCAGAGGTTTTCAACCCATCTTTACTGGGTGAGGAATGACTGGCAACATTTTTTTTTTTCTGTTTGTATGAATAGTGTCTGTTGCTGCAACACAGTCAAGTCCAACAGCAAGTTCAATCAGGTGTTTAGTTGTGGTGGTTTTTGCAGATCACTCATTGACTGCCCATTAAAAAAGCACTATTCAGTGAATTATCTTTTGCAGGCTGTGCAGAAATGAACTTACATTCTGATACTTTGCTTGAGGCATTAGAAAAGATGGACATCACACCAAGACGAGAGCTCTTGGCACTGCATGAGAGCAACAGATCTTTAAAGGGAACTCCAGGATTGGCAAGAAAAATTGGCACTCCCTTCCACTGTGCTAGCCCAAGACTTTCCTCTCTGTCCAGGGAAACTCCAGAAAGGCAGAAAACTCCAGCACAGGGGTCACCTGTTCAGTTTACTCGGCTAATAGACATAACTCCCTATGGCCCTCTAGTATATTCCAGGCACACACAAGATAAAATTCCAGTCACAGACTCTTCCAGAATATCACTGAGCAAACTGCAGGTCACAGGTTTTACAACCTATGATGCTGATCCAGAAAAGTTAGTATCTAAACAGGAAAAAACGATACATGAATCTTCTCAAGATCTTTTGGCAAAAATGTCTTTCCTCACCCAGAGTCCATTCAAGGATAATGCAACATCATCTTTATCGTCATCATCATCATCATCTAATATATTGAACAAATTTGATGGTTTAGACTTCTCTTTGATTAGCAAAGTCAGTAACTCCACAAAGCTTTTGACTGATGAGGAAGCCAGTGAAGGTGGTACTGTAGAGAAACTCAGACACCATTCTAAGACTAAATTGAATTTACTAATAGAGCAAGTGCAACAAATGAAACTGCAGCACCCAAGAAAAGTGGATTCAGTTACACTAAGTAGAAGTGAATATAAAACACAAAGTAATTTCTTGTCTTTTGTTGAGAATTTAAAAAGTAGAAAAGATGCAAACAGCAAGTCTTCCAATATAAAGTGCACTGAGCCAGGTAAAAGTGAATTCAAGGTGGATAACTCTGATCTCGTGAGAAGTCTGTTACCCACAGACTCAATATTGAGCAAGTGTGATGAAGATGGGTCTATGTTGGAGATTAAGCAAGACTTCTATAACAGTTTAACAAGGCTGCAGAATCTTACAGGAGATAATGATAATGATGACACGCTTACTGAGAATAACTTGGAAACCAAGGTACAGTATTTTTTAACTTCTTTTGTCTCCAATATTTTTTTAAGATTTATTTCGTTTATGAGATCCACACCTTATTGATGTCATCTTAGTAATTATACATTACAGAAAAGTGCATTATGATAAATTGGAATACTGTAATGAAAATTTCAGTAGTGACCAACTTTAGTTTTAAATACTATTCAGTAGTTGGAACTGTCTTTAGATATATATTAGAACTTTAATTTATCACATTTGTAGATCAATATAATTTTGTTCCTTCACAGAATATTGAGAAATCCCTTGAACCAGAGGAAACCTTCACCGATGCTTCTGATGTTGCTGAAGATGTTTTTAGATGCCCAAGTTATCCAGGTCGTAGGTCTTACTTGCCAGAAAGTTCTGTGTTTGACACACTCACCGACTCCGTACTTACTGGCGAATCAGCCGTCTCCATTATAAACAATGAAGCCGTAAAGTCAGAGCTTCGCAGAGGTGAATCACTTATGGTTTTTAGATTCCGTTTCCTTAATAATACAGGTATGACAAAATATTTTAGTGTGCAATTGACTGAAGGATGAATATGGCCTAGTATGCATAAGATGGAAAAAAAGATTTACAGTGCTGTTCCTCTCAGCTGTGTAAACACAGTAAGAGGCTCTGCAGCTACCCCATAGCCTAGTACTAACTAATGGTGTTTGGTAGCATTGATACCCTTCAGATATTATGACATTGACCAATGGGTAAGGTAGGCTCTGTCAGAAGGTGTTCAGGGAAGTACTTCATGAATCACTTGCCTTTGACTTAAAATGAGATTCTCATTCCACCATAAGTTTTTTACTTTTGTTTAAGATTATGTAAGGTGGTGATAGGAGCCACCTACTTTAGCTGCTAAGCTTAACTTCATATTCTTGTTTTTCAGAGAGTATATCATCTCGTAGGCAGTCTATTGTCAGCACTGAAAGAATGAGCTTGGGGTCCAATAAGCGATTATCAGATGTCTACACAACTTTCCAAAAACGATTTTCACTTGAATGTTCAGGAATTCTTGGTAAGCATTACTAAACCAGTGCTTGTGTTATTGTGTTTTGTACTATCTTTGCACCTTCCATTCATGGATTAGTTTTTTGTGTAAATTAGTTATATTTCCACTTGTATATTGAAGCTAAAGACTCGTTAAGGTTTCAGGTGTTTATTAGTTGAAAAAATGGGGGACAGCACCTCTTTGATATTTACTGAACACACATGCTTATAATGGTTACACACACACACACAACCTTTTATTGTCCAGTAAAAGTAATTGTCTTGGTTTAATTTTTATCATTTTACTTTGGGAGGGTGACATGTTAAAAGGGAATCATTGGATAAGTTTCAATAATGGGAGATTGTCATTAATCTATATTTTATGGTGACATTATTGGCCTTTTCAAGCACCTCACCAATCTTGATAAAAGCAAACACAGAAAGTGATCAGGGATTTATAGAAGTCACTGTTACATTGGTAGGTTTGGTAATTGTTTTTAAAAAGTTTGGAATGGCAAGTACCAAGAAAGTCGTGTACAGTGGTTTGATCGATTTCATCGGGACAAAATTAAAGTTGCCTGCGGTGTGACTAGTTTTCCTAACGGAGTTGAGATTTCATGGTAGTTCATTAATTTTATCACGAAAGGAAAATGAAAAGTCATAATATTGCTTTGCTAATGTTATTGTTTTTATTTAATTGACTTTGTCACAATCATTGAATTCTTATCTAGTCCTGAATCTTTTATTACAGATGAAAGTGACTCCTGTCTACTTTCAATTTCCATGGATGAGTTTTGATGCTTAAAGAATAAGACTGGTGTGTCTGAAAGCTTATGGCAGAGATGATGGCAGTCCTTAGCAGAGTAGCAACCTTGATTATGAGGTCAGTGGCAGTTATGATGAGCTGTTGCCTCTATTTAATATCCTGTCATAATAGATCATAAAAATGTGATATCATTCAATGTTTTCCAGGTAGACCCCACTTTACAAAGCTGTGGTTTACAAAATTTAAGGTATGAAAAAAAAAGCCTTGATTTACAAACAAAACCCCCAAAATTGTGAGTCCTTTTTAAGTAATAAAATTATGACCTTTTTTGTTTATTATTATTATTATTAAGGAATTACAAGTTTTGGGAGTTAGGCAGTAAATTCCCCATTTAATTACATGCAAAGTGCAAAAGAGTGTAAAGTTTTAGTGAGTAGGCTCGGTATATCTGCAGATACTCTTCAAAATTGTGGCACTTTGCATTTGTGTATGGCAGTACATTCTGGTGATGGGTTTTAGACATTATAAGTGCTGTAGTGATAAATGATATAAGAAGTAGGATTTTTATCTTATGTGTATAATGTGTAGGTAAGCATAAGTGTTATGGCTTGTATTACTTGACAGGTTGGTCAGTTAATGTACTGTCCAAATTCTGCTAAGTTTTGGAATCCACAGCGTGCTCAATTCAAAGTGAGCCCTGCTCCCACACAGGTAAATGTACTCGCAATGCTTTTCCTTTCAGTGATAAAGATTTAAATGGGGGGGAATCTTCACTGAATTCATTAATGTGGTGGCATGGCTCCTTTAGAAACCAGCAACCAACTAGCTTTTGTAATTTATAATGATTACAAACGATACCAAAAATGGGTCGAGTTTAGTACGTAATTATGTCAATTGCTTCTCTCTCCACGTGTTCATTTGGTAATTCAAGTTTGTAAAGCTCTCTTGCAGTAGTCTCACCCACATCAGTCTAATTTTACTCGGGGTATTGGTACTCTTATCCTAAAATTTAACCACTTTAATCACCATCTGTGTTAAGTAAGGATAAATATTTTAAAATTCTAACCCCAAAGCCACTTTTATAGCCATGACTACTACATTACAGTACTTGTTAATCACCAAGCTGTTACTATCCTGCCATATAGAAGGTGTTCAGGTGTATAATAGCACTGTTTAGAATTATGGTATTGCATATCACTTTAAAACTAAGAATTACGTCAAGAGGAAATACAGGTTGTAACTTCGCTCTAATTTGGGTAATAAAAACTTTTACTTTCTTTTTATGCTAATTAGAGCAGAAGTTACAAGTATATTAACTGGGCATAGTAAAAATGTCAATCTTGTTATGTCAAAGACAGTTTGCAGCTTTAAGAGTATTTTAAGTGTAGCACAACAAAGTTTAGTGCTAAGGTATACAAAATTTGAAAAATATTTTCAATGGGATGGAGGTTTATATGCTAGAAGCATCATATCTAATCCTGAAAGTGGAGTAGTGTGTACACAATTTTATTCAAAAGCTTCCTTCCCTGTAATCCATACATTCAGGTGATCGGAACTCTAGCACGTTTGCTTCATTTTTGTGCAAGTGAAGTATCATCCCCACAGTATAATACTGACTTCACTGTCAGACTGTGATTGGGCTAACTGAAAGGTTTCTATCTCTCATTTTAATATCTAAAAGTTTATGAACAAATTAAATTTATTTTGCCAGATTTGGGAAAGTCTTTGTACAGTATATATATTTTTAATAATAATATCTGTCTTCATTTTCTCTGATAATTAGAAAAGTATCCCTGGGGAAAGTAATGTCTCATAGTGTTGATGTTTATGCCGTAGGTTTAATGAAATTGTTACTTGCATAATATAAAGAAATATTTAGGTTATTGTAATATTTACTTTTTTAATCAAATGTAATGTTGATCTCAGTAAAACCATAAAGGAAGACATTGTAAAATTCCTCAGTGCTGCAGTTAACTAGAAACTTGACACTATATTGGGGCAAAAATGTTTTAAACTACGAAAATGAATTGTGTGTACAGTATTTTATAAGGTAGGTGAATAAATTTTGACATGTTTATAGTACCTATACTGTATTTTATTACCTTTGTTTTCCTGTCCCAAACTGTAGTTGTGGATGATTCTGTACTGAGCTGGATGATGATTGTTGTGTATGGATCTTTTCCCTGAAAATTTCCTCTCCTCTGTTAGTCACTTGAAGCATTTTGATCATAAGAAACACTTTTCATATTCCATTATTTAAGAATGGCAAATTTGTTGGTAGATTTTCATTGAACAGTAATCAAAATATTTTTATTTTTAGTAGAATAATTCAGTTACACCAGAAAGAATGAATGGAGGCTCTATATTTAATTACAATTAGGGCCACCTGGCCTATAGTGAGATAAAGTTTGATATACAGTATTGTACCAAAATTCAATAGCTGCATCACGTGCCATAAATATTTATGTATAAGCAGAGTAAATTTCTCAAATCACAGTCCGTGCAGCTGACTGACCGCTGCAAAGCTTCCACATTTTTTATTTTACTTATATCTACCAAATAACTCAATAAAATAGTGAACTAAAAGATGATAAAAATGACACATGCGTGACTAATGTTAATTTGCCAATCTAATACATTAAAGTGTGTGTGATTGTGGAATTTAATTATCACACATTTTTAACATTGGTTAAACATGTTTTGTTTAATACTAAATGTACTAAGGGGAATATTATCAAAGAACACGACAGATATATCGAGTCAAATTATACAATACGCAATAAGCTTGCGTAACTCATAACCTACAAATCATCATACAATATGTAATATTGTAATACACTACAGACAAAAGTGGGTACCATATATGACAATGGGCAGGGAGTACAGTCGCTTCCACTCGCCAACTGCCAAATTTTGTGCATAAGGCGGCGGGAAATTTGAAAAGCATTTATTTTCCAAACACGGTTAAGGGGTGTTTGATGTGGTTAAATAGTATATCAGTTTCAATAAAAAAAAGCACGAGAAAGCCCTGGCACAGATAAATGATCATTGGTAAAATGATCATTTATTGCATTCTGAAAAATTATAATCATGCATGATATTTTTTTTAAATATAGTACAGTACCTGTATAAACATAAAATATTTGAACATTAGTTCATTAAAAAATATGCAATATACTTTACTATTTTTACATCTTCCTTTTAGAAATAACTCCTTAAATGAAGAGCACAACATAAAGAAGCACTTAGAGGCTCTCTTAAAATTCTACCAATTAAGTGTAGCTAATTAACTGTAATGAGATGCACAACACTGTGCTTCTACAACACAGAAAGGAAATACTGTACCAAATTTACACATTTCTACCTCATGCTAGCAATGGGTGATACTCCTCAAGTAGTCTCTTGCGGTAGACATGGGCAAAACCAAACAGCGACATTCCCCATTTGAAAGTCAGAAGTGCCCATATTGCCATGAAGTAATGACTTGTACCAATGTTATTCATGGAGGGCAGATCTGAAAGTAAATTCAATGTTTTCAAAAAAGTTTTTAATTGTTTATATGGTCTTGAGATAATGAATTTCATTTTACAGTTAAATTAGGACTAGGAAAATCATGTTTCTCCCATCAATATTTAAGAGAGGAAATACTAAAAATAAAATTAATTAATCTATTCTTAAAAAGCTATAACCTGTAGTCTATATTATACTGTCTGTACAGTATATGATAAATGCTGATATTGGAAATATCCTGTACAGTACTGTATATATTTTTATGTTTCCTGCCTGTTTAATCATCCTGTGGGCTAATATCATACCCACACTAAATAATATGATCTTTATAAAAACTTTGCTCATGATCTCGAGTTTTTTAATATATAGCTTTAGCCTTCTTATACAGAGTAGGTTCTGTACAGCTTTAGCTTTCTTATACAGAGTACTGTACTGTAATTGGAAAAACATTGGTTGTCTGACATTTTTTGGAATGCTGAAATATACAAGCATTAAAATATATCTTCATTAATGAGAACTTGAATGATGATTTTACTGAATATCTGTCCATCTATCTACTGTATCTATCTATGGTTAGAGGCCTGTCTGATACTGTCTGCTTAAATCCTATAGATATGGAGTGATATAGTGGATACTGTTCAATTCATCTTTATTACATATCATAGCCCTACCTTCATGATGGGATACAGCAATACCAATGTATGATGATAACCCGACAAGACCAGAAAGAGAGCCAAGCAGGCCCAGCAGTCGGATCTGTAAGAGGTTCTCTGGTGTGTACCACAATTCTAGTGTGTGCCGCTTATACAGGATGTGAATGAAAAGAGTTGTGGCAGCAAATATTCCTGTGGGCAAGATAAGGCACAAACATTAGTGAAAAATAGTTAGCTAATAATAAAGATCATACATGAGTAATAAGGACACAAACTACTGTACTGGCATTCTAAACACCAATTCACTAATGTTACTATAAATTATCATGTTAATATTCAATAAAAGTCTGTTGTGGCTCTTGCCCCAAGTTGGTCAGTTTCTTGATTGTATTCAGTTTATAGCCATCAAGTAACTGACACATTACAGCGGAGAAAATTATTGGGTTATTTCCTTAAGACTTACTGGGTAATCCTCTGACTGGGAGGATAAGTCAATGTTACTGAACTTGCAGAGGCTCTGGCTACACTTGAGTGACTCTTCAATCTTAAATGGTAATGGCCATCATGCAGCAAGATTTTTGTGTCCCTAAACTGAGTGATTTGGTCATGGGTATCTAGGGTATTTACACAGCACACCAAGGATTGGTGAGTGCTGTAAATCATAAGTTATCCAAGAAATCCATAATCATAACTTACTACAATGTTTTCTATAAATCAGTTACTCAAACAATTCTCAAGGTTCTCTGTAGTACAACTCAAAGGAAGAATGATTACATACAATGATAAGTACTGTACAAGTAAAATCAAGGGAACAAATGCATCGAAAAGTAAAGTAAATGTCTGGTGGAAAATGATCAGAAAACTAATCAATGTGGTTTAGACAACACTGAATTTATGGAATTATCCAGGTACTGTAAGATGCACATAAACGTAATTTAGAAAATATTAAAGGACAAATCTTTACAGCCATATTCTTGCATACCTGACACAAAAGCCCACATTCCTGCCTGCCGATTTTCAAAGTAGAAGAAAAACACACCAAATGCTGACCATCCTCCTATCACCCCAAGGATGGCAGTAATGATGTTGAAGTACATACAACAGCCACCACGCCGAGCCATGGCAGTGGTAGTTCAGTGGGCACCTGGTTAATGAAAAATAGAAAATATCCATTATATAATACTGTACAGCAATTATTGTACTTTATTTTATTACTGGACACAGTATTTGAAATCACTGTATACTGTATGTATACTACTGATATTATCAGTTGTTTACTCTTATGCTACTGATGTTTACACAGAACTGCTGATAGAGGAACTTGGATCATTTTCAAGGCCAAATAAAGTCACAATATCTATGACTGCTGGTTGTAAGCACATACCGGTACTGTATACTTTTTGCAGGCACATTTGCTGAACTTTGGTTTGTAATATATTTTTGCATCAAATTAAAGCATCAAAAATTACCATACACAAATTTTCTTATGCACAAAATGTTGCAAAATGCAGTACAATAATACCAGTAGCTTCTGGGGACAAGAGACTCGCAAAACCCCAATCCAATTTGAGGCACAAGAAACAAACTGTATTAGTTTGGCGATACACATGAATGCTTCCCAGCGAACATAACTTAATTTAATTTATCATAAATAAAAGAAAACTAAGCCTATCTATCCCAGGACGGAAGTACAGTACATATTTAAGGTTAGATAAATTTGGTTAGCTTAGTTACGTAGATTAAATTACATAAGTATGCAGGTAGATTAGATTAGATTAGATTAGATTATGAAGGTTAAGTCTGGTGGTAGTGTGCAACTGTCTTACAGTATCACCGAATAAACACAGGGAAATCAGCTTACAGAATACTGTATTCAACTAAACAGTAATAACAGACATATAGCTTGCCTCTGAAACATAATTTTTTAATTTCCTCAAGTAGTTAGTAAAGTACCTTTATCACAAATTATGACAATGTACTTTCTATTCCATGTCAGCTTCTTGATATATTAATTTATAAGTAGAATATAAAAAGTTTCTTTGTAGAGGATACTTTTAACATAACCAACACTATCGGCAATACAGTTTCATTGACAAATGCGTGATAAGAAACCCGTGTACACTATTTCAACTAAGTAACACAACAGAATGTCATGTTACATAAATCTTAACCTGACTCCACCCCATGTTACACAAAACCAAGAATATAATTGTTAGACGTTAGTCTCAAGTGAACACAACTTGGCCTTGTACAAACATATACGTTAATTAGTTTTCTTTTCTTCATTCTCCAAAAAACACTATGACATATATAAATCGTTAAACGAAACACAAGAGGCATATCAACCTAGTAAAACACACACACAAAGGATATTAGACTAACCAGTTATCACCCAGATAAAGGTAGTGATCGTGTCTCCCAGCTGGCTTTGTTTACCTCCTGGACACTGTTGTCAAGGGATGGATTTCATTAACTCTATTTAAACCAACAATTCCTTTATATGTATAGTATATAATACAAGATATGTGTTATTAGTTAATGTAAAATACAATTAGATAGTAAAATTGTTCGTACGGGGAGAGAATAATTTATTTACAGTATTCATGAGAATATTTGCGTTCCTCGATATTCACTACTTAGCAACTCGATCAGGTAAAGTTAATAAATACTGCTACTTTTTTTTTATCCCTGAAAACCATTTATGGACTAGGGGAAGTACAGTAATAGTAATAATAATATTTAGCGTTTGGTTTTTATTTGACTTGTAGTCTATATGACCAAGGAAACTCGAATGCAGTTTTTGAGAAATTCTTGGGTCTATTTTCTCTTTTACTTTACTCTTGGTAGAGTTGTGTAAAATGACTTGATTTCCAATTTATTAAACTTCCGCACGAAGATGCTCTAATTGTGATACATTCAGCTACTGATTGTGCAAATAAAAGCAGATACATTATCTTACTTTCCTGATTAAAAAGATAAAGCTTCTAATTTATTTCCTTCACACTTCCCACCTTCTTTCAAAACTGAACTAATTACCCTATTCTATTCAGATGCCTTACAATTTACCATAAAACAATGTTTTCTATTTGTAAGAAAATAATTTAATCCACGAGACCTACATTAATCTGTGTCGGACTGTCAAAGGCTTTCTCGGATATTTATTCACATAAGTACTCTTAAATTGACCTTCTATCATTTCATTTATTTAACGTTTTTACTTTTGTATATACATCAGTATTATTTTACTTATGTTATGTTGAAATTAAAGAATAAGCTTTGTACAAGGGAAAGAGATAACAAGATGTCAGGGAACCACAGTTTGGTTGTTGAAGCGACCGTCAACACTCACTGCTCCTCATGGTAAGGTCTTCATTTATTAACTACATATGGTAAGGTCTTCATTTATTAACTACATATGGTAAGGTCTTCATTTATTAACTACATATGGTAAGGTCTTCATTTATTAACTACATATGGTAAGGTCTTCATTTATTAACTACATATGGTAAGGTCTTCATTTATTAACTACATATGGTAAGGTCTTCATTTATTAACTACATATGGTAAGGTCTTCATTTATTAACTACATATGGTAAGGTCTTCATTTATTAACTACATATGGTAAGGTCTTCATTTATTAACTACATATGGTAAGGTCTTCATTTATTAACTACATATGGTAAGGTCTTCATTTATTAACTACATATGGTAAGGTCTTCATTTATTAACTACATATGGTAAGGTCTTCATTTATTAACTACATATGGTAAGGTCTTCATTTATTAACTACATATAAGGTCTTCATTTATTAACTACATATGGTAAGGTCTTCATTTATTAACTACATATGGTAAGGTCTTCATTTATTAACTACATATGGTAAGGTCTTCATTTATTAACTACATATGGTAAGGTCTTCATTTATTAACTACATATGGTAAGGTCTTCATTTATTAACTACATATGGTAAGGTCTTCATTTATTAACTACATATGGTAAGGTCTTCATTTATTAACTACATATGGTAAGGTCTTCATTTATTAACTACATATGGTAAGGTCTTCATTTATTAACTACATATGGTAAGGTCTTCATTTATTAACTACATATGGTAAGGTCTTCATTTATTAACTACATATGGTAAGGTCTTCATTTATTAACTACATATGGTAAGGTCTTCATTTATTAACTACATATGGTAAGGTCTTCATTAATAAAAGAGAATTTTCCTTACAGGTATTGAGGAACTTTTCAATATATAAGATATAAGGTGACGCATTAATGAATAAAATCTTGTGCTGTTTAAAGTATGTTTGTCTGGTTGTCAGTTAGAGGTATTTTTAAAAAATAATATCAGTTAATATTCAGTTATCACTTACTCAGATATTCAGTTAAAGTATAAATTAGTATCTTGAACCGCTACCATGCTTACAGGTTAGCTCACCACAGTACAGTACTGAGGAAATTCATCCCTTTGAATGACTTAGGTATGTGTTACAGCTCAGTTTGGTGTCTATAGTATAACCAAACAGGTTAACTTAACCCTTTGGCTGCGGGAGGTTACCCCAAGCTGAGTAAAATCGTCTGGCGGTAGTCAGAAGAAAATGGCAAGTGCAGGAATTGCAGCAAAAGGGTTAATCACAGTGGATATTTTGCCGTGACCAGTTAAGTTCCTCCTATTGCTATTTTACCATGAGTGCACTCTGTTAGGCAAATTATCCATTACCGGCAAACAAAACGGCAAAATATCCACTGCATTAATTTTTTCTAGAGATGTTTGGATGATAGTAGGAAAATAGAAACGACAATGCACAGGTTAGGAGGTTAGGTTAGGCAGGTGAGGTTAGGTTAGGTTCTGTGCATTGTCATTCTGATTTGATTAGCCAATCAGAGTGAACTCAAGATAAAATGGAGTTAGTAAGAACTTAGCCGGTCACGGCAAAATATCCACTGCCTACCGTAATATATAACTGGCTAATATTGACGTCTATCCCGCCGACGCATTATTTATTTTGATGTTTATATTCTAACTATATTTTTATCAGTGAGTTCTGATATGATAATTATTTTTTTTTTGTTAGGTTAGTTTAAATTTAGGATAAGGTAAGATTAGGTTAGATTAAGTTGAACGTTTAAATAAACATATTTTAACACATTTGCCATAACCACAACAATGTCCACTATAAAACACAGTGAAATTGCGGCATTTAAAATTTAATTTTCTATGAAAAAATCAGCGGCGGTAAAGTCGTAAATAATTACCAATATGAAAATGGTCATAATTTATAGTGATATTTTGTGTGTGTACATTATAGTATGATTAATGTTACTGTAATTCTTAAAGTCAGGTGGACAAGACATCATTCTACATCTTCATGATAATTATACAAACTTTATTGTTATTTTTCTCTCATATTGCAGACAAGATTCTAGCAAAAGATTGGAATGAACACAGCAGGCCTTGCCATCTTGGTCAGGATGGGCAATTGTTTATGTGTTAAGGAAAGAATTAAAGTCAATGGACGTCAGTATTACATAAGGGAACGACTTGGTGAAGGGTAAGTTTTTTTTTTCTTTTTGGAAGGGGAAATTATCTGATACTGTGGGAAAGAAGGAGAGATGTCTGATGCTGGTGGGACACAAGGGGAGATGTCTGATGCTGGTGGGACACAAGGGGAGATGTCTGATACTGTGGGAAAGAAGGGGAGATGTCTGATGCTGCTGGGACACAAGGGGAGATGTCTGATGCTGTGGGAAAGAAGGGGAGATGTCTGATGCTATGGGAAAGAAGGGGAGATGTCTGATGCTATGGGAAAGAAGGGGAGATGTCTGATGCTGGTGGGACACAAGGGGAGATGTCTGATGCTGGTGGGACACAAGGGGAGATGTCTGATGAAGGGGAGATGTCTGATGCTGGTGGGACACAAGGGGAGATGTCTGATGCTGGTGGGACAAGATGTATGATGCTGCTGGGACACAGGGAGATGTCTGATGCTGCTGGGCACAAGGGGAGATGTCTGATGCTGCTGGGACTGGGGATGTCTGATGCTGCTGGGACACAAGGGAGATGTCTGATGCTGCAGGGACACAGGGGGAGATGTCTGATGCTGCTGGGACACAAGGGAGATGTCTGATGCTGCTGGGACACAAGGGAGATATCTGATGCTGCTGGGGACACTGATGCTGCTGGGAGGGGAGATGTCTGATGCTGCTGGGACACAAGGGAGATGTCTGATGGTGCTGGGACACAAGGGGAGATATCTGATGCTGCTGGGACACAGGGGGAGATGTATGATGCTGCTGGGACACAGGGGAGATGTCTGACAAGAGATATCTGATGCTGCTGGGACACAGGGGAGATGTATGATGCTGCTGGGACACGGGGAGATGTCTGATGCTGCTGGGACACGAGATGTCTGCTGCTGGGACACAGGGGGAGATGTCTGATGCTGCTGGGACACAAGGGGAGATGTCTGATGCTGCTGGGACACAAGGGGAGATGTATGATGCTGGTGGGACACAAGGGGAGATGTCTGATGCTGGTGGGACACAAGGGGAGATGTCTGATGCTGCTGGGACACAAGGGGAGATGTATGATGCTGGTGGGACACAAGGGGAGATGTCTGATGCTGGTGGGACACAAGGGGAGATGTATGATGCTGGTGGGACACAAGGGGACACAGATAACATTTACAGTTTCTTCATATTATTTTCACATCCACATCTCACTGTTTGACCAGCAGCACTATTAGATATATGTTTGATTCATAAAATACACTGTACTGTATTATCTTTTGATGGGGTTTACTGCTGGGATACAATGTGAGGAGGTTAATTATAATGACTTTAATTATCTTTTAAATATTTCCTCAGAGGGTTCAGCATGGTGGACTTAGTAGAAGATGCGTCGTCACATAAACTGTATGCCCTCAAACGCATTACATGTCATGCACAGACAGATCAGAAGGTATGTGTAATCTATTTATAGATTACAATATAAATATCTGCATCTTCTCCTGTCTTTCCAAATTTCCTGAAAGACTTTCTCATTTTAATATAATGTAGTACAGGGTATATTGTATATTGTACGTGTTTATAAGTTGAGTTTTGAAAAACCCAATATTTTTTTACAAAAATCTGGGGGTCAACTAGAATATGAGTAATATTTTTGAGGGGTTAAAAAGAAAATGTAACTTTAAGGTTTTTTTTATACTGTACCGTATTACAAAACAAGATTTTTTTTCTATACCTTTGAAAAGTGGTAAATCACAATGAAAACCATGATAAACACCAGAGTGTGGGTGTGAGTCACATGGACCTGGTTGGCTCTGGCCGGGAAGAGTTTGTGCTGTTTGACTTGAGCCCTTCTTGTGATCAAGCGACATTGCATAGCAGTGAAAATGTACATTTTTTTTCACAGTTTGATTTTACATGTTGAATCTGTACTCTGGTTAAAATGGCCAGTGTTTGGATATTTTTTGAAGTTTGGAGACATGAAATGTGGACAGTCATTAGATCTTCTATTTTAATCTTATCTAGATATCATTACTATTATATAGTACTGTATACAGTATTTGTACATTCATTTATTAGATGCATACAGTAATAATTCTTTATTTGAAATATATTCAGTACAGTACAATACAGCACAGTGCAATACATCACAGTACAGTGCAATACTGTACAGTACAGCACATCACATCACAGTACAATACATCACAGTACATTGCAATACTGTACAGTACAGAACAGCACAGTACAGCACAGTACAACAGTGCAATACTGTACAGTACAGCACAGTACAGTACAGCACAGTACAGTGCAATACTGTACAGCACAGTGCAGTACAGCACAGTACAGCACAGTAAAATACAGTACAGTGCAGTACAGTACAGCACAGTACACTACAGCACAGCAAAGTACAGTACAATACAGCACAGTACAGTGCAATACTGTACAGTACAGCACAGTACAATACAGCACAGTACAGTGCAGTACTGTACAGTACAGCACAGCACAGCACAGTACAGTACAATACTAAGGACTTCTTGTAGTAGATTGAACTGGCATAAGCACAAGTTTTCTGGGATTCTTATCTTGTTTTAATTCCCTTCCAGATGAAAATATCACCATGTCATTACACTCATGTTATGAAGTTGTTATGATACTCTGTTATGAATCCTTGTTTCTTTGTGTCTCCAGGTGGCCCTGGCAGAAGTGGAGTACCTCAAAGCCTTGTCTCACCCCAACATTGTGGAGTGCATAGACTCAGATCTTGTAGGGATGCCAGACCTAATGGGAAATCGTACATCACAAGTACTCATTGTTCTCCCATACTGCCAGGTTTGTTGAGTTGATATGTTATTTGTTATCATATTTATGTGGCCTTTTTTCTGGTACAACAAGACAGCATATTAAGTGTTGTAACAGTTTGTGTGTTTTCTTACAGCGGGGAACACTACATGATGAGTTAATGCGCAGGCAACAGTCTGGTTCACACTTGGATGAGGTATATGTCTCTTCTGCCATTTTATACTTACATGTACTGACTTAAAGTTTTCAATTAGTACAGTATAATTATTTTAATTGATATTTTATGTCTTACACAGTGATAAAAAATGATGTACTGCATACAGAATTTACAAATCACTTGAGAACTTGCTTCATGTCAGTTGTTAATACACTGTATAATGATTTTCCTTGGTTTGAAGGTCGTTGTATTGTCTATGTTCCGGCGGATATGTGAGGCTGTCCAGTGCATGCACTCAGCCAAGCCACATCCTTTGGCTCATCGAGACATCAAGACGTCCAATATTCTCTTAAAGGATGATCTCACACCACTACTTATGGATCTAGGTACAGTACTGCACTGTAGTGTGATATTTAATTGAATTTGTGTCTCCTTCTAACCCAGTTATTCATTCATATATGTTCAGGTTTCTTAAAAAAAATTATTCATCATTTTAAGTGGAAAGAAACAGTTTAATGTACAGAAAAAATTAAGCTTTAAAAGGAATACAGCACAATGAACACACTAACCTGAATATACACAAGTTCACAGTTCTGGTTTTACTTTACTCACTTTTTCTGCTCTTTCTGTAAGTTATTATTTTTAGATGTATAAAGGATGAGTATTTACAGTAAATGTTTGTGTTGTCAGGGATACTAAGTACAACACAGTACAGTGTACAGGACTACTTATTCCTTAGAGAGTTTGGTTATGTACCTCTACCATATATCCTTGCATTTTTTAATAATGAAGATGCCATGCCAGCAATCAAAATATTTTTTATCCAACAAACTATTCAATAATTATACATTCTTTGATCAAGAAAAATGACCATGAGAAATAATTTCTCAATGAAAGTCCATTCAGTCTCCAGGTCTGTGGTTCTTGAAGCCAAAGTCAATTACAGTACTGTACGTACTTTTCTTTATAAGTATCTATTGGGATCATCTCATATGAAACCAATTAACAATATTGCAGGGTCTGTAACCAGAGCAAGACTGGAGATAAATGGCAGTTCAGAGGCCCACAAGCTGCAGGATGAAGCTGCTGAGAGAAGTTCCATGCCATACAGGCCTCCAGAATTATTTAATGTTGAATTTTTTTGTCATGTAGATGAGCGTACTGATGTTTGGGTAAGTCTGAGGCAAGATATTATTACACTTCTACATTCATTACATTAATAAAGAAATCCCATGAATTTTTGTCATGCAGTTTTTGTTGTTTTCACTGATGTGTTGAAAGTGATTCTCAGATTTCATGATAATTTTTCTTGTACTATACTCTCAGTACTACTACTGTTAGTTTTCTCTTCCATCTCCAAAAGTGCATTGTCTTTAATAAAAAAAAATGAAATTATTCATTAAAGAAACTAAAACTTCTCCATTTCAGTCTCTAGGTTGTTTGCTGTATGCGCTATGTTTTTACAAATCTCCCTTTGATGCCGTGTATGAGCGAGGGGACAGTGTAGCGCTGGCCGTGGTCAGTGGAATCACAAAATTCCCCGAAACTCATCCGTACTCAGAGGTTTGTGAAACTTGATCATTTATCCAGAGCCAAATATAAGATAATGTTGTCTTAATATGGGATTGTCTCCAAAGTTGACATTCATCACCAGGTATTTCATGTATTGTATTGGTGCAGATGAAAATGGGAAATTTCCAGGATAGAATGTTTCTTGTTTACTTCCAGATATGCTTTTTGGGGGAATATGGTTGCTAAGGGAACTATAACAAATTAGTGAATTACTACCAGCCACACTCCTTGGACTTAATTAGATATTACACAAGTTGTCTGCTGTCAGTTTGGTTGTATAATTTTTTTTTTTTTTTTTTGGTTAGAAAATCTTGTATTATTGATTTTATCTTTGAATGTGAATTTTAATTAATAAATATTTATATTGCAGGATATTGTTGAGCTGATCAAGAGTATTCTCAAAGTTAACCCAGAGGAGCGTCCGTACGTAGACTGGATAATAAACAAAGTGGATCAACTTATCAACAAATCATCGGGGGCGGTCTAGTCAGCAACATTAAGTAATATACTGTGTGAGTGAGAGATGGAGAGTATCTATTTTTGGCACAATAGAATTACTTTACCCACGACAGTGATATACAATACAGTATGTGTGTTTAAACTTGAGCTCAATCACTATTTTCTAGTTTATAAATTATGAAAAGCTGTTGTTTGGTTATGCTTTAAACATTCCATGATAAACATTACAGTACAGTACTTAAAAGGGGACATGAAGAGTATAACTACTACAGCCCATAACAGTGGCTCATGCAGCACATGAAAAATGACAAAGTTAAAAATTCAAGGAATAGTAAACAAAACAGGTAATCTCACTTATAAGACTAAGAAATGCCCTCAAAATGTTACGAGGGCAGAGAGTTCTGCAGATTGATCATGAAGGACAAGAAATTTCTAGAGAATTTTGTAATGCAACACTTAATTGTTTGAAGATTATGATCAAGAACCTGGAATGAGTATCTTGTGATCCTGGTGGGACAATAAGGTCGATTGGATTGGATGGTATCTTCACTTACATTTGGTATTTTTGAGTCCATTTAGTTAAACCCAAAGTTAATAAAGTCATTTGATAATGTTGTCACTAACCTCGTTAACCACCTGTGTATGGGGTCCCCTCTCTGCTGAATAAAATTGTCTGGTATTAGCCAAATGATATACTAAAAGTGTTGTCCCCATAGTGAAGGGGTTAGAACACTTTATTTGGATATAGTGTTACAGTTTTAGTGCGACAGGAAGTCTCATGAATTGAATGACTTTGTTTACACAAAAGAGTACATGCAATCAGTGTCTTAATTTATATAAAGTGGATATAGAAACACAAATTTATTACAAATGATAAAAGAAACTGATGGCATAGAATACTTGCCCTCAATCTCCCACATAAACACAAACATGGAAGTAGTCAGGGGATCCATTTGTGTATGGTTGAAGGTTAGGTTAGGTTCATCCTGACCCACTCCACCACAGATCTCATTCATGGCCTCAGGATCAGTCTCAATGACATCATTGCTGTCTACATTGTTTACCTTCATAATATTGTACACTATAGTCAAAGAGCAAGATAACATAAGGAGCATGAATTTAAAGTGTACAAAGGTCATGTTTAGTTATTTTATTTTATACAGTATTTTTTTATTTTACCTTTGAGGTTAAAACTACAGTAATATTCTATATGTGTAATAATAGGTTTTCAGTAAACTCTTAAATATACAGCACTTCACAAAGAAATTTTCATTTTCATTTTTAAGAAATCTTCAGCAAAACCTATTATGTGTATCGAGTATATTGCAGAATTCTCTACCATAGTGCTTTTGTTTTCTCCAGTATAGTGTATGGAATCTGCAGTCTATCTCACCTGCTAACGAGATATTTTTTATTTTATATACAATTTGTAATTCTGTGTACTATATAAAAGTAAATGTTAATTTTTAGAAAAGAAAGAGTTTATAACATTAACAGGGAGTCAAAATTGGTTTGTTAAATAATACTACTGTTTACTGTACACTCGTCAAACTGGCAAGTTATGAGAATCTGCCATTATCTTGAGAACTCCAGATATTAAACAGTTTACTATCCAATATTAAATTGCATGAAAGATTACCTTTTTCACATGCAGAATAATAATTAGAGTACAGCTGCTGTAAGCATTTACTCTCGATCCCAGTATTAATTTTCTTGTACAGATATTCCCAGATTTACGAAAGGATTCCATTCTTGAAAAACTTTCAGTAACGGATTTTTTTTGAATTGGAACACATTTTCCCACTGTGTTCCAAAACATCCTTCCCCCAAATTGTTAAAATGCTTTAAAACATATTTTTAATGTCAATTTTTGGTGTACACAAAGCTTTTAAGCCTTTATAAATAATATAGTAAGTTAAATACATGTAGTGGAGGACTCGGAGGTTACCGAGACACTGCACCACTGGTTGTGATGGTGTGTGAAACTGTGAGGCCCAGCCTAGACATATGGATTTAATTTGGTAGTGACACACTAACTGTAAATCTGCTGCACTGTTTGTATATATGCATTTTTTTTAGATGTTTTGCTTTCACTGGCTTTGATTTTTGATGAGGTTTTACCTGAAGTAACATTTTATTCCTTTCATTGATTTCAGAGTAAACTCTGGGATACTAAGCTCATCAGTGTTCCCACAGTTGAAACATCTTGAGTCAGCATTTTGCCACTGCTTTACATAGTAATCCTGTGGGCCATGATAACTAAAGCACGACATGCATTTATCTTTAGCTTAGTAAACCACTCTTAATAAATACAATAAATACAGTACAGTACATTACTGTATGCTGTGTTTGGTTTAATTGTCTGTATAAACTAACCAAGTCTAGTATTGTAACCCCAGAGACATCTGCAGTTCTTTGAGATTTTCACATGTAGTTGAAACATAGGCGCTCTCTCTCTCTCTCTCTCTCTCTCTCTCATATATATATATATATATATACCGGTTATATCTTTACTTAGGATTTTCGTAAACCAGATCTTTGTCAGTCAAGGACTTCCTGAATGCCATTTGATGTTATTAAGTTGGTGTGTCACGTGTTTAGCCAGAGTTACTATTTCTTAAAATTATTTGATACAGATATCTCTGTGCATCCTATAACATGGTGACATAATGTAAATTGAACTGAGAATCCTTGTGGAGATATTCTGTTAAATCTAATCAAGGAAACCATTGCTGGGCCAGAAAAAGTTTGTTTACATTCATCCCACAAGATTGTACCTGTATAAATGGTATAAAATGTGTTAGGTGGATATTTATCAAGATAAAAAAGAAATTCTGCAGGACCTGAGCAATAATGAGAATTAATGCTTGATAGTCTGTTCCTTCTAAATTTTCTCTTATGACTTGAACCTTTGTAGGAGGTTTACCTTAGTGTTAATTTTAGGATTGCTTTCTTCCTTTGACTCGTAATTGCTCACATACATTTCTTGGGTTTTTGTAAATAAAAGGAGTATTTTTGTATCCACTACTTACACAGCATTTATCAAATCATCGGCTTATTCATTCTACTGTTTACTAATGTGGGTCTAATGTGTCAAACCTCTCACCTTTACTTCAGTAATTTCACTATAAAGGAGGAGGAAGTAAGTGCAGTAAATGTTAATGGTGTTAAGAATACATTAAACATGCACTATGAAGAATAAGTTTAAGGGACTTAGAATGTGAACATAATATGATTCACAGGTAGTAGGTAGGAGGCAGATATCAAACAGGGAGGTACTACTGCCTGGGAAGATATTGGAAGCATAATGTGTTGTCTAATGGTAGACCCTGCTGCCATATGGCATCACAAAAATTGTGACCAAGTCCCAGGTTGCTGATCTGACTGAATTTCTGCCTCATTTACACAATTGCAGGGTCTCAATTGTTTCTCTTACTTTGACAACACAACATAAATACCGTACAGTATATCGTTTCTCACTCGATTAAAAATTAATATATTTTTTATTTATGGTTCTACAGTAATTTTTATTATTTTTATTTTTATTATAATTTTTATTTGTTTTAATTATTATTATTATAAATATAATTTTATTTTCACCCCCAGGCCCCAATGTGGGTCAGTGACCTGTACCTGGGTGGGATAATCCCCGTTAAAAAAAATATAAATAAATAAATATATACAGTACATACAGGTACATACATGTATACTGTATATATATTGTGTATATATATATATACACATACATACATACATATATATATATATATATATATATATATATATATATATATATATATATATATATATATATATATATATATATATATATATATATATATATATATATATATATATATATATATATATATATATATATATATACAGCTCCTCCCCGACTTCCGACCTACTCGACTTACGTCCACCTGCACTTACGACCTGCCTCAGTTGTACCAAAATTTGGTCAAATTACGTATTTTCGAGTCCCAAAGTCAGTACACAGACAAAATTTTCATCTGTAATTCACTTTAAAATGGCTGGCAAGCTTAAAAGTGAGTGTTTTGTGGTGCTGAGAAGAAAAAGAGACCTCCATATTAGATTTTCTATGTATTATTTAAGCATCTCCGACTTAAGACGTGGATGTCGGTCCCTAACCCCGTCGTAAGTCGGGGAGCAGCTGTATATATTTTACAGTGCTGCACTCTATACAGTGAGCAAATTCTCTCTCAAGGGTTAAGAGATATAACAAATGTGTAGTAGGAGCATTTATCAGCAAGCCTGCTTAGGAGCAGATCAAAGTACAGTACTCTACAGTATTCCCTGAAAGCTTGTTCCCTTGGAAAATCACCGATTGCCATGAAAAATAAATAAAATAAATCTGAGGATGTGTGCCAGAGATCAAGAGGAGTCAAAACTACAAGACAGTACAGAGCACCAAATTTCCCAGGTCATAAGATGCACCCTATAATTAACAAGGTATATTTTGGAAAAATAATTTTTGCAGATTTAATAGCCTACTGTATACTGGCAAAGCCAAATCACTGGCTATATGCTATCATGTTGCTCACTCACTTTATGGAACAAATATCAAACAATTGTTAGTATTAATAAAATTTACCTAATTTAATACAAAAGGATATAAATACCTTGTATACATATAGGTACCTACGGTATACACATTACAAATACTTATTGGTACTGGGCATGTTCACTAGGAACTGTCCAGTACAGGGACTGTTTACATCCTGTGCACCAGATCGGCTGACGTTTCAGAGGTATTGTCTTTGTATTGTCACTACCACAACTAACTATCACTGTGTGGATCTAATGTCCATACAGTGTTATTTCATGTTTGTTTATTTATTTATTTCATATTATATTGTCTTAAGCATACATAATGTTGTTAGGGTATAAATGTGCATATAGCTATTTATATATGTATTTTGCACACTCCTGGGACTGGCATGAAAAACTCGCAGATTATGCGTTCTCACGGGGTCCATACTACCTTACCCCAGCGAGCTTTAAGGGAATACTGTACTGTATGCATCAGGTGTCAAGGATGTTACTAGTCTATATTTAGTTTAATGTGAACCCAATTAATTTGTTCAGTAAATATTACCATGGAGTTTGACCTAGGCCTACCTTCTTTTTTGTATGAAAATACAGGTAATTTATAATGATTTCATACTTCAGTGATGAATGCAAACACTCGTAGTTTTGTATAGATGATGGTACTGTACAGTACTGTATGTAGGCTGCAGAAACATAAAGACTTAAATTTAAAAGATAAAGACAAATACTGTACTGTACACGTTCAAAAATCTGAAAAAAAGAGCAGAGTTTAGGGAGTCTTAGTTTATACTGCAGAATCCTAACAGGTTTTTAATATACAGTGTAACACAAATGTAGTGTAGAGTTTGTGTGGTGATCCCCATGACACATTGTTTTACTTGAAACTTTTATTTTTAAACCATGTAAGTAATGTACAGCAACTCAAAAAGTATGTCCCCACACACTGTGTGAAACATTATGAGACCATTGACGATAGATATTGGGATATGCGTGTTCCTGCCCTGTATAGTTTAACATAGGTAAATGTAATGTAATGTGTATTTATTTTGGCGCAATTAATATGATATTCGGTTACCAAATGTAGTAGGATCAGTATGCCTCAGAGCCACACATACCAACCCTCCTGTAACATCACGAGTTGCCTGTAGCATTTCAGAAGTCGCTGGACCCATCCTGGCAGATACTTTTTTTGAGATGCTGTACATAAAGCATGTGTTTAAATGTTAAATATTGCCAGTGGAATCACTGCAATATTAGCAACAGTGAACTCAAATTGAGGCCACTTGCTTTATCCTTATTAACCTATCCAGTACTGTACAATACAGTATAGTTTTGGTGGAGTGAAGGATTAGTATTTTTTTTTTTTTTTATGGAATTATTTAAGAAATAAAATGAGTACATTTAGGTGTCTGTAAAAACTTTGAATGAGTTGTTCAAAGTGACTCAATGTTACATTCTTAGCTCCTTATCCTGTTTTTTATGTACTTAAAGTTCTTGATAATACTTTTAGATTACACCTGAACTAAATATCTTCCACCTTATGGTTACTTTTCATCACCCAAAATTATGTAGTCACAAATAAGCTGCTATTTAACCTTGTTAATGTTGGTGTACATTCTTATAAAACTATATTGTAGAGTGAAATTTATATTTTATCACTTGTCTCAGTTATAAGATAAATTAATTTATTTCCTTGGTTGTGTATTTTTATTTGTTAAATCTAGTTATCTATGCATGTAACAATGAAATAATACGGTTAATCCTGTACATGTTTGACAGTTTTTCTTGAAACTTATTGTTAACTTATAGAGAAGAAGACTTGTATCTTTAGTTATACAGTATTTGAGATTATTTAAGTAAAATTCTATACAGCATATATTTTAAGCAACAAATATGATTACTATATGTACAGTATTTATATAGCGAACCAAATATAATACTGTACAGTAAAGCAAATGTGCATTTCTTTACCACATACTGTACTGTCATAATAGCCAAAATTATCATTTTGTATGTTCACAACAGACAAAGTATTGTACTGTACAGGAACTGGTAATTGCAGAGTTCTGAATGTATTGTTTCAGGTATATAGTTACTGTATTTCTTCTGACAATGTATCCCAGTCAAGCTTGTACCTTACCTGTTTTTAAAGCCGATATCAAGCCTTTGGTCAAACTTACCATGTACAGTACTGTATACATACTAGTGCCTGTATGAGCCTCAACATGGGTGACGGCACATTATTACACGAGGTGTTACCATAAAGATAATATTAGTCGACTTTATTGAATTATCAGCTTATTTTAATCTTTAGATAATTGTTGGAATATTTATCATGTTGAGGTTACTCAATTATTGACTCATCAACCATTCCCATCATTTGGCAGTCCTATACTCAATTAAATTTTCTTATTTTTTCTTCACAATAAATAATAATGGTCTAGGCATGTGCAGAGAATTGATGAGACCAATTGGGTAAAGAGGTGTACAAGTCTAAATGTGGAGGGGAGAGCCAGGGTTGGACCAAGAATGACATGGGGGAGAGATTGTATGAAATGACATTAGAGTTAGGAACCTAACAAGAGAGAGTGCAAGACTTTGCAGCATGGAGAGCCACCATCAGGTAACCAAGGCTAACCCACACAAGCGTGGAAAATTGCAGTAAAATTATGATGATGGTACATGGTAGAAATTTCTTTTTTCTATATATAAAAAATTAGAATACAGAAGAGTACTGTAGTTGAAAACTGCACAAAACTTCATCATTCCTAACAAAACTCCACTTATGTGTTTTGTACCCCAAGATGGTGCCGACCATGTACAGCCAACACAAAAAGTATCGAGACCCCAGAATACAGTGGAGTAGAAACTGAGTGATACCCTCAGTTGGGTTGGTCTTCGCCTGATGTTTCGTATTCTTTCAAATGCCTGGGGTTTCAATACTTTTTTGGACTGGCTATACAAGAGGTCTGTAAGGATTCAGTGGAGAATCCTGCCCCATGTTGAATGTTGGTGGGTGATTAGAACAGTAGAAATGGGAGGGCACAGCTGTGACAATGAGCCTGTAGCATGCACCTGGGCTTTCTTAGGTCAGGTCATTGTGTGAACAGAAAAGTCATGAATTAACTCGGCTGTTTTGTCACGATATGATCAGTGTGTCTGTGTAAAGAAGAAAATCCAAAGCCAGGCCTGTGGTTTTGAAGCAGTAGCCAGTGCCATGCCTCTGACTTCGAAACTGAAGCTTTAGAAAGTTTAAAAGCCAAAGCCAAGCCCAAAAACCTGGATTCCAGAAGCTGAAACTGACTTCAGTCCCATTGTCTGGTGGGGGCAAATGTTTAATCAACTTAATCTGATCTCTCAATGGCAGTTGGACATAAGATTACCTTGATTGCAGAGATATGGAACATTTCCTCCGTTGAACATAACAGGAAATACTGAATTTTGACATTCAGGGTGTTTGTATCCTCGGTGTTAAGGTTGAGCCCACTTGCAAAATGGTCGAGTCTGGGCACCTTGTGTAAAGCAATAAGTTAATCATTAACAACATATTTTGTGTGTATGGAGTAGTCACTGACCTTATGAGTATTAGTTATTTCATAGTGATTGGCTAGGCTTCGTTTTGTATGCCAGTGTCAATCATGTGCTCACCACTTTAAGAGTGCATTATTTCACAGCTTCTATAGGACAGTTCCTCACTTGTAATATACAACATAAAACAGGTACAACAATCTGACTAATAATTAATATACGGTGGAACATAATTATAAAGTTAAATTTAGGT